GTTATCCGCGCATTGAATTAGGTTTGGAGGTGAACGCGCTAAGATGGATTAGTTTTAGATTATTCTTTTTGCCTTGAGATTGTTGTCAGTTGATTGAATTAAGTTTGGAGGTGAACTCGCTCAGATGGATTAGGAATAGACTATTTATTTTTCGTATTATAAGACGTGACCTAATTAAGATGGATTAAGATTAGGTTAACTCGCTGGATTATATGTCGATAGAACGTCAAATCAAAAGGTTCAAATCATCGGGATTGACGTATTTTAGATTAGTGGATTAGTTGTTTTGCTTCCCCGAGTGACACTGGTGTGCCGTCCTGAGTTTGCGGGCTTCGTCGAGAGCCCAATCCATTACGGAATTACAGAGACCTTCCGTGGTCGGGGGAGGAGAGAGGGTCTACACTAAAAGCGGATTAGCGCTTTGGATAAATCCGCCGGATTAGATTATAACGCAGAAGGATTGGGAGTATGACTGTCGATGAGACGGAAGAGGGGAAGCACGGTGAAAATCAAGTCAAAGAGAAAAAGATGAAGGATTGAGATTAAGGTTTAATCGCTTGCGAGCTTAGAGATTAGATTGAGGGGGAACACAATTAAATTGATAGTGGATGAACTGATGAAGAGGATTGGTAGATTTGGAATAGTGTATTTTGAGGTGACCTGGCAATTTTTGGATTATCACAATCGCGATAAAAGATGATATAGTTATAATCTAGTATTACATCTTTTGACAGTAAAGATAGACGAGATTATTGCTACTCTATGTATGGATTAACGATGTCATGTTACTCTCTGGTATGGCTTATAAAAGATTATAGAGTTATACTTTGGTATAACAACTTTTGTCAGTAAAGATAGACGAGATTATCGCTAATCTATGTATGGATTAATGTTTTCATGTTAATCTCTGGTATGGCTTATAAAAGAATATAGGGTTATACCAAAGTATAACAGCTTTTGTCAGTAAAGATAGACGAGATTATCGCTAATCTATGTATGGATTAACGTTGTCATGTTAATCTCTGGTATGGCTTATAAAAGATTATGGGAATATACTTTGGTATAACAACTTTTGTCAGTAAAGATAGACGAGATTATCGCTAATCTATGTACGGATTAATGTTGTCATGTTAATCTCTGGTATGGCTTATAAAATATTATGGGGATATACTTTGGTATAACAACTTTTGTAAGTAAAGATAGACGAGATTATCGCTAATCGATGTATGGATTAAGGTTTTCGTGTTAATCTCTGGTATGCCTATAAAAGGTTGTAGAATTATACTTTGGTATAACAGCTTTTGACCGTAAAAATAGGCGAAATTATCGCTAATCTATGTATAGATTACCGTTGTCATGTTGGTATAGCTTATAACATACTTTGGTATAACAGCTTTTGTCAGTAAAGATAGACGAGATTATCGCTAATCTATGTATGGATTAACGTTGTCCTGTTAATCTCTGGTATGGCTTATAAAAGATTATGGGGATATACTTTGGTATAACAACTTTTGTCAGTAAAGATATACGAGATTATCGCTAATATATGTATGGATTAACGTTTTCATGTTAATCTCTCGTATGGCTATAAAAGGTTGTAGATTTATACTTTGGTATAACAGTTTTTGTCCGTAAAGATAGACGAGATTATCGCAAATATATGGGTTGATTAACATTTTCATGTTAATTTATGTTATGGCTATAAAAGATTGTAAAATTATATTTTAGTATAACAGCTATTGCCAGTAAAGATAGACGAGATTATCGCTAATCTATGTATGGATTACCGTTGTCATGTTAATCTCTGGTATATCTGATAAAAGATTATAGGGTTATATTTTGGTATAACAGCTTTCGTCTGTAAATATAGACGAAATTATCGCAAATATATGGGTTGATTAACGTTTTCATGTTAATCTCTGGTATGGGTTATAAAAGATTATAGGATTATACTTTGGTATAAGAGCTGTAGTCAGTAAAGATAGACGAGATTATCGCTAATCTATGGATGAATTAACGTTGTTATGTTAATCTATGGATGGATTAACGTTGTTCTGTTAATCTATGGATGGATTAACGTTGTTATGTTAATCTCTGGTATGGCTTATAAAAGATTATAGGGTTATACTTTGGTGTAAGAGCTGTAATCAGTAAAGATAGACGAGATTATCGCTACTCTATGTATGGATTACCGTTGTCATGTTAATCTCTGGTATAGCTTATAAAAGAATATAGGATTATATTTTGTTATAACAACTTTTGTTTGTAAAGATCGGCGAGATTATCGCTAATCCATGGATGGATTAACGTTTTTATGTTAATCTTTGGTATAGCTTATAAAAGATTATAGGGTTATACTTTGGTATATGAGCTGTAGTCAGTAAAGATAGACGAAAATCTATGGAGGGGTCGGTAGTTGATTGAGTGGGATTAGGGCGAATGGGAAAATGAGAAAGTGGTGGTGTTTATTTTTATAACCTGCGGTAGGAAGGGGTGGAATAAAACTCCGGAGGATCAGCGTTAAAGGGATGATACTTATGTGCCGACCAAAGATGATGGAGGGTTTTAGGGGCGAATTCGATCTTCGTCGGCTACCGTGATCACCCCCCCCCCCACGACTAAGGTAAAAAAATAAATTATCTTTTGTCGAAAAAGGGTACGGCCTTGCCCTCTTGATGCATTGATCACTGGAGCGTCTAACTGGTCACCAGGGTAACCGATACCCCGCTCAGCCCTATATCCCAGAGGGGGTGGAAAATTTATTTTATTATTGGGGACTAAGATTTCACTCGTTTACATCGTAATTATCACACACTACAAGAAAAACGCCAAGAATTGCAATCTAAAAATCGGTTTTTATATGGAACCTTCTGAAAATTACCTACTTGTTAATAACTTTGATCCTTAAAAAACAAAATGATTTCTTGGAAAAAGTCACGAAATCTGTCACCATTTCTGCAAATTACTTGATATTTGGGTTCTTTCTTGAAAAAATACAAAGATTTTTTGGATGACAGTGACCAAATATGTGAGAATTTCTCCGAAATTAACAAGAATCAGTCAGATTAAAAGAAAAAACTCAAGAATTCCGTGATTCGAGGATCTTTTTTATGAACCCTTCTCCCCAAATACTTGGTTTTTTCAACAGAAAGATTTCCGCAAAAAAGCCACCAAATCTTACAGAATTTCTTATAAATTAGGTGTCATTTTTTATTAACCTTCTGCATATTAGTTAATATTTGGCTACTTAATAAACAAAAACTCAAAAATTGTTTCGATAAAAGTTACCAAATCTGTGAAAATTTCTCCGAAATTAACAAGAATCAGTCAGATTAAAAGAAAAAACCCAAGAATTCCATAATACGAGGATCCTTTTTTTATGAACCCTTCTGCAAATTACTTGGTTTTTAACAGAACGATTTCCGGGTAAAAGTCACCACATCTTACAGAATTTCTTAGAAACTATGCTACAAAGCTCCTTTTTATGAACCCTTCTGCAAATTAGTTGATATTTGGGTTCTTTCTTAAAAAACACAATGATTGTTTGGATAAAAGTCACCAAATCTGTCAGAAATCTCCAAAATTAGTAAGAATCCGCCTGATTAAATGAAAAAATCCAAGAATTCCATGCTACAAAGATCCTTTTTATGAACCTTTCTGCAAATTACTTGTTTTTTGTTTTTGTTTCTAACAGAAAGATTTCTGGGAAAAAGGCACTAAATCTAACAGATTTTTTAGAAATTAAGTATCCGTTATACCATGCTGCAGAGCTCCTTTTTATGAACCCTTCTGCAAATTAGTTGATATTTGGGTTCTTTCTTAGAAAAACACAACGATTTTTTGGATAAAAGTCACCGAATCTGTCAGAATTTCTCCGAAATTAACAAGAAGCCATCAGATTTAAAGAAGAAAAACCAAACAATTCATAAACCTGCTGCAAATTATTTTTTTTAACAGACCGATTTCCAGGAAAAGTCACTAGATCTGTCAGAATTTCTTAGAAATAAAGTATCCGTCCGTAACCTTTTGCAATTTACTTGGTACTTGATTTGTTAAAAAAAACATAAAGCTTTTTTGAAAAAAGTCTACCAATCTGTAAGAATTTCCCAGAAATTAACAAATACAATAGCTATCGTATAAAAAGAGAAAACCAAATAAACCCATGTTTAAAAAAAACTAAAAACTCCTTTTTTATGAAACCTTTTGAAAATTACTTGATATTTGGTTCTTTCTTCAACAACACAAAGATTTCCTGCAAAAAGTGGCGCAATCTGTGTCAATTTCCCTGAAATTAATAAATATCTGCATTTTGCAAGAAAAAAAACCTAAGAATCCCCACTACCAGAAGCTAGATTTTAAAGAAAACCTCTCAAAATTATTTGATAATTGGTTTCATTCCTAAATAGCACCACGATTTCCTGGAAAACAAGTGACCCAATCTGTCAGAATTTCCCAGAAATTGATTAGAATCTGTCATATTACGAGATAAAACCTTAGAAATTCTGTCAAAAAGCTGTTTTAACGAATCCTCTGGAAAGAAGAAAAATAATGTTAATATGAAGAATAATAATAATAAAGAATGTTTAAAAAAAATACCTTTATAAAGGTTTATCCAACTTAACAATTCCGTGCAAAATGGAATAAAGGTCAAAAACGAAAAAAATTGCTGGATTCAATTGTAACTTATACCGTTGTATTTCAAATAAGAGCTTGAGTCAAAAAAAGAAGGTAGAAGAAGAAAAAGAGAAGGAGAAGGTGTTTGATCTCGTTATTTTATCTTTTATTCCTTAACCCCTAGGAGCAGAGGTACCAATTTGGTCGCAAGGAGCCAGTTAGCTAACGAGATGCCAAAGGGACGAAAGGTGTGAAAAAGGGTTTATTATATTTCACACCTTTATGGGATATTATTATTTTTTTAAGTGCCCCTAAATGGTTATTTTTTGTTGTTGTGTATGTGTTTTCATCATAACCTAGAATCAGCAAGATTTATCATTTTTCAGGGGAAAGGGGATGCCGGCATGGAGTCGCCCAGCGTCGGGAGGAGGCAGTGGAAGAAAAGGCTGAGCCTCAAAGTGACGAGGAAACCGACACTAGACGAGGTAAGGAAAAAAAAATTTCCCTATTGTATGCGGGCTGTCGTGTACCGACCGAGGAACATGGTCGAGACACTGCGGGCCGCACCTGTTAGAGAATCACCTAGTTTTGTGATTTTTCAAACACGACTCGACCTATTTTTCAAAAGGGGAAAAGGTTCGAGACGCCGGAAGTGCGCCGGAGGCGCGTACGAGACATGAAGATTCAAGGTCACATCCAAAAAACCGAAACCCACTCGCAATATCGCGATTCAAAAACGGCTGTAAATTTATAGAAACGTTTCCTACGATTTCCACTCAAAAACAGCTGGTTTGAACGACCCGAAGTAGGAAAGCACTATTGCCAAATATTTGGCCCATTCAAGGTCATATCATTTACTATCAAACCGATTCATCTTTTTCAAAATTTGTACTGTGTCAAACTTATAAAATAATTTCCTATCCGAAACACAAAAATACAATGCATTTTAAGCTGGGATCAAGAGAGAAATCAAATCCCATCAACTATAAGTAACTCTTAAAACTCGATTAAACTTACAGGATAAACATTCGGATTTTTTGTCGTACCAAAGTATTCTAGCTTTTTCCGAGAATGCACACTTTTATGCTTAATTCAGATCGTACATCTCTTGACCAATCTACATGCTGACATGTGTATAATTTTGGAAATATTTATACGAACTTGAATGGGCTTATGCTTTGGAAAATAACGTTCCCACTTACAGGACTTCAAATTTAATAAAATAAGCTTACTTCACATAGAAAATCCTAATACCAATCTACAACGTACCATACGTTTTCAATCAAACAAGTCGTTTGGGAAATATTGAAATGAACTCAAATTGGCCAAATCTTTGGCTACTTTACTTATAACTTACAGGACTTCAAACATAATAAATTAAGCTTAGTTCAAACAGGAAATTCTGTTACGAATGTACACTCTAACATACGTTTTCAATCAAACGAGTTATTTGGGAAATACTGATATGACCTTAAATGGGCCAAACCTTTGGCTATTTTATTTACAACTTAACGAACTTTAAACTTAACAGGTGATGCTTAACTCAGATAGTAAATCTCGATACGAATCTGCATATTAATGTAAATATTGTCATCCAACAATTAATTTTGGAAATATTGATATGACCTCAAATGGGCCAAATCTTTGGCAACTTTACTTACAACTTAAAGGACTTGAAAGTTAACAAATTATACTTGATCCAGGGAGGAAATATCGATACAAATATGTAAACTAACATGCCTTTACAGAAAGTACTTTTGGGAATAATGATATGACCATAAGTTTGTTAAATCTTCTGGGGATGAGTTGACAGTTGGAAAACCTTCAAAACGCGTCGATTTCGGAGCAGGAGTCAGGTAATCCAAAGTTTTCGTATTTGATCATCCTCGGCCGGGATTCCTTCTGGTAAACAATCGGCCGATCTCCCCGTCCGCGGTGGGCCAAAGAACGCGAGTATCGATTGTGAGGAATTATGCGGGGCCCCTTCCTCTATGCAGGATTTCGTACGTTCGTGAGGGCCCCGGTCCCTTCCTGCCCGACCGCAATGCGGCTTCGAGGAGCAGAAATGGACGAATTCCGATCAAACAAACCTAATACGAGGAAACAAAATGAAACGAAATTTTAAGTTCAAATCCTGGTTTTTTAAGTTCCGGGGGGGGGGAAACTGGCCAAAATGAATCAATTGCTTTTGTCACAGAATTTCATCTCCTGTATCAACCCATTATCAAGGCACAGATATACTCCAATGCAGACTGAAACCAAGTTAATTTAAAGCTACCCGAAGTTGGTTGAACGTCCATATCATTTATTCAAAAAGCACGTTGACTGCTTTAAGGAAAATTCAATTGAAGATTTATACAACGGTTTACTACCTTTTCGAAAAGAAACTTGTTCATTTTTAATTTCCGCTGGCTAAAAATACAGTTACCAAAAATTTGGCCCATTTAATGTCATATCATAACATACACATATTAATGTCGGTTTAAAATTATGTGTATAAATGAATATATCTATGGATATTTCTTATCTGAATTAAACAAAATTTGTTAAGTTGGAAGTCCTCTAAGTAGTAAATTAAGTTGCCAACTATTTGGCCAATTTAAGGTCGTATCATTATATCCGCACATTAATGTCGGTTGAAAGTTAAGTGTATAAATGAATATATCTATGGAGATTTCCTATCTGAGTTAAGCATAATTTGTTAAGTTGGAAGTCCTTTAAGGAGTAAATTAAGGTGCCAAATATTTGGCCAATTTAAGGTCATATCATTATATACACACATTGATGTCGGTTGAAAGTTAGGTGTATAAATGAATATATCTATGGAGATTTCCTATCTGAATTAAACATAATTTGTTAAGTTGGAAGTCCTTTAAGTAGTAAATTAAGGTGCCTAATATTTGGCCAACTTAAGCTCATATCATTATATCCACACATTAATGTCGGTTGAAAATTACGAGTATCAATGAATATATCTATGGAGATTTCTTATCTGAATTAAACATAATTTGTTAAGTTGGAAGTCCTTTATGTTTTAAATTAAGTTGCCAAATGTTTGGGCCATTTAAGGTCGTATCAATATTTCCCAATTTACTAGTTGGTGAGAAAAGGCATTTAGTTATAGATTTAATAGATTAAGAATTCATGGTTTCATATCTAAATTACTCATCTTAGGTTAAGTTTGAGGTCCTGTAAACTGTAAATAAAGTTGACAAGATTTAGCCCATTTGAGGTCATATCATTATTTCCCAAATGTCTTGTTTGATTGAGAACCTATTTTACATTGTAGATTGGTATCAGGATTTTCTATCTGTATTAATTTTGGTGTCCTGCCAGCTCCAAACATTGTTGTAAAAACTTTGTCCCATTTGAGGTCATATCAACTATATCCAAAAGTACTTGCTGGTTTAATAGTCCATGTTTAGTATACAGATTTGTATCTCGATTTCTTATGTGAATTAAACGACATACGTTAAGTTTGATGTCCTGCCATGGTCAAATAATGCTGCCAAAGATTTGACCAATTCAAGGTCATATCAATTTTTCCCAAATTGTTGGTCGGCTTGGAAATATTCGTTGTATAGTAGATAGAGTTAAGGTTAAGTTAGTTAAGTCTTAGGCAGAAGAAAAGGCCACGAATTCAATTGTGCTAAACTTCTCTACTAATGTTGGACTAACTGTAATCAGATTCCGGTAGTCACGTAAAGAGATAAAATTGGATTAATGGACTTTCATCCCTTGGGTGATTATCGACCTAAAATTTTGTTTCAATTTTCTATAAAAGAAGAAAGAGAAAAAATCGATCCAAGCGGGGTGGATTTTGTCCTAGGTCGACACGGCTTAGGGGTCATGGTAAGCCGAAACCGCCCCCGCTTCCTTCATGTATAAACCATGAGGTTTACAACCCCCTCTCTGAGGAACATGCCGGCCAATAACAACGAACAACCCTTGTACTCCCGTCATCCCTCCGGATTAATGACCTAAATGGAGAAAATCCAAAGTTAACCCTTTCTAACAAAAGCTTGAATATTTCTCGTTTTATTTTCTAAACTATTTATTTTTAAATATTTTACAGGACTTGTCTATCTTTTGCGTTTCAGATATTTAAACATAGCACGTCCTGCCCGGAGGGCCAAGGGGCGTCGAAACTGAGCGAGGTGGGTCGAAAAAAAATTGTTTTAATCTATCTTTCTATCCGCCTCTGCTTCTACCGCTGCTTCTCTTCGCTTTCATGTTTGTTGTGTACTTTTTTAAATTTATCTTTTAGTTAAATGACGGCCGTATCGAAAGGAGGAAGAGCACGCCGGAAAGGGCGAGACGCGACGACAACCCGTGTCAAACGTGAGAGCCTCGGGGAAATTGAAACAGTTCCAACGGAAAATTGGACGATAACAGCCGACAGTTCTGCAAAATATGATAATATCTGACAAACTACAATACGAAACTTAGCCTCAATAATCGGGGATTAAAACACACTCTAACATGTATGACATATAGTTAACATAAAAACTAACGGATAAAACTTTATGATACTTATTATTTATATTGCTTCAAATATTAAAAAACTACAGTCTAAAAATCAAAAATACAACATAAACCTGGAGTAAAGAAGAAGACATGGACTTAAGACTTGTACGAAAGATAGATTGCATTGAAACCACCCAATAGATTTTGCAAATATTTTCTGTATATGTTGTTTAAAGCGAGGTTAAGGAAAAGAAAATGTAAGTAAAAACTTTGACTTGAATTGCTTGATTTTTCAAGAACCATAAGCCATGCTTAAGAAAACTGGCATTATCTAAACGTATAAACCATACAAGCCAATTTCTTCGATATTCGAACTATTGCTTCCTTTCATAAGCACGAATTTATACGCCCAGTTTGATCAGTAAATATTAATCTGTCCATACGGTAACTGTATGCCATGTTTCATCAAACTGATTATATACATATTCCAATATTTGACCGGATTACTTTAATTTTTGAAGCTTCTTTTCATACGACAATTTGTATGCCGAGTTTGATAAGAAAATATTGATTTGTTCGTAAGGTAACTTGTTCGTAACTGTATGCCATGTTTGGTAAAACTGATTGTTTATATATGCCCAACATATTATCGGAATTTGTTGATTTTCAAACTGCAGCTTCTTTTCGTATGTGAGAATATGTCTGTTCAGTTTGATCGAAAAACATTGATTTGTTCATAAGATATCTATGTGCCATTTTTGGTCATACTGATTATGTACATACGCCCAACACCTTATAGGACTTCGTTGATTTTCAAACTGTAGGTTCTTTTCACACGTAAGTATGTACATGCCCAATTTGATCAGCAAATTTGATTCGTTATTAAGGTGATTATTTTTCATATGTTATTAAACTGATTATTGGTAAGTCTGTTTATAATCTCTTTCCGTTTTGACCGATTTTGTTTATGTTATAATTAATTGTAGTTTTTTAACATTAGAAGCTGGATGGGGTAGAAAGGTGGTTGTTTTATTGGGTTACCCTATTCTGTTTTTGTTTTTTTGAAATATGACATATGGATATCTGACGAAGGTGAAGTTGTATATTGTTCAAACTTGGCATTTATTCTCAGTTTGGCTTAATGTTGATACAGTTAGAAATTTATCAGAATCTGACGAGATTTTGTGGGTGTTTTAACTTTTTTTTTGCAATTTGATCACGTTGTTATATGGGGTTTAATGTGAGTTCTTTCTTGGTAAAATGTTTTCCCCTTGATAATGTGCAATTTGTTTAAATAATAATTGAAGCCAAGGGTTTGTAAAGGGGGGCGATAATATACGGCCCGCCCGGGGCGGATCTGTTCTTGATGGGGTAGACTATTTCCCATTAAACAGAGTGGGAAAAGCTCCACCTCGAAAAACGGCCCGTAATGAAAATGGTTTCGAGTTCAAAGGTGTTTTCTTGTCGTTACGATCTGTGATGAGAACCGAGGCGTATTTATGATTTTTGCATTTTGATTCCACCCACCGCTTATTTTGATTAGTTGTGAATTTTCCACCTGGGAGGGGGGTTGGAAATTGAAACAAACTCAGTCGTGCGCGACACCCCTTGTACTTTCATTACACGGCTGACACATTTATTAGGCCCGGGCGGTCGATCCCGAATAAACCTGCGTACCTACATATTCCCCGGCACACCTTGAAACAATTGAAATGTACAACCACGGCTTCATATTAGGACAAGAGAGAGAACCAGAAGGGGATAAAAATACCCTACGTGATCTGATTCGCCGAAGAGGACCCCTTCACCTACGTAATTTTGAAATATCACATTCTCTACAAGGATTTCGGCATTCGCGACACGGATCATTCGCTGTATTGTTCATTTGTTACGTCCACAAAAATTTTTCATTTTTCGACTATAATCAACCCGGCTGAGTTTATACGCCGAGATTGAAGGAAATGCCTACAGTATTTTCGACTAAACCTTATATCATTCGCTATTTCACTATAGACTCGATAACCTCTTAATACAAACAGATCTGAACACTGATTTTTAAACTGTAGCTCGGTGATAAATGAAACAAAAATTAGGCCAAATTTGATGAAAATCTACTATATAGTTTTCTACTTAGCCATATATCAAACAAAACAAAACTCATTATCCATATCTTCCTTTAACACACACTTCAAGATTAATTGTTGATTTTCAAACTGTAAATACTCCAAACATAACGCAGTGTAAATACAAAATATCAAACAATTTGATCGAATAGTTTTAAAGTTAACCATATGTCATATTGACTTTACTAGATTTCTTGGATGTTTGAACCATAGCTTCTTTATTTATGTAAGAATCTATGGGTCCAATTTGATAGATAAATATTAATTTGTTCATAAGATCGTGTTTGGCCAAATTGGTTATTCAAATTGGATCGGATTTCTTTGATTCATTCTGGAGCTTAATTACATACCTAGGATTGCTATGCAGAGATGTGATTAATACGGATTTCCTCAAAATTGAACTGAATATGTTTGTTAAAACTGGCTTGAAATATGACCAAAGCGATATTGGATTTCTTTGATTTTTAAACTATATCTTACATACATATGTGAGAATATATATGCCCGGTATAATCAGTGAATATTGATTCATTGTAAAATTGAATCATGTAATATATGATTAAACTGGTTATTTACATATGCCAAAGGCATTATAATATTTGTTGCGTTTTTACACAGTAGCTTCTTTTTTTATGTAAGAATTGATTTGCTCAGTATGATCGAGAAATATTACTTTGTTCAGAAGTTAACTATATGCCATGTTTGGTCATACTAATTATTGACATATACCATAACGTTATCGGATTTCTTTAATTTTCAAACAGTAGTTTCTTTCCATATAACAATCCATGTGCTCAGTTTGATCAATAAGCTTTGATTTGTTCATAAGGTAACTATATGCCATCTTTGGTCAAACTGATTATTGACATTTGACAATGAAATTATTTGGATTTCCTTAATTTTCAAACCGTAGCTCTTTTCGAGATGTTAGAATATATTTGCTGAGTTTGATTGAGAAATATTAATTTACTCGTAAGATAACTATATGCCATGTTTGGTCAGACTGATTATTGACATATGCCAAAACGATATCGGATTTCTTTAATTTTCAAACCGTAGCTTCTTTCCATAAGTAACAATCCATGTGCCCAGTTTGATCAATAAGCTTTGATTTGTTCGTAAGGTAACTATATGCCATATTTGGTCAAACTGATTATTGACATTTGACAATGAAATTATTTGGATTTCCTTAATTTTCAAACCGTAGCTCTTTTCGAAATGTTAGAATATATTTGCTGAGTTTGATTGAGAAATATTAATTTACTCGTAAGATAACTATATGTCATGTTTGGTCAGACTGATTATTGACATATGCCAAAACGATATCGGATTTCTTTAATTTTCAAACTGTAGCTTCTTTCCATAAGTAGCAATCCATGTGCCCAGTTTGATAGATAAGCACTGATTTGTTTATAAGTTAAATATTGTATATGCCATCTCTGGTCAAACTGATTATCGACATATGGCAATAGATTTATTGGATGTCCTTATTTTCTAACTGTAGTTCGACCGCGTCTAACTAGGGCCAACTGTAAATTTTAACCGTGAAGTATCAGCTCTTTTTGGCGATAACTATACGTCAAACCTTTTCGATAAGATTGTCTATATTTTCCTTCCGTTTTGGCCGATTTTGTTTATATTTGGTTTGTAGGTTTTTTTAATCTTTTCGAACCATTGTAGCCAGTTTGAAGAAGATGCGATGTTTAGTTTTTATGTTAATCATATGTCATATGGAGTGGATAGGAGTATTTTTTTGTTTTCTTCTATTTTTCGTTTAATTCATTTATGTGTTTAAGCGGAGTTTGAACTAAGCATGTGTATCTGTGTTTGGTAAGTCGATCTGTAATTGAGAGACTCGGCTTTTCACCCTTTACCTTTATTGAACGTCAAATAACATCTGTTGAGAGCAATTAAACACAAGTTTATTGTTTCCACCTTTGTGTTTTGTGTACCGTCTTTTCACCCGAAACGGCTGTTATCAACTTAGGTGCTTAATCAATTTTCAAAGCGCACCCCTGCCGCTTAATGAGTAGGATAAGTTTAAAGTAGGATGGGCACGACGTTTCCCCCCAATTACCGCCCGCTTGTTTGCGTCTGGTTAATTGACCGTTTCGAATGTATAGACGTTTGAAATTCGATATCCGAAACTCGAGGGTAATTAATTTCCCAGACGGGGTGCGGGTTGGGGTGTTTCCCCCTTTTTACCGAAAAGCCCTTTTTTCCAACCCGGGTAAGATTTCTCTAATTCTGTTAAGAGTTTGGAAAATCAGGCCGCTTCTTTTCTCGGACAAGGAGTGGAAAATTGCGCCCACCTGGGCCTTTCGGAGATTGAACCGACCTTAGTTACGTCTTGAGTCGGTGAACGGGTCGAAATCACGGGCAAACACCGTACGACATGAATAACCCACAAAGCACTGCTGAATATGGGAAACGCCGAGTGGTCAATTAAGACAGAATTGGCCGCATAATTGATAAACACAAACTATGTCATCACACGGATTCAACACCGGAAATGTTCCTTGCTTCAGATGCCCAAAGTAATCACCGTGAGGTATCGAACGATCAAAAGATCAATATTGACCTATTTGGGGAAGCTTTAATTGGGAAAGTTGAATTGACAAAAATACACCTTTGCTACAAGGAAAAATTGCCAAGAAAAGACATCCTCTAAGTATGACATATGGACAACATAAAAAATAAACATGTGTTTTTCTTCAAAACATACTACCCTGGTTCGGAAGCAATAAAAAAAACTACAAACCAAATACAAACAAAATCGGTCGAACCCGACAGAAAATATAGACAATTTTATACACAACGTATGACGTAGAGCTATCCACAAAATGAGTCGATACGTCCGGACCATAATTTACAGTTGGGCTCAGTACAATATGAGCAGACAACAGTTTAAATATTAAAGAAATCCGATCAAATATTGGGCATATGTCATTAACCAAATTGGCCAAACATGGCATATAATTAACATATTAAAAAATTAAAATATTTTCATCAATCTCAGTTCAAATATTCTTAAATATGAAAAAAAAGCAACAGTTTGAAAATCAAAGAAATCCGACAAGGTGTTGGGGATATGTCAGTAATCAGTTTGACCAAATATGGCATACAGTTATCTTATGAACAAATTAATAATTTTCTATCAAACTCAGCAAACATTTTCACGTATGTGGAAAGAAGCTACAGTTTGAAAATAAAAGCTATCTGATCAAGCTCCGTGATTATGTAAATAATCAGGCTAAACATACATGACATATATTAACTTCATAAGAAATCAGTATTTTTTGACCAAACTGGGCATGTGTAGTCTCAAATATGGCGAGAAACTGCAATGTGAAAACCACAGAAATCCGTTAACGTTTTGGCGTATGTCAATAATCAGTTTGACCAAACATGGCATATAGTTACCATATGAAAAATCAATACTTTTCGATCAAATTCAGCTTGTATGTTCTTATATGAAAAGAAGCTATAGTACAAAAATGTAAGAAATCCGATCAAATGTTGGGCTTATGGCAATAATCAGTTTGAACAAACGTGGCATATAGTTACATCCTGGTCATGCGGATGCTCCCATATGTAAAGGAGCTACAGTTGGAAAATCGATCGAATTGGCTTAGATGATTTTTATATAAAGAACCCGTTTTCTTAATCGTGACATACAGCCGACTATCATACTGACTTCATTTTGAATCCTATAATGATCAAAATATTGTAGATTTATTAAATCAATGATATGACATATGGTTAACTTTAAAACTATTCGATCAAATTATTTGATATTTTGTATTTACACTGTGTTATGTTTGGAGTAGTTACAGTTTGAAAATCAACAATTAATCTTGAAGTGTGTGTTAAAGAACGATATGGATAATGAGTTTTGTTTTGTTTGATATATGGTTAAGTCGAAAACTACATGGTAAACTTTGATCAAATTAGGCATTTGTTTTGTTTCATTCATTAACAAGCTACAGTTTAAAAATCAGGGCTCTGATCATTTGATATTAAGAAGTTCTTGGGTCTATGTATTGACGTAAATGATATACGTTTTAGTCGAAAAATACAAAAGGTACTGCCTTCAAACTCGGCATATAAACTCAGCTGGGGTTGATATGTGTTACAGTTAAAAATGGAAGATTTTACCGTAGATCTTTTCTCGTTTTGACATTTTCCTCATCGGACTGTTTCAGTATGCGTATTACGGGAAAAACCTCTTAAAGGATTTCACAGACGGTCTGATTTCCCATTCTAACCGGTCTCTTACAAGGGAATATTTCTGATCCGATCAGTACGAAAGCACACACAAAAAATAAATAAAAGGCAGATGTTTACCAATGAGCTTACAAGTCTGACATTAAATCCCTAAAGGGTTAAATCCTGGGCGAATCGTGAACATCGAAACCTTACAAATACAGGCGTAAGTATATAACGTTAAACGACCACGATGGATCAATATTAACTTATGTTTAGGATTAATAAAACATCATACATGAACTTACGTTACATAATTTGTCTTTCTTTGTGTTGACTTAGGGGGTGGAGATCGATCGTGGGGTTGTATTGCAATTTTAACGGGCCTAAACTTCCACCATTGGGATTTAATAATCAATGACTGTGGGGAGGGAGGTCAATTAGACGGTCATCATATCGGAATTAGCCGCGGGGGTTGAAAACCGGAGGATGGAATTTGCATGTTAATTGATCAACAGTTTCGAAGCCCTTTTGTTTATTAAAAACCGGTGATTGGTAAAAATCGGTCCTCCGGGCCGGATCTTTAATATACTTATTACCTTTAAAATAAAAAGTCATTTTTATTTTTATGCTTTATACCCAATGGCAGATTATGACTAATTAATCCATCCAACCCCTCTGTACCTTTTAGCAGGGAGGTTCAGATTGAACCTTAACACGGTTAACCCTCGGCCCTTTTCAAGGCGTCAGGGCGAATTTGGCTCTTAGGCCCGGAAATAAGCCCTCCGGACCTTTAAAGTGTCCGGTGGTTGGGCGGAAAAGATCTGAAGGGAAAAGGGACGATTGGGTCTTGTTTATTAATTTTCCCCTCGTGCCCTTCTACCCTCTCGCATTGAACCTGTCCCTTTCATCTCACATGGTCACCAGTTTAAATACAAATTAGGGTGAGGATGAACTAAAGAAATAATTAGAGGGAGAGTGGTGGTTTATTTTTCGACAGATCCATTATTCAAGGAGGTATTACAAGCGCCCACACGATGCCAGGGCTTAAACGAAACTTTCATAAAGCACGAAACTAAAAGTTCCGAAGTGAAAACGAACACCCAACAGAGAACAATACGGGTGGTAAAAGTTTACAGGTTCCATTCAAGCTCATCCGGAGCTTTGAAAACAAAATGAACATGTAATTGGTCGAGTTTCGAAGTTTATGTTTTAATTTTTTTAACAGGAGATAAGAGGAAAAGGTGAGACGTCAAGAAGATGCGCATCCCTCAGAGGAAGAGTAACGCCTCCTTCGAGCGCGACCCCGACCCCGACTGCCCCGCGCAAGACCAACTGGGAAGTCATCGAGCACTTCACCTCCCCGGGCCAGGGTCCCTGCCAGAGGCTCAGGTCTGCGAGTTTGATTGCGAGCCACAACGCCGACTCGATACTCGAGGAGGACGAGGACGCCGGGGCTCAGGATTCACTCCTGCTCGCTGACGAGTCAGGCGGCGCGCAGAGGGTCGTCCTGGCAGGAAGGACGAGGACGAAGTGGGCCAGGATACTCAGGAGGATGTTCGTGCCTCACAGGTTCAACAACGTGCAGGTGGGTCTTGTCTTTCATTTGATGTCGTTATCCTTAAAACAAACAGAGGTCATCTCTCCCTTCGAATCTATTAGATCTCGGTAAATAACGAACAAAATTTGTTGAAATTTGGTACAATCATTAATCTACGAGGAAGTAACATCTAATCAAAATGTGGTCCAAATTGGCCGAGTTTCACTTTCAGTAGCGTCTTCTAAAGATATGCGTGCAGTTACCTTAAATTGATTACTTTGCCAATACCACAGTAAAACAACAAGCAAATTTTTTCCAACTTGGTAGAATTACCAATGAGGACGTAATATGTAACCAAAATTTGGTTGAAATTGGTTGAGTTGTACTTTCAGGAAGTTGGTTTTTCTATAGGTATACGGTAGGTCACCACAAAATTACATTTTTCCTTGAATACCACCATTGAAAATTAACCAAATTTGTTCAAACTTGGCGTAATTATTCACTAATGAGGACGTTATATGTAACCAAAATTTGGTTAAGATTGGTCGACGTGTATATTCAGGAAGTTCGACTTTTTCCAAGGTAGACATGAGGTGATTTCAAAATGATGAATTTCCTTGAACAACACAATAAAAAAAACTGAACTTGTTCACACTTAGCATACTTATTCACGTATGAGGAACTAATACGTAACGAAAATTTTGCTGAAACGGATCGACTTAATTTTCCCTTGGGAACAATTATGAGGTGACCCCATCTGCCTGATGCCAGATACTACTTCCTTGAAAAAGGAATAAAAAACATTTTAGAAATTTATTAAAAATTTGCAGAATTATCCACCAATGAATATATAATGTGTAACTAAAAATTGGTTGAAATTGGTCGAGTTGCATATTCATTCATCTTGGGTGCCTTTTCGCAACATGTTTTTTTTAAATATCCATATAAAGAATTCAACAGAAATCAAGTCAGTAATTTACATTCTACAATTTACAAATTTACACTCGACCGCATCTCACGATTTCTAATTAATCAATAATGACACAATTTTTCATGAAAGTATAAAAAAAAATCATAAAAATTGATCTCGACAGAATCGAGGTTTGCCCATTTTGGCAGTTTTCGTTCAAGGGGGCCCCGTTAAAAATCGTACTTTCTCAAATATCTCGTTTACGGATTAATAGAATTTTATCCTAATCGGTACATTCGAGGTAAAGATATGTATGAATAAGTCATGAAAAGGACTTTAAAATTGGCCGAAAGGGTTAAGCCCCGGGGGCTTGATTTGTTTTGCCTCGGAGGGGCCACCCTGGGCATGGGCATAAACGCATTTTCTTCATTTTCTAGACCAATTTTGAATAAAAATTCATTACAACTCAGGACTTTGAGGCTTTGGTCCAATCTTCAAGACTTCTTTCTTGCTTGAAGAGTTTTATTGTACGTATTTTTTCTCTCCGAAGGAAACAAAGCGAAATGGAAGCGTACCGTGTAAATCGACAGAGAAATGTACAATTACGCCCCGGAGTTTATATGGAGCGAGTCGGCGTAGTGCTTCTGAAGGTGAATTAAATTCTCCCTTGAAGCAAAGCCCCATGTTCAAAGGGCGAAGTCTGTTTTCAAACCCCATCGAAAGAGGAGGGTGGCTTTTTCGAAAATTAGTACTACCGAGGAAGAAAAAGGAAAAATTATCGAATTTTGTATTTTTTATTTTTTTTTATTTGTTTGCCCTTCCGCAGTCGACCTTGCTCTTGAGCCGTCTGAGGCAACAGGTTGGGCCACGGACTCCGACCACCCATCGTGGATAAAAGAGGCGAAATTGGGTCACATCCCTCCCCCGGGGGATGGAGGACGGCTTTGGTAATAAATTGCCGCCACCCCCTCATGTAGTTTCCCCCTGCGAAAGTCCCCGGACTTTTTTCCTCGGATCTTGAATCGCCTCGGACTTTTATTGGCCTTGTAAAGTGCGCCCACTTTCCCGAGGGGGGACTTTGTCCAGACAGTGCCAACGGGCTGTAAATTGAGGGGTTTTTTTCTCTTTCAAACCCCACAAACGTTATTTCTCCAAAGGGAGCGACTTTAGATAGAGACCTAGTCGTCAAGGAAGGTGATTGAGGGAGGGGTGTTTTTTCAAGCCGGAGGGTGGGCCCATGAAAACAACCCATTTAAAAACGAAGCTCACTCCTGGCAAATAACCGTTTATCTTTGACCGTTCTGACCGTTTAAAAAATAAAAACCGATCCACTATCCCCGAGGGTCTCTTTTGTCTCTTTTAATTTTATTTTTAAAATATACATGCCAATTAAAAATACTGAATGGATCCGAGGATGTGAAAAAATAGATCAAGACGTCTATGATAAAAAATGACATTTGAATTCGTAATTCGACGACAGTGGAACGACAATAGGGAAGTACTGCTGGAAAGGGACAAAGGGCGTGACGTGGGTGAGGCCCTCGTTTGTTTAATAATTGAGTCGAGTTTCTCCTTATTTGACTGTGTTTTTTATTCCGTTCTCCGGGAAATAAGGCGGGTGAATCGATGGAAACGGCTCCCAGTTCGCTTGTGTCAAACTTAAAAATAAAGCCTTCCTGGACTTATTTATAATTTTTTAATACTTTAACTGTCGGAATTTGGTTAATTTTATGATAAATTATTGAAATCAATGAATCAATGAAATAATATGAAAGTGGGGTGTATATTGAATTGAGTCTTGACTTTTTCAGGGTGGCCCCTCCAAAGCTAAACAAATCAAACCCCCTGGGACCTAACCCTTTCGGCCAATTTTAAAATCGTTTTCAAAATTCATACACCTATATATTTTACTCTATTGTACAAATTTTGATTAAATTCTGTTGTCATGTTTCCGAGATTTTTAAGAAAGTACAATTTTGAACGGGGCCCCCTTGGAAGAAAACTGCCATTGACAACCCTTGGGCCCGACTAATTTCCGCTCAATTTTTAAAAATTTTCATGCTTTGATTATCCCATTGGTCAATTATTGTTAATAAGAACTGTTTTCAAACTTTTTCAACCATCCTTTTCCGAGTTTTATTGGTTATTTGGCTTTTCAACACTCCTCATTTTTAATCTAGTTTTTCCTCTTAATTCTCTCCATTAAATCTTGAACGAGTTTAAAAACACTTCGAGCAAATCTTTCTCCTGAGAGCTTTCACGGCGAGGTGTTACGCTTCAAAGCACTCATAACTTAAGCCCCTGCATAATCCATGTCGGAGGGGGTGGGGAAGGCTTTACCCCTCCAATTTTTTCCGGGTGAAACTTTCCGAGGGATAACTTTTTCAAGATTGACTCTCCGCTTGTGTACTTTTCGAGTGTGAATATAAAAAATAAATAAATATACTCACTTCCGATGGTGTGGGGTGTGGGAAAAATAGGGTTGAGAATATGCTGTTGATGGGGTTGGAGATCGAGTGGAATTCGGTGTCAGCGGTTGGAGTGCCCTTTGGAAATAAACCTACTTCAACACCTATTGAAAACAATCGACTTAAACCGGCTAATTGGCCATAGGAAGCATAATCCAAGTGGAGACAATTTCCAAAAATTGACCTAAAACTAATTGTAAGTTAGAGGTATTTGAATTTTCTTCCAAACCCCGTTCAAAATCGTCGGAAACACGTCAGCAGAATTTAATAAAAATCAATACAATTGGGTAATATATATGTATAAATAAATGCTGAGAAGGATTTTAAAATTGGCCAAAAGGGTTAAGTCATAAAGCGCTTGAATTTTTTGGCATTGGAAGGGCCACCCTAGAAAAGTGAAAACTCAATTTAATCGACATCCCACTAATTAATTTATCAAAAAATTAATCATATTCCGAAAGTTAAAGGTTAGAATATTATAATAAAATTGGCCGAAAATAAATAAGCCCCGGGAGGCTTCATTTTAAGTTTGACAGCAGCGACCTGGGAGCCTAATTCCTTTAAAAATCAATGTAAATAATTTAACAAAATTCAGGTCAATAAATGACTTTTCATAACCAAACCCGACTATAGCAAAATCTTAAAACTTGACTTGAAATCAGTCAGAACCGAGGTTTGTCCATTTCGGCAACTTCCTTCCAAGGGGGCTCCGTTGAAATGGTACTTTTTACAATATGTTAACCACAAGCCAACAGAATTTAACCAAAATTTTTAAAATTGGGTCAAAGATACATTATTGTAAGGTACATTATTATTATCATTATTATCATTATCAAAGGTACATTATTGTTTAGAGTTAAAGGGTAAAAAGTATAATAAAATTGCCAGAAAATAAATAAGTTCCGGCAGGGTTTGTTACTAAGTCTGACTCCAGCTACGTGGGAGCCCTTGCACAACACATTACCTTTAAAATCGATATAAAAGTTTTCAAGGAAAACTAGGTCAATAATTGACTTTTTTTGCATGGAATCCCAGTATTTAAAAAAATAATTAAAACATTGACCTCAAATTAGTCAGACCCGTGGTTTGTCAAATTTGGCAGATTTCTTTCAAAGGGGGCCCCCGTTTAAAATCCTACTTTTCACAATATCTTGGAAACAAGCCAACAGAATTCAATCAAAATTTGTACGATCGAGTAAAAGATATAGGTGCATATTTTCTGAAAAGGACTTTAAAATTGGCAAAAATGGTTAAATCCCAGAGAGCTTGATTTGTTTCGCTTAGGAAGGGCCGCCATGAAAAACGGGAATTTTGTCCGACGAAATCCTGTTTTGTAAATTTGAAGTTTAATTATCATTTAATTAATCTGTTTTCCTCCTCTTGACTATCGTGATATGTGTTTACGTTGTTCCCCCTCATGCTAATTATTTATATATATAAAAGAATTCAAAGCAATTTTATGTGCCATAATAACAAAACACATCTACAAAGCCAGCATCAGGAGTGTTTTTCATTTTTTTCTTTTTATTTTGCATAATCATTTTTATCTGTGTTTATCGATCGATTGTCAGTTACACCGCTGTCATCCTAAAACGATTTTTTTAAATCTTACTCCCAAAACGTTTTCTATTTTGAAATGAGAAACCGGTCAACATTGATCCTTTTATTTTATTTTTTTTAATTCACAGACTGAGATGCTCTACCAGAGGTATTTCCTGAGGTACAACAAGACCCAGACGACATCTCTTCTCGTCCTCCTCCTGGTGCTCAGCCTCGGGTCTCTGGTCGCCATCCTGGTACTCCAGCCTCCGAGCGTGTCTCTCGCCTCTTCGTCCGCTTGCCTGGTCTGCTGTACCGTTCTCTATTCGGGTAATTATATATAATAATAATATATAATAATATTTTGAAGAAAATAAACCTAAGAAAACCGGAGAAATCAGGGGTCCTGTTACTTCCATTCTTGATTTCTCGCCAATTTTATTTTAACAGTCTACCTATTTTTGTCGTATTTAAAACATTCAGATTCACTATGGACAATTATATTGTTTTATAGGCCAATATATAATAATGTTTACGTTTTGAAAAAGAAAAACCTAAGAAAATGTGAGAAATCTAGGCTCCTGATAATTTCAGTCTTGTTTCCTCTCAAATTTTATTTAAACAATCTACCTGGTTTTGTCATATTTAAAACATTTAGATTCATTACGGTCAATTATATTGTTTTATAGGCCAATATATAATAATGTTTACGTTTTGAAAAAGAAAAACCTAAGAAAATGTGAGAAATCTAGGCTCCTGATAATTTCAGTCTTCTTTCCTCGCCAAATTTGTTTAAACAAATTTAGTTTTTGTTATAGTTACATCGTTTGGATTCAATACAATCAGATACATTGTTCTATAGCGCAATAAAAAAAAATTATCTAATTGAAAAAAAGAAACGTCGGAAAACGTGAGAAATCCGGGCTCCTGATACATTTCCTCAATTGCTTCACCAATTTTGTTCTACAAACGGCCTTTTTTTTGTAATATTGACATAATTGTTATTAATATTTATTAAAATGTAGGCCAGTGTGTTAATTTACACAACAATGGATAAATGTTTTTATGTTTCCTTCAGACACGTAAGCAAATGTAAAATGGGAGCTCCTGATACTTTCACTCCTATTTATTGTCCAATTTCGTTTAAAATAATTGTTTTACAGCTCATAATACATAATTTTCTTATTGTTTCTAATCTGTTTTATTGTTTTATATGGTAATAAGATAAAATATTTATGTTTAAATGGACGGAAATAAAAAAAAACATGAAAAATCTGGCCTGCTTGATATTTTTAGTCAGATTTCATGCCCAATTCTGTCCAACAAAGGGATATTTTTGTGAAAGTGCAATAATTTATATTGATTAAACCTCATTATAATATTTTATACCATAATGCATAATAATATTTATGATGCTTCTTACAGAAAAGTTAGAAAATTGGTGAAATGGGAGCTCCTGATACTTTCGTTCTTGTTTATTGGCCAATTTTTGTTTGAAATAGTTGTTTTATTGCCTGAACTGTTTTATTGTTTAGGGTAAAAAGACAAAATATTTTTCTTTAGAATGACAGAAAATTAAAAAATACTGTTAGTAATCTGTGTTCCTGATACTTCAACAAAAACGTCCCAGTGATCCTTGTGGGTTTTTTTTCTTCGACTCTTTTCACTGAAATTTCTAAAATTGGCATTTTTATAATGTAATAAAGTGTTTGGGGGGGGAGTAGAAGTGAAATTTATTGCCAGGTTAATAAAGGCAAGAATTTTCCCTGGCTTGTGCCGGATGAAAGCACCCCGGGATTTTCCCATTTCCCCTCATCCCCGTGGGGAGGGTTTATATTTATATTTTTATTTTTTATTCCCAACAAATCCGTTTATACGCGCGCGGCGGGCGCTCGCAATTTCCTCGTCTTTGGTGCGGGGGGTCTCGCTCTTCCCTCCTTGGAGGAAATCGTTTTGTTTTTTCCTTTTTTTTTCTTCCTTCCACCTTATCGAACGGATTAAACAAACCCATACACAGTAAATAGTTTGACCTATTTCCGTCTGTGTAAACACGCCCCGACGGTGGTCATTTGGGGGCCCCACCGGTTGTAAACAGACTCCAGCGTAAATAGATTACCACTAAAAATACAGTCCCGGGCGAGGAGTCGACTCAATTGCTTGAAAATCGACATGTGGTCCGCCTAGTTTCGCCGTGCAACAAAGATTAGCGGAAACAAACACCCGATATTGGCATAAGCAGCTCGATCCTTGATAACAAGCGAGAACATGCGGACCCAAAACTATCGTACTCAATTGTGCCTTAAAACAGTTACTAGATAATCTGACTTAACATTTTTGCTTATATTTCTATTAAACCACTATTGGATCTTACCTAAAACACCAATAGAAGAGATAAAGGGGATGCTAAAGCCTCCCCTAACCATCCCTAACCATCCCTAAACGATGCTAAAGCAGCGAGAACGTGCGGACCATTTGTCACGTCCACTTAAAGCAAACCAGTAAGGCCTGGGATAAAAGAAGAATAGTAAAATGGGGTCCGCCAAGTCTCGCTGAAGAACAGGGCAAAGGGTCATGAAACTACGGGAGGGCCTCAAGGATCAACCGATTCAATTTGGCCTTGGAACATTTGCAGAAACTCATGAATCGCGAGTTGTGCGTATTTTGTCATCGGACTCGTTTGAACACGCTGTATAGAGCGAGAAAGTGCGGACCCACAAAAAGACAAATAATGTTTCCATATTAGAACAGAAGACAAACAGAAGAAAACCACGATGGTCTGTCGTTCCAGGAACTCAGGAGCATATGACCTTAGGATGAATAATAGCGAAACTTAACGAGACCAGGCGGACCAGTTAATTCAAACCCAATCTTATTACATCTTGAAACAGTCGACCAACAAAACAAAACCTGAACCAAGAATCACCTCATATTCATCAAAGACATTTAGAGCCAACGCATATGACTTAAGATAAATAATGGCAAAATTTAGTGAGACAGTGTGGACCCATTAATTCAAACTAATGTGATTACATCTTCAAACAATCGCTCAAAAAAGAAAAAAATCGCCTAATGTTCGTTAAGACATTTAGAACGAATGCATATGACCTTAGTGTTCTGATGACGAAACGCAGCGAGACAAAGCGGACCCCTGGATCAATACTGAAATCGTCTCTGCTCTTGACATCCGCAAGGGGCTTATCCCGCAGATCTAGCGTTATCCAGACCGACTGACATTTCAATTAAAGTTCGACCCCGGTGGACTAATTTCACGACGGCTTGGGTTTTTTCTAAAGGTTGGATTATCATCAAAGGGATTATCGTCAATCCGATTTTTGTCTGCAGGTCTGATCTGGTGGCTTGAAAGGTGCGGAAGCAAGGTGAACGAAATCGACCTGTCCTGGGCGTCGTTGGGCATCCTCGGCTCTGCGCTGCTCATCCAGGGCGTCATGAGGAGGTCTCAGCCTCCTCTCATCTTCACCTACCTCGGCTATGCCCTACTCGCCGTGACGATACAGCAGGCCGTGGTCGGTGCAGTCCTCCTCGCAATGCTCCACATTTTCACTCAGGTCACTTCCAGGATGTACGTACCGCAGGTAAATCATTTTAGACTTTTTTTTTTTAATGATGATATTCTGAGATATTCTGAGTGCCACCCTTATTAATGGGTTCGTGACACGACCCCCGAGGCCGGGGATTTAGGGGATCTCACCCCCGCATTAAAATTCATAAAGTGATTTTCTCAAATAACCCGTATAAAATATCGAAGACGCTTTAAACCAAAGAAAAAACCCGAAACCTTAAGTTTAATCAATAGAAATCAACCATATCAATAATTGATCGGTCTCACAAACACAGTCTCATTATCGAAATCGGACGAAAACAACGGGAAGAATACTGCTCGTGAAAATCATTCACGGGATGCTACATGAATTACAAGGTGATGACAGATACCTTTCTCATTAAATTTTTTATGAGTTTAATCATCAATGACGAGATTTTACAGCATAGCTCTGTTGAAAATCATCATAATTTGTCTTGGAAAATACGCCAAAACTTGCAAGAACTGAACCCAAGAGACACCATTAAAAAAAAAACTTTTATCGTTTTATTTGATTCAAAATAAATCTTATTACCTCGAATACGGATATAAAAAATCTAAAAAAAAAAAAAAAAAAAAGAGAAGAAAAGGTAAAAAATGAAAGTGAAAATGTCGCCCACCCTACTTGTTTCTTTGATTTGACGACAATAAACCCCCTCTTCTGCAAGTTTCCCTCTTCTACTTTTTACCGGGCCTTAATGCCTTTTTATTAAGAGGCAATTAATCAACCCTTAGCACTTCAACCCTCACCCCCAGGTTCACCTTGAAAGGAGGGAGAGAAAGAATTAAGGGAAAAAGATGTACTTATTAAATTGGGATTTGAATAATGAATTAAACTTGAACAACCCCGGCCGGGGGTTTATTTTCGTACGGGGAGGCGGAAAAGCCCAACCCCCACCAAAAAGGTTATTAATAACGAGGGGTGATTTCATCCCCCGTTGAACAACTGTTGCTCCGTTTTGGGCAGAGCGAGAACGAGCGAGCCAGACTTTTATCCCCCCCTCTTCAAAAAGACGCTGGATGGAAATTATTAAAAGCCGGGCCGCTAATGGAAGCTCCTGAGAATCCCAAACCGCCCATAAAACAATCACGAGCTTAGACTTTACGATGGAACAAATCCATGCATGCTATTGAAAAGCACAACCAACCGTAAAATATAAAATATAAAATAAATCATAAGATTTGCGCCTGATAACCAATTATTTGCCAATGCAACAGGTTGCTGTAAACCCCTAGTCAATTATTATCAGGAGCCGAGACTTTGTTCAACATATCTGTGAATAACAAAAGCTCCTAGTTGTGTAATATCTACACACAATTCTTCTGATACTGACTGTATGAATAATTATGAACCCCTTATGAATTATTGTGAAACGCTGATGTGCTCCTGACAATAACCCCCAGCTATTCTAATGCTGGCTATGTACAAAATGTTCTCCTGCTAACTACTTCCTGTTATACTAATACCGGATGTATACAAAGTGTGCTCTTGATAACGCCCACTCTTATGTTGACATTTGCTGTATGTGCTCCTGATAATCTCTCATTTTTTTATCCTCCTGATATTCACCTCTTGCTATCTTGATCCTGTCCATTTATAAAATTGTGCTGCTGATTATAATTTATTGTTACTGGTTCTGTAGTGTGCTCCTATTATCATGATACAGGTTTTGAACAAAGTGTGCTCTTGACAATCCTCTTCTGTACCGATTACTCAGTACAATCACTTCCCTGTTTCCTTTTACTGGCTGAAAACAAAGTGTTCTCCTAATTGTCCAGATACATGCTTACACCAAGTTTAGTGACTGGGAGTTTAATGTGATGAGGGCCAGTGTTGTTTCGAGAGAAACCGTGATGATGACGAGGCCGAGGCCGAAACCGTGTGCGTGGCGCCGTTGGTGGTGGTCTGTGACCATGAGTAAACCGTTGGCTGAGGTCCGAGGGCCGTGAGTCGGTTGACTCCACAGTGGCCAAAGGTATTGGAATACAGCAATTAGCCGAGGGGCAGCAGTTGGCGTTTACGGCCAAGTCGGCTGTTTAGAAGGCGAGATCTAGGCTAATGCTGGGGGTACTTGCTGTCGTTGACGGTGTTCCTTTAGTGACGACTCGTCGGGTTGACGAGTCTAGTGTAGTCGATTATTAGTGATTAGTGAGATCTCGTCGGGTTGACGAGTCTCCGTTTACATTAGTGATGGTTGAGATCTCGTCGGGCTGACAAGTCTGATTCCAGCGAGGCAGGGCCCCTGGCTATATAGGGAAGCGCTCTACTCTGATTGGCTGCAGAGTGGAGGGCGAGAACAAGTCGTAGTGGCATCTAGCGGTAACGTGTGGTAGCTACAAGTGGCCATACACAAAGTATCCTCCTGATTACTCCAATACATGCTTACATAAAGTTTTCTCCTGATTATCCTGATACAAGCTTACACAAAGTGATCCTGATAATAACCTTATTACTGACATTTGCTTCATGCAAAGTGTGACCTTGATTATCCTGATACATTTTTGTAAAGTGAGCTCTTGATAATTACCTTCTGCTATCCTGGTGCTGACCATTTACAAAACGTGTTCTTGATAACCGCCCACTCGCATCTTGGCACTTAATCTACGGAAAGTGTGCTCCTTATTATCCTAAAATACATTTTTGTAAAGTGAGCTCCTGATAATTACCTTCTGCTATCCTGGTGCTGACCATTTACAAAACGTGTTCTTGATAACCGCCCACTCGCATCTTGGCACTTAATCAACGAAAGTGTGCTCCTGATTATCCTAAAATACATTTCTGTAAAGTGAGCTCTTGATAATTACCTTCTGCTATCCTGGTGCTGACTATTTAAAAAACGTGTTCTTGATAACCGCCCATTCGCATCTTGGCACTTAATCTACGGAAAGTGTGCTCCTGATTATCCTAAAATACATTTCTGTAAAGTGAGCTCCTGATAATTACCTTCTGCTATCCTGGTGCTGACCATTTACAAAACGTGTTCTTGATAACCGCCCACTCACATCTTGGCACTTAATCTACGGAAAGTGTGCTCCTGATAATCATCGTTTATCATCCTGACATACATTTTCATAAATTGGGCCCCTGATAATCAAATTCTGTCATCCTAACGCTGTTTCATACAAAGCGCGCTTCCTATAATTCTGACTCATACACAAAGTGTGCTCCTGATAATCATCTTATTTCATACATTGGCTTCACACAAAGTGTGCTCCTGATTATCCTGAAATACATTTTTGTAAAGTGAGCTTCTGAAAATCACCTCCTGCTATCTTGGTGCTGACCATTTAGAAAATGTGCCCTTGATTATGCCCACTTTATCTTGAGATGTACTCTAAACAAAGTGTGCTCAAGATACAACCAATCTTTTATCTCCTGATATCCACATCATGCTATTCTGATGCTGACTATATACAAACTGTGCTCCTGATTACCACTTATTGGCACTGGCTCTGTCCAATGTGTGCTCCTGATCCTTACTTCTTTTTCCCTTTTAAGGGGCTTATAGTGGTCTTCTGATTATCTTGGGACAGTTTTGTGTAAGATAACCATCTCCTGTTATCCTGATACTGGAAGTTCACCTTGTGACACATTCACATCATGAGGTCATCTTTTCATCCCGTTTTCCTGACATGTGCTTTATTAGATGAAAGTCTAATGCAGTATTTTACAAATCCAAATGTTATCCGTCCAAAACATTACTCGTGAAACTTTCCCAAACTGAATTGATGAGGGTTGTTCAGATGTTAAAGTTGAGGAAGGATCTCTTGTATCCTTGTCTGACTTTAACATTCCCTCTCCATTCTCCTTTCTGAATAATATATTTAAACGTGTCACGCGTCAAAAGGTGGTCGGGGAATTCGTTAAATAAATTACAAGGCAATCTTCCTTTTAGGGCTTTTAAGTAGAGGGTGGGGGGAGAAAAAAAGGGCAGCGATGGGTTAGATATATGCAAATTTCGACTCGGAGCTACCGTGTCGGATATGTATTTATTCATTGGATTTAAAGTCAAAGGAAGGCAATTTCTGAAGGGGCGGGTGTCCGGTTATAATCTGACTTTTGTCAGTTTGGCCGTCTGGGGGGTGGTTTTGCCTCTTTTTGGGTTTTGTTTTTACGGCCCTTGAATTTGCCGCCCCCGGTGCGGTTTGTTTTCTCAAAACGTATAACGTCAACAAGGTCCGGGGATATGCAAACACTGGAAAAAAGAGATAAAGTCAAATTGAATGTGGAGTTGTTGTTTTTTTTTTAATTTTGCCGATCCAGGGTCCGCCTAGCTTCGAAGTGTCGCGGCTTCTGTCACCAGTCGAAATATACACCCTCGACCGGTATGTTTCCCGTTTGAAAAACCACGTCTGACGGGCTGTCACGTCCAATTTTCCGCCCGTTTTCCCGTTTAAAGTCCCTCGGTCGTTATCGCCGGAAAAGGCCGCCGCCCCCTTCGATTCGAACAGGTACGCCACCCCCGCAGCACCCCCGCAACTTCATCTGAATTAGTTACAACTGAGCGATAATTAAACTGAAACGAGAAAGGCCCGGTTTCCAGACACAATTGGGCCTTGGGCATCGAATGGGACAACAATCCCCAAACCCAACCCCGACCCCCAATCCGAACGACACGAACACCTGAAAGGGTCAAAATTAATCGTTGATTAATTAAACCTGACAAGGGACGAACATTCCCAGCCAAGCCCTTCATTGTAAAGCAATAAATCATGTAATACCTTTGGTTTGTATTATTTAAAAAAAAATCCTTGCTCCTGATACTTCTCGTAATATATATGTTAGTTATCCCAAAAGCCAACAGCAGTTTTTATATTGCTATATAAACAATAAAAAAACAGTCAACGGTTGGTTTGTCGCATGGGGCCGATGCTCCTGTCACTTTTTCCTTCTGATCCGAGCTCCTGTATGCCAGAAAGTTTAATTTACGCCAGTATAACGAGAAAAAACTGTTGAGAAAATGGAAGTGAGGACCAACATGACATACAATCACTATACCAGGAGAACTCATTGCACCCAACCAGTAATACTTAACCAAATATGGCTATCAGGAGCACACTTGGTGAATCAGGATATAACAGCAATTTTGGTCCGGAGCGTTGAACCTAGAGGTATTCGTATACAAGTCGAACAAAATCTAGGCTCCTGACACTTTCATCGGCTTGGATTTATGATTGGCGAATGTTTAACAATCAGGAGCGATCCTTTTAAGCTGATAATAAAATATTAGTTAAAGTTTTATATTATTCGTCGGAAAAATCTAAGCTCCATTTACAAATACGAATAAAATCAGGAGTAAATGCTAAAAGCTCTTGATACTTTACGATTAGTAACGGTTCTATTACATTAGGATTCGAGGTAAAACCTGGCAAAGCATCCCATAAATCCGCCAGACTGAAGGAGAATTTCGCCCCTTTTTTCCCTCCGACCTTCTCGCCCACGACGGTACGCTTCATTAACATGTTATTACCGAGATTAATAGAGAGCTACTCCTTTAAAAAAAAAACCTTCTTACCCTCCATTAACATGCGGTCCATCTCGAGAGTCATTAGTCTGAAATTCTTGGAAGAAAAACCCTGTCTAAAAATCCATCGCCAAAAATTTAAAACTTCTACGTCTAGAAAAACAACAAATTATTAAAATCCTACAGCAATATCAGCTCAGGTTGATGTGAAATCAACAAAATAAATACGAACTCGGATTGCTAGGAGAACAACTTCAAATAGGAGTCCATTTATATTAGTTCTAGGAGCTCAGAATGCATAGAAAATCTGATCAATTGTAAAAATGTACAGGAAAACAGCAAAACATTATAGGAGCTAAGATTGTTAAAAAATATCTGTCCAATTATAAAAGTATCATGAAGTCACATGGCCAGGAGGGCAGCCAAAGATTATAGGAGTTCAGGTTGTTAAGAATATATGACCAATTTTAAAAGTATCAGGAGCTCAGATTCCTAGAAAGGCAGCAAAAGAAATAAGAGCTCAGACTGTTAAGAATATCTGAACAATTTTAAAAGTACCAGAAGCTCAGATTCCTATGAAGACAGCAAAACAAATGGGGCTCAGTGTGATAAGATTTATCTGAGCAGTTTTAAAAGTATCAGGAGTTCAGATTCCTAGGAAGACAGCAAAACAAATAGGAGCTCAGAGTGTTACGAATATCTGACCAATTTTTAAAGTATCAGGAGCTCAGATTCTTAGGAAGACAGCAAAACTTTATAGGAGCTAAGATTATTATGAAATATCTCTCCAATTGTAAAAGTATCAGGAGGTCACATTGCTAGGTTGGCAGCAAAACATTATATATAGGCCCTCAGATTGTTAAGAAATATCTGACCAATTTTAAAAGTATCAGGAGCTCAGATTCCTAGGAAGGCAGCAAAATTAATAGAAGCTCAGATTGTTAAAAAATATCTGACCAATTTTAAAAGTATCAGGAGCTCAGATTCTTAGGAAGGTGGCAAACCAAATACGAGCTCAGAGTGTTAAGATATATCTGAGCAATTTTAAAAGTATCAGGAGGACAGATTGCTAGGTTGGAAGCAAAACATTACATATAGGCCCTCAGATTGTTAAGAAATATCTAAGCAATTTTAAAAGTATTGCTAGTAAAAATATTTTATTAAGGCGGCAAACCAAATACGAGCTCAGAGTGTTAAGATATATCTGACCAATTTTAAAAATATCAGGAGCTCAGATTCCTATGAAGACAGCAAAACCAATAGGGCCTCAGTGTGTGAAAAAATATCTGACCAATTTTGAAAATATCAGGAGTCTAGGAAGACGGAAGGAAATGGGAGCTCAGCTTGTTAAGAATATATGACCACTATCAGTAGCTTAGATAGCGACAATACTTTGAATTTTCCTTCTTGAAAATCAAGAGCTTAAATTTGGATCAAATTATTGAAAATCCTTCCAATATCAGGAGCGAATATTGTAGAAAATCATCACAACCACTAGAAACTCAGATGGTTTTGAATTAGTTCACCAAATAATGTAAATACTGCTAAAAATCTAACAAATATCAGGAGCTGCAACCAGAATACGAGCCATTTGCAAGAGTATCAGGAACTTAAATTTACAACAAATTCAATAAAAAATTACTATTATTATATATTGACGATGTTTTACACAATTATCTCAACCCTGTATTTCAGCATGGATTTTCAATATCAGGATTTTGCGAATGTGAATTTTATGATTGTAATTATGTTGAAATTAGTTGAGTGGGCGTGAAATGACTGTGAGGGGGCAAAATTAACATTCATAAAACATTCAAGGGAGGTCGTTTATATTTACAGTGAACCGTTGGATGGATAAATACCGCTTTATGAGGGGAATGGTCGGGGGTGTTTTTCACTTAAAAAAATACGTCTTAGGGAAGGGAGAATCTCAGAGGTGACAGGGTGACAAACCCTAGGCGACAGGTTATCCGTAGCGACGTCCGAGGATCCGCGCAGTCTCGTTTAATAAATTCGCCGGGGGGGGGATCTGTGTAATTCGAGGACCGGGCCGGGCAGGGATGAAGGGGTTGAAATTCAACAACCCTTGAGATATTAAATGTCCCAGGAGAGCTTTTCATCCTGTCCGATTTCTACTCTACAACGAAGAAGGTGAAGGAGGATGAAGAAAATTAATTGTCGACCCAAATCTCGACATTTTATTTATTTTTTTTATATAACTGCATAATGCTAACCTACGACCACCCCTCATGGCAAATTTGGATTTGAAACTCTGTGATGGTGAAGTTTCGCTATGGAAAAACTTTTCAATAATGGAATAAAAGGGCCCCTCACATTTCCAATATTTCTTGCTCAAAGATCAGATGATTAAGTACGAATAAAATGGTTTTTCATTAAAGAAGAAAAAAGAGAAAAACGAAAAATCGTCGAGGTATTTTCACACTCTGGGTTGTCCAAAGCTCATAGTTGTAAGCCTCCTGATACTCGCAAGTGTGATTAATAGCCTAAAACTCCTGAAACTCGTGTAAATGGTTAATGGTTGTGTTCCAGGTGCTCCTGATAGGGTATAGATGGTCAGATAATTAGTTATAAATATAATTTTCCGATATTCGAGTCTATCTGAGCTCTTGGTACCTGTATAAATGGTTTATAGTTTGGCTAGTATATCACCTCCTCATAGTAGAAAAGATGGTCAATTTAATCTCCTGATACTCGTTCAAAGAGCAAATAGTCGGGTAATGTAGGTCCCTGTTATTCTTAATATTGCCTAGCGATCTGTGCTCCTGATACTTTGACAATTGGTCAGATATTTCGACGTTATACGAGCTCCTGATATTGGTATGGATGTCCTTCTGCTTCTGTAATGGCTACGGATTGTCCATATTTCGATGTAAATTTAAAATCCTGGCATTCCTGTAAACAGTTAATAGTGTGGTTATTATCTAGGTTCCTGATAATAGTAAGGATTTTCATTCTCTTATTTGTGATGGTCAATCTGAGCTCCAGAAACATTTTAAATTTGCCATATATTCTTAACAATCTGGGCTCCTGTTTGTTTAGATATCCTACTAGCAATCTGAGCTGCTTTAACTTTTACAATTGGTCAGATATTTCTTAACAATCCGGGGTCCTAGTTGTTTTGCTTTCTTCCTAGGAAGGTAAGCTCCTGATACTTTTAAATTGGTCAGATATTTCTTAACAATATGAGCTCCTGTTTGTTTAGCTGATTTTCTAACAGTCTGTGCTCCTGATGCTTTTAATTGGTCAGATATTTCGCAATATTCCTGATATTTTTATGATTAGTCCGATTTTTTAAATAATCTGAGCGAAAGTCAAATATTTCAAAACCTTAGTTCCTATTTGTTGTAATGATTTCCTCCAACCTAAGCACCCGATACCGGTAAGGATGTCAATAATTCATTGTAAATTTAAGCTTAATTTAATAATCAAGATCAGATTTCTTAGCAGTTTTAGTTTGTGATACTTTTTTATAACTTTAGAATTAGACCGATATTTTCAGAAAATCCTAGCTTCGATTTGGGTTAAGTTTGTTCCTAGCAATGTCTGCTCCTGATACCTTTAAAATTGGTCAGAAAGTTTTTAGCGTTTTGTGTTCCTATTTTGCGTTCATCTTAACACTCTGATTGAGCAATATTAGCTTCTGATACGTTCAAATTTGGTCAGATATTTTCAGACGATCTGACTCCTGATAGTTTTGCAATTGCTCAACTACTTCTAGTCAATATTAGCTTCTGATTCGTTTACCTTTGGTCAGATATTTCCAAACAATCTGAGCTCCTGATCTTTTACAATTGGTCTACTTCCAAACAAAATTAGCTCCTGATAGGTTTAAATTTGGTCAGATATTTCCAGGCAGTCTGAGCTCCTGATACGTTTACATTTGGTCATATTTCCAAACAATCTGAGCTGAAACTTTTACATTTAGTCAGATATTTCTAGACAATCGGTGACATCGATAAAAAAAGGGAAAGATTTAAGTTCCAGATGCTTCTGCACTGGAGTTGAATAAAGCACGGGATAAGTCTGAACATCATCCTGACAACCTGATTGTGAGCTCCTGATACTTATACAATCGGCCAGATGTCTGTCTTACTCGCACTCTTCTTGTCCTGATGATTAAAAATCTGATCTCCTGTCGAGATGCTCTAACAATCTGTGCTCCTTATATTTTTATAGTTGGTAAGTTATTTCTTAACAATCTGAGCTCATATTTGTCTAGCTGTCTGTCTAACAATCTGTGCTCCTGATACTTTCAGTTGGTCAGATACTTCGTAAGAACTAGAGAGCTTATTCGTTTTACATCTTGCTCGCAATCTGTGATGAATTCTGTACCAAACAAAAATAAAGCAAAATCATTTATTCAATTGTTTTACAGGTAAGGTTATCAGTCCGTTTTATCAATGGTATCTTCCTGCTGAAAAATACTTTCAGCTCCGGCCAGAGTTTTTCCTGAACGTTGCCCGTTTCCAGCTCCATGTTAGCCCTCTTCTCGAGTATGTCCATGAGGGTCATGTGCCATGTGAGGGCGCTGTTGACCCTCATGAAGATGTACCTCTTGTCTTTAATGTACTCCTCCCAATCCGACCTGATTTGCCTCTGGATGAACCAGCTCTTGAAAAGTTGTCAAGTGGAAATATCGGGTTATGAAATCGGATAAAACTTTTATTTTATTGTAACTCACCTCTTTTTCGTCTACAGCATTGCCGATTTCCTCTAATTTCTTTTTAATCTGATTGACACTCTTATCGAGCCCGGACGTATCCAGACCGATAGACGCCTCCAACCACCAGCTCGTCAAGGTGTCGATATACGAATCAACAATTTCGTCTACCGTGCAGTTCATGTCACAGTTCTGATGAAAAAAATAAACTGCAAAGGTCTGTTAAAAAATGAGTGGCGAAATCCGCCCAAAAATCTTACCTTCTCCCAATTTTCCGCTCTCACGGCCACCATTAACAACAGACCCATAAACATGACCCAAAAACTAGACATTTATAATTCTAATTATAATAGATAGAACAGACAAAATTAAAAAAAAACGCAAGAGCAAAGGTAGACAAATGACAGATCGTCGGCAAAATGCGATTTTCTCCGCGCAGCGTCAAATCGCGATTGAAACGGTTTTAATCCTGTGAAAATATTTCATTTGTCAAAAGTGTCTTTATATTCTTGAGACCTCTCCCAGGCTATAAAATATTGAAATATAACTTGTCGGCACTGGCTGTGGAAGTCCTCAATAACTAATGGATGGTCAGCACTTGATGATGTAAGTGGAGGTTGATAAATTTTTGAGATCTAAGCTCCTGATACTCGGTATTGAGGTTGTTAGTTTTTGCTGCTGACACTCTGAGTGATGTCTAAGCGAGGTTTGTTAGTTTCCGGTATTGGTAAACGCCAGATATCCTGAGTGGAGTTGGTAATTTCTGGAATCTGAGCTCCTGATATTCTGAGTGGAAGCTGTTAATTTCTGTAATCAGAACTCCAAATATTCTAAGCTGATTTGTTACTTTCTGGAATTTGAGCTCCTGATACTCCTGAGTGGAAGTTGTTAGCTTTTGTAATTTGAGTTCTTGATACTCTCAGTAGAGGTTGTTAATGTTTTCAAAACCGAGCTCCTGATATTCTGTATAGGCAGCTAGTTTCTGAAATCTGAACTCTTGTTATTTTCACTAAAAGTTGTTACCTATCAGATTGTATGCTGCTGATACTTTTTCAATGTCCGGTTTGCGTGTTTAGGCTATCAGAGCCCCTGATACTCCCGGTGGAGGTTGTAAGATTGTTGGAATCCGAGCTCCTGTCGCTATGAGTGGGGGTTGTCAGTTTCTGGAATCAGAGATCCTGACACTCTCGGTGAAGGTTGTTAATTAACGGATTGGGATGCTCCCGATACTATTTTCCATGCCAGGTTTGTGTGTTTAAACTATTTGAACTCCTAACATTTATACTGAGTGTAATGATTTTTCTGTAACTGAACTCCTGATTGTAACCTCAATATCTTTAAATAACACCAGTATTTGTTCTTAAATTCCGAACTCATATTTATTTTGGTGGCATCCTTGCAAACTAAGTTCTTTATGCTTTTACAATCGGTCAGATATTTCTTAACAATGTTAGCTCCTTTTGTAGAGGTTGAAGACAGTCTGATTTTATGCTCCTGATTCTTGTTTTGCTTGTTCGTTTAGTTCGTATGTTTAGGGTATCTGAGCTCCTGATATTGTACCGAAAGATGCTGAATAGTAAGCGTCTGGATATCATAATTTTTTAAAACTATGTTTGTGAATGTAAACTCCTGATACTTTCACCCCATCTCTATGATGTATTTACCGAGCTCCTGATGCATTCAGCAGTAGTTAATATGTAAAAAATTTTATATTGTCAATTCATTGAAGAAAATAAAGTCAAATGGTTAACTTTCAATTACAAATGGGGTGCCTTTGTCCGTCGAAGTGGAGCCGATCTGTATGCTAATCGTCCTAAAGGGCTGTTAAATGGGATTATCCGCGTCAAACCTTTTTTTTTAACCCAGAAGTGTTTCCGTCCGAAAAGATGAAAAGGTTGGAAGAGGACCGTTTAAAAAAAAAAGTGGGTTTTATTTTTATCCTCTTTTTCTCTCGCCATCGGGGTGAAATTAATTTTGTTTTAATTTACCCTTCAGTTTTATTTAATTTGCCCCCGCGCCTTTCAATCATTGTGCGGCCGGTTTTAATTCGCAGATGGGCCACACCCCTGTGCATACTGGGTTTTAGACATGGATTAGTTTCAGTTAAAAGCGAATTCGATTTTTTTTAGCGTGTATTTGGTTTCAATAATAGGAAGAAATTATAAAAAATAAAAACTTTACTTCTTATCATTCATTTCTACCTGTAACTCAGGACATTTCTAAAAGTATCAAGAGCTCAAATTGATTAAAATTAGTTCATACAAAGGAGCTTAGATTACTGAACACAGCCGACAGTTTGTGAAAGTGTCAGGAGCTTACAAATCCACTGTTAACAACTTCTAAAGCAAGTATGAGGAGCACAAATTCCTATTCAATACCATGCCAAATGAGAAACTAACAGGAAAGCAGTTTGTTAAAAAAAATGTCACAAAAGGAGGTTAGAGTTTCTGGAAATATCTGACCAATTGTAAAAGTATCAGGAGCTCAGGATGGTAGGAAACCAACATAACAAATATGAGCTTTGACTGTTAGCAAAATTTGGGCCAATCGTAAACGATCAAGAGCTAAAATTGTCGCGAAAGAGAAAACCAATAGTAAAAATAAAAAGAGTTCAGATTGTCTTGAAATATAAGACCAATATTAAAAGTATCAGGAGCTCCGATTGTCTTGAAATAAACTATCAATTGTAAAACTATCAGGAGCTCAGATTGTCTTGAAATATAAAACCAATAGTAAAAGTATCAGGAGCTCAGATTATTACTAACTACATATCTTGTCTATAGTAGATGTATCATGAACATAGATTGGCAGGAGATTATTACCACAATCAGGAGAGTATACTGTTTTGAAATAATTGGTTAACTGTTAAAGTACGAGGAGCACAAATTGATGAAGAAGCATCGCAACAAATAAGAGCTCAAAATGTTAGGAAAAAATAACGAATTGTCAAGGTATAGGAGCTCAGATTATAACTAAATATCTAGCGTACAGGAAATGTATCATGAGGATAGATTGGTAGGACATTATTACTACGATCAGGAGAAATACCTGACTAATTGCAAAAGTATCATGAGCTCAGATTGATAGGAAACCAACAAACCAACACAATAAATATGATCTTTGACTGTTAGGAAAAATCGGGTCAATCGTAAACCTGTCAAGAGCTCAAATTGTCTCGAAAAATAAGACCAATAGTAAAAATATCAGGACCTGAGATTGTCTTAAAATGTAAGACCAATTATAAAAATATCTGGACCACAGATTGTTTTCAAATATAAGACCAATTGTAAAAGTATCAGGAGCTCAGATTGTCTTAAAATGTAACACCATTTGTAAAAATATCAGGAGCTCAGAAGAGGATATTTAAGATCAATAGAAAAAAATATCAGGAAACTAGATTGACTTGAAATATAAGGCCAGCAGTAAAAGTACAGCTCAGAAATAGTAAATGTATCACGAGCATAGATTGGCAGGAGATTACTGTATCAAAAGATCATACTGTTTCGAAATATCTAACTGTTAAAGTAACAGGAGCTCAGTTTGATAGGAAGATAGCTAAACCAATATAAGCCCAAATTGCTTTGAAAAATATTGCTCTGGTAGGTAAGTAATATCATATCTTTTATAACCTACACTTCTTATCAATCTTTTCCTCATGCAACCTTCCATAATCTACATTTCTTATCGACCATTTCCTCCTGTAACCTTATGTAACCTGTACTTTTTACTTACCATTTCCTCCTGTAACTTTCCATAACCTATACTTTTATCAATCTTTTCCTCCTGCAACCTTCCATAACCTACATTTCTTATCGACTATTTCCTCCTTTAAACTTTTATAACCTCTACTTTTTACCAACTATTTCCTCCTGTGACCTTCCACAGGTACCTATACTTTTATCAATCTTGTCCTCCTCTAACTTTTCATAAATTATATTTCTAATCCAACATTTCACCTTACCTTCTATAACTAGTAGATTTTATCAACCATTTCCTCCTGAAACCTTCCATAGCTTGTACTTCTTACGACCACTTTTCCTGTAACCTCCTAAAATGTATATTTCTTATCGATCATTTCCTAATTATCCTGCTCTCCTGTTATTGAGGAAATCCGATGTATTTTTTTAAATTCTGCATAGTACGCATCGAAATCTGGCTGCCTTTTAGAAAATGTATCGATTTAAAACGGACGGCCGTTGTATATCCATTCAGCATTTCTACGGGGATGTTTTTTCAATCTTCCCTCTGTCCGGGTTAAGAAATTAAACACAAATTGAACAAGTTCGTCCAACCACCACGCCCACGGACGACTTCGGAACGTTCAACTTCCGAACAAGGAGTCAGTTTCCCGTTTTCGACGTTACAAATTAATTAGAATAACTTTGTTAAAGCGCGAGGAAATTATAAACGGTCCTGTTGTAAGGGGGTGAACCGTATTCAACCACTCTGATAACACACCGCAGAAATTGTTGTTTTACCGGCCGGTTTTATGTCAGATCCTATCCACCCAACTGGCACCTTTTAACGAGGTTCGTGCGGGTTGGACGAAGTTTCGTCCGACCGCGATCGGAATCGAGCATAAACACCTTTAATGGAAAAGTTCTGCCCGGGCCTTAAGCGGAAAATCGTCTTATAACAGGGCGTTGTCGATTCATCAAGTCCAAGCAAGCGGTTCAAGTCGCGGGGACTTCGTAAAGACACGTTGAAGCTGAAATGATGCCCTTGACCTTTTGACCCTGATCTCCGCCCCTAATTCTTGATACCCTATTAACCACCCCCCTAGGACAAAATAACCGATAACTGTTAGTACCTTTCCCACTATTTGAAATAGAATAGTGCTCCTAATACTATTACAATTGGTCGGATATTTCGTAACAATCGAACCTCAAGAAAGAAGTCAAGCTCATGTATTTGTACTTTTGGGAAAAAAGTGAGCTCCTGTATACTTCTATTTAGTGTTAGCAGTTTCAATAGGAACTCCTGATGTCTTTTTCCGAATATCCGAGCTCCTGATGAGTTTTACAGTTGGTCAGATATGTCGATACATTATGAGATTTTATTTGTGGTATGAACCTCTGACAATCTCAGCTCCTGATAGTTTCAAGCAAATCAGAGCTCCCATTGTCATGATGTCTTACCACTCAGAGTTCCTGATACTTTTATTATTATATAATCTGTTATCAACAATCAACAACAATGGTTTTTTTTAATTACTTTCTAGCAATCCGTTTGTAGAGATGATTGTTTAGCAATATGAGCTTGTGAAATTTTACAGTTGTCTAGATATTTCCATTCAATCTGAGCTCCTATTTGCTGAGATGGTGTGTTGCCTAATACTTAGAGACATTCCAAGCTCCTACTTGTCATGATGATCTCCTATCAATCTTAACGCTTGATACTTTTACAAATAGTCAAATATTCCTTAACAATCAGAGCTCGTATTTGTTTAGCTGTGTTCCTAGCGACATGTAATCCTGATACTTTTAAAATTGGTCAGATATTTCTTACTAGTATGAACTCCTATTTGTATTAGTCTTCCTATAAATCTGAGCTCCTGAGTTTTGTACAATTAGAACTAATTCCAGACAATATTAGCTCCTGATACTTTCACATTGGAGCAAATATTTCTAGACAATTTTAGCTCCTGATACTTTTACCACTGATCAGATACTTGGAGACAATCCGAGCTCCTATTTGTCGCGATGATATTCTGTTGAGCTCTTACTGTTACAATTGATCCAATTCTTCAAGAAAAATTTGAGCTCCTTCGTAAAGATATCTATCCGAGCTCCTGATACTTTTACCACTGGTTTGTTTGACGGGGTTATAAGTGATCAAATCATTTTTGGTTCCTTGTAAAATTACAAAATGGTCGACACATCTGATCAAATGTAAGGTTCATACGTGGGGGCCTTTTCACAAAATCCGCCTCCGGCCGAGTTGTCAAGTTGTCACGAGGAATCGTCAACGAGCGATTGTTGTCTCCTGATCGCATAATGCGCACCGCTAGGACAAAGGGGACTCCGGGGTGAAACTTTTCCAATTCAAGGAGGCGGAGGAGGTAAACTTTCCTTGTTATGCCTCTTTCGACTAGGAGACTTAGGAGACGTGGTCGGGGGGATTAAACAAGGCTTTATTTCCCTGGCGGGTCCGGGTTGACGGACGTGTTACAATTCACCCTTGTACGTATTTGTTATTGAAATCAGAGGACAAATTAAAGTTACATGATATAATTAATAATTTTCTGACTAATAAGAACAATTAGAAGAATCAGGAGATGATGAGGGGCTTAAAGGAACTCAACTATTACATAAGATTATTGGGAAGTAACGATACAAAAGTTAATCATATCTACAACGAATAGCAGGAGCTGCAGGAGGAACCAGATTCCAACGCAATATCTAACCAATTGTAAACTAAGGAGCTAAGATGGTTAGAAAATCACCATATTAAACGAGTTAATAAAGCACGGGGTAAGAGTCTAAACTTGTCAAGACAGGAGATTCAGAAGTTAAAGGAAATTTGATCAAAAAGAAGGTTGGTAATTAGGGGGAAAACTGAGCTCCTGATAATTTTACAATTGGTCAGATAGGTAGGCAATGTGAGCTCCTGATACCACCAGACAATCTGAATTCCTATTTGTTATGATGATATCCTAGTAATCTGAGCTTCAGATATCTCATATATTTACTATTGGTAAGATATTTATTATAAGGTAGACAATATGAGCTTTTAAGACATTTATATTTGGTCTGGTATATCTAGATTATCTGAGCTCCCGACACTTTTCGAAATAGTCAGTATTTCTAGACAATCATTTCCAATATCAGAAACATATAAATATGCCAGACTTTACAACAATTTTGACTATATTTTTCCAGTATCAGGAGCATAAATGTCTTCGCAACAAATAAAATATCAGGAGCTCATATTTCTAAAGCGTCACAACAAACAGGAGCTCATGTTGCTTTAAATAACTGACCAACTATAAAGTTATCAGGAGCTCACATTTCTAAGAAATATGTAACCAATTGTAAAAGTCTCAGAAGTTCGGTTTTCCCCTAATTACCAACCTTCTTTTTGATCAAATTTCCTTTAACTTCTGAAGCTCCTGTCTTGACAAGTTTAGACTCTTACCCCGTGCTTTATTCGACTCGTATAGAGAAGCATCTGGAACTTAAATCTTCCGCCTTTTACCTATCTATGATTAAAGATTGTATAGAAATATATGACACATTGTAAAGGTACCAGCGTAGATTATTAGAAATATCTGACCAAATGTAAAAGAATCAGTACCTAATATTTTCTACTAATATCTGAACAAACGTAAACGTACCAGGAGCTAATATTGTCTAGAAGTAGTTGACGAATTGTAAAAGTATCAGGAGCTCAGATTGTCTAGGAATAGTTGATCAATTGTAAAAGCATCAAGAGCTCAGATTGTTTGAAATATCTGACAAAATGTTAACGTATCACGAGTTAATGCTGTCTACAAATAGTTGACCAATTGTAAAATTATCAGAAGCTCAATCGTCGAGAAACTTCTGACTCAATGTTAAAGTATCAGGAGCTCAGATTGTGACAAAATGTTAACGTATCACGAGTTAATATTGTCTACAAATAGTTGCCCAATTGTAAAATTATCAGAAGCTCAATCGTCGAGAAACTTCTGACCCAATGTTAAAGTATCAGGAGCTCAGATTGTCTCGAAATATCCAACCAAATTTAAACTTGTCAGGTGCTAATATTGACTGGAAGTAGTTGGCCAATTGTGAAAATATCAGGAACTCAAATTCTGAACTCAAACCAATTTGAGCTCCTGATACTGTTACATTGTTAAGAAATACGTAGCTAAATATATCAGGAGCTCAGATTTCTATATCATGACAAAAAACAGGAGGTCAGATTGTATGGACAAATTTGACCTAATGTAAAATCATTAGGAGCTCAGTAGAAATATCATCTCGGATTTTACGGCACCAACGGTATACGGTTCTATGTATAACGGAGTACAACAGATCAAGAGGTAAATTCGAAAAGGTTTATTTAGCGATTTTCCCGCCTTCAAATCGTCTATAGCCGTTAATAGATATTCTTTAAACACTTTCCAATGCTCTTCTTGGTTTGTTGGCTCCGGTTCACCCGCCAAGTATATTTCTTTCACAAGGTTCAGGAAGTACGACAGAACGGATAGCCTCTTGAAATAGGACAGGTACTGTACGACGTTCACGGTCATGTATCCTTTCCAGTTGTCCGCCATGTATCTCCTCATTTCACGGTACTGGAAGATAAAAAATGGAAAACTCAAGCTTTTTTGTTTTCTCACTGAGGAAAAGATCAAACTGAAAACCTCGTCTGTTCCGATCAGATTCATGAAATCTTCCAGTTGCTTCTCCAATTCGTCCAAGGCCTTGTTTAATACGTTCGAATCTACTTCGGTTGAGATCCTCCAAAGTTCGGCCAGGCCTTTACGCCTATGATCGAACACCTGCTTCAAATCGCACTCTTCCACGTCACTCGGTATCTGGTCCTTTCAAAACAATTATACAACTTTCGAAACAAAAGATTCAAACATCACTCACCGTCCGATCTAGATTGGCCGACGCGGCGACGAATTGCAATATTGGCAAGACGAACCGCAGCATGTCCACCTGGACAAATCAACGAACGGATTAAACTATAATAAAACCAGTTGGAATGTGACGCAAACATCGAGTCTAAACATCGAGTCGCGCAGCGTGAAATCACAATTGGAACAGTCGAATCCGGTGAAAATCGATGAATAACAAAACCTTTTGAGAGAATTACTGCTTAGATAAAGTGATGATGCTGAAAGCTGATAACCTATTCCGATTTTAACCTTTTCTTCTTTTGACAACTTGATAATCCTTAATACAAATAGACCTGAGTTCCCTACAACCTTTACTCCTAATAGGCTGAACTCCTGTCAATCTCAGCTAATAAGATAACCATAACCTCCTGATGAAGATGATACATGAAGCGGGGTTTGTGCTCCCCTGGCAGTACAGCCTTCTGGCTTATTGTACCTTCCTAGTTCCCTAGTTCAGTGCAACAACCTCAATCCTTCTGATCAGAACTATCAGGTCATTGACTGTCCTACAATTCCCTAAGTTTTTTCTGCATGCTAGGGTAAATCTCCATTGAGCCGTTGCTTCGCATTCGTAGATGATATGGGTGGCTGTTTCTTCCTCCTCACAACATAATCTACAAATGGGATCGTTGTATATGCCCATGTTATGTAGGTGTTTGGTCAGATGTCACGTATGTCAGATGTCCTATCATTCTATGTCTGGCCTCTCCAATTGAAATAGAGAGTTTGCCAGACCTGGTAAGGGTTGTTGTAGCATACGTTTACTGTGTATAGTGCCCCCCTAGAGTTTATCCACTTCTCCTTTTGTTTTATTTGAATCAATTCTGTGATGGAGGATTTTGTTTGTTTTGTTATCCCAAGTATAGGTTCGGGGTCTTGCATATCCTCCTCTGGCCAGTGTGTCTTCTTTTTCGTTACCCAAAATTCCTTTGTGCCCTGGCATCCAATATGACATCATGTTGTTGTGTATCACCAACTTTTGGAGATTTTGGATGCATCACTGACTAATTTGATATGTTTTATTTTCACGTTAGTGCTTTATTGCTTGGCAATCCGATCTTATGAGGTTTTTTGCCAGTGGAACGTCTTTTAAGATATTCTAAAACATTGATGCATCTATTTCTGCTTGAAAGACCCAAGTGTACTTCCCTAATGAGTTTGATGATGTCTCTAAGAATGGTTGTCTGATTTTGTTAATTATAGTTGTGTGACCGAATTGTTTAGTTCCCATTCAGTTTGATTGTGTGTGTGTGTGTGTGCGCGTGCGTGCGTGCGTGCGTGTGTGTGTGCGTGCGTGCGTGCGTGTGTGTGTGTGTGTGTGTGTGTGTGTGTGTGTGTGTGTGTGTGTGTGATCTCCTGAGAGACTAACCTCCTTCAATCTGTGCTTCTGATAGCGAAACCGTACTCCTGTCAATCTGATCATCTGATATCCTAACCTCCTGTCAATCTGAGCTCTTGATAGCGTAACCATACGCTCCTCTCAATTTGATCTCCTGAAAGCCTAAGCTCCTGACAACTTCTCCTCCTAATAGCCCAAACTCATATTAATTTCATCTCCCCTTAAGCCCCGAACTGAACTTCTGTTAGCCTAAACTCCAGTCAATCTCATCTCCTCATAGCTTAAGCTTTTGTCCCACGTATACTCTAGATAATCTAAGCTTCTATCCACGTCTTATCTAGATAGCCTTTTCATCTCTGCTCCTGCTAGCATGATCTCCTTAAAAAAATTACTCCTCATAGATTAAGCTCCTGTTCATATCTGCACCTGATAGCGTCCTGTCTAACTCTACTTTTGGTAGCCTAACCAGCAGTCAATTTCAGCTCCTGATTGCTTAAGCTTTTGTCCCACTTATTCTCTAGATAGCCTAAGCCTTAACCCCATCAAACTTCTACTCTTCATAGAGTAAGCTTGTTCATATCTGCATCTGATACCGTAAGCTCCTGCCTAACTCTAAGCTACTTTAGGTTAAGCTCCTGGCAATGTTTATAGCTCCCGTTAATCTCCTGTTAGCAAACCTGTCAATCTGAGCTCCTTTTAGCGTAAGCTCCATAAAACCTCTACTGCTCATTGACTAAGCTCCTGTTCGTATCTACACCTGATAGCTTAACCTCCAGACAATCTCAGCTCCTGATAGCATAAGCTTCTGCCGTCCTCCACTCTTGATACTCGCGTAGATATATAAAGTTGTTATTGTTTGTACAAGTGAACTAAAATCTTTAGGACTTTCGCGTGGATTATAAGCTCCTGTTACTTGAATTTTTTATTCAGTATCTGCAATTAATGTCGTTGTTTCTCTTGTGTCCAGGTCTTTCTCGCCAACATGCTTCTCATCCTGGCGACAAACCTGGCCGGCGTGCTGACCCATTATCCGAGCGAGACCGCCAAGAGGGAGGCGTTCCTCGAGACGAGGAGGTGCGTCGGGGCGAGGCTCAAGACCCAGGGGCAGAACCAGCAACAGGTAGGAAAATGAGAGGGAAGATAACAGGGATCTAAGGAGGGTAGGGTAGGGTTGACAAGAGCTTACGTTGACACAGGGGATATACTTCCTATTTCCGGCCTTGGGCTTTTTCTTTGATTTTTTTACCATTAATTAAATTGATATTTAAACCCGTTCGTTTAGCCAAATGAGTTCAAGGGCGAAGAGTGAAAGGGTTGCAGCAACCCTCGGGGAAAGCTGTCGACTTTTCTTAAGATTTCACGGGCTTTTTGCCGCCTGTCAGAAACACTTTCTTAAAGTCTGAAAACAGAAAGCGGAAAGTCGCCAGGCAGACAGAGGATGAAAAGGTCGCAAAATTAATTAATCGACTCCAACCCCCAACGCAACCCCCAATCAAAGGAAAATTTGATAGAATTTCGCCAGATACCTCGTGTCAAATAAAAGCCCTCTTCAATACACCAGGCGCGTTTTATTATTCCATTTATTTAATCTTAGGCCGACGTTTAATTTAATAATTTAAAAAAAAAGGAAAACAAATCCTAACTCCCAGAGGGGAAAGAATTGCCGACATGAAAAACGTTTTCGTTTTCTTTTTCCAACTCAATCATGGATGAGATTATAAGCTTGCTGTATCACTCAAACAGAAATCCTACTTCAATTTGGCCCCATTTCATTTGTTTTCACCCCGTTAAAAAATAAAACAGTGACAAATTGAAAAATCTACTTTTGTATATTATTAGCGAAGGTTAAAACAAAAAGAAGAAATAGAATTGGGTTGTCATAAAGGAACAGAGTTTACAGTAACAAGAAATGTCGTTATTAGGAGAGCTTAATTTGAAAAGTGAAGAACCTTGAAAAAAGGTTGAAAAGATAAGGTGTTTATCAGGAGTAGAGATTAACCGAAGCCAAGGCGAACGGGACCTGGGATGAACCGGAGCTTTAAGCTATCATGAGGAGGACAGGAGGTCAGGCTATCTAGGGAATACGTGGATATAAGGACCTGAGGTTGACTGAGGATAGACTATCAGAAGTTGAGATTAACAGGAGCTTATGTTTTTACTATCAGGAACTCGGATTGTCAGGAGGTTAGGCTGTCAGGAGCAGATATGAAAAGATGCTTAGGCTGTCAAGAGGTTGTCAGGAACTTCGTATATAAGGAGTTCAGATTAACAAGAGCTTACGCTATCACTATCGGAAGGTCGGATTGACAGGTAGGCGATCGGGTGTAGAAATTGAAAATCTATTCAGAGTTTGGATTATCAAGAGCTTAGGCTGTCAAGAGCAGATATAAAAAGGTGCTTAGGCTGTTAAGAGTAGAGGTTGTCAGGTACATAGCTTATAAGGAGTTCAGATTAACAGTAGCTTACGCTATCGTTATCGGGAGCTCGGATTGACAGGACTTAAGGTCAGGCGTAGAGATTAAAAATCTATACAGAGTTGTTATCAGGATATCAGGAGGTGAAAAGAATACGAGCTTAAGCTATTAGGAGTGGCGGTTGTCAGGAACTTTACCTATAAAGAGTTGAGATTTTTAATTCTCAGGAGGTAAGGTTATCTGGAGTATAGAGTGAAAATCTATTCAGAGTTTAGGTTGTCAAGAGCTTAGGTTATTAGGAGGAGAGAAGGATAAGAGTCTAAGCTATTAGAAGTAGCGGTTGTCTGTACCTTAACCTATAAAGAGTTAAGATTGACAGGAACTTACGCTTTCGCCATCAGGAACTCAGATGGACAGGATATTAGGCTATGAGGAGGAGAGATTGAAAGAAGCGTGCTATCCAGAATACAGGTCATGAAGAGCTTAAGCTATCAGCATGAGAGATGAAAAGAAGCTTATGCTATTTAGGAGTAGTGGTTGTCAGAAATTTAGTCTATAAGAAGTTGAGATTGACAGGAGGTTAAGTTATCAGGAGTAGAGATTGAAAATCTACTCAGAATACAGGCATGAAGAGCTTAAGCTATCAGCATGAAAGATGAAAAGAAGCTTATGCTATTTAGGAGTAGAAGTTGTCAGGAAGTTAGTCTATAAGGAGTTGAGATTGACAGGAGGTTAAGTTATCAGGAGTAGAGATTGAAAATCTACCCAGAATACAGGTCATCAAGAGCTTAAGCTATCAGTAGCAGAGATGAAAATGAGCTTACGTTATTTAGGAGTAGAGGGTTAGAGGAAGTTAGCCTATAAGTAGGTGAGATTGACAAGAGGTTATGTTATCAGGAGGAGAGATTGAAAAAGCATGCTATCCATAAAACACGTTGTCAAAAGCTTCAGCTAGCAGGAGGAGAGATGAAAAGAGCTTAGGCTGTTAAAAGTACAGGTTATCAGTTCATCAAATTGTCAGGAGTTTAATGTGTTAGGAGTAGAGGTTGGTAGGAGCTTCGCCTATCAGAAGTAGAGGTTTCAGGAGCTTAAAGTAGCAGGAGTTGATGTTGTCAGGAGGTTAAACAGGGGTTAAACAGGAGCTCAAAATATCAGAAGTAGAGATTGCCATGAGCATAGAAAATCTTTACGCTATCAAGAGCTGGGATTAACAGAGGTTTAAGCTATCCATAGTTCGAAATCGAAGTTTATCAGTTCTGTTTTGTTTCGTGTTTATTCCACGTTGTTGCTTATTAAGTTCTAACTCACCGGAGAAGTCTTGGCGGGGGGAATCGAGTTAGCCAAGAAGCCTGTCAGCCCTCCTCCTTCTTTTTGTTTGAAGACGCAGGACGGGGGTGGGATTAGTCAATGAGGCGAGGGACTTTAGACTTGTCGTGGATGATAATTGAGTTAACGCCGCTCCGGTCCTACTTTTCATCTAATTAGACTTGCTTCTTACTTTTACCTCTGGCTTCTAATCCTCCCCTTGTGAAATCACCACTTTGACATGGGGCACCCTGTAAAAGGCCGGCTCCCTTTGAACACCCTCGCCAACTTTCTACTTTCTAATTATTGTGCTTTTGCGTGTTTTTTTAAGCTACCCATTTACCAAGGGATGAAAGACGAGACGGTTCCACCGTTTTTTGCTGTGTTGTTTCTGCTTTGATACCGACTCCTTGAAGACTGGGATTGGAGAAGTGCGATGAAACTTTTCCAAGAGAATCTGATGTCGAAAATAAAACAAAAACCCGAAAAAGATTTTTGTAAAAAGAAAGGAGATCAAGTATCCGTGCCGTCTCACAAATGATAGAGATCACGTTACAAGGACGGTGCGAAGGTAAAAAGGACAAATTTATAGAATACATGAAAGAAAAACTTGCTAAGCATCATTTCCTTTTTAATAAAAACACAACAGCCGTATAACTTTTCCCACTTGGAGACAACGGAGAACTTCATACATAAATGTATCATTTATCTCCAGCTATAAAAATAATATAGGATTCCTCCATAGAAAAAAAAATGTTTTAGACTTTAAGCACATCTCGTTAGACTATCTGGAGCTAAGATTTGACAAGAGTTTAGACTATCGGAAGAAAAAGATAACATGAGCATAAGCTATCTAGAGAAGAGAGTGATAGTAGTTTATGCTACCAAAATACACAGTGGCAGGAGGACCTTACGCTATCAGAGAAGACGCCAGCAGAAGCTTAGACTATCTGGACCTAAGATTGACAAGAGTTTAGGCTATCAGGTGTAAAAGATGATAGGAAATTATGCTATCCATAGTAAAAGATGACAGGTGTATAAACTAATAAGAAAAACGAGTAGTAGGAGCTTAAATTACCGGGAGCAGAGGATAACAAGAGCTTACGCTGTCAAAATTCATTGGCAGCAGCTTTTGCTACCAAAGTACACGTTGACAGGAGGTTACGCTATCAGGAGAGGGTACTGACAGCAGCTTACGTTATCAGAAGAAAAGATAGACAGGTGCTTACCCTATCGAGAATAGATGGTGACAGGGGCTTATGCTCTCAGGAGAAGGTATTGACGGGAGCTTACATTATCAGAAGCAAAGATTGCCAGACGCATTCGCTACCAAATTAACGTTGGCAGAAGCTTATGCTGTCAGGAGAAGTATTGACAGGAGCTTACATTATCAGAAGCAACGATTGATAGGAGCTTTTCCTACCAAAATATACGTTAGCAGGAGATTATGCTATCAGGAGAGGTATTGACAGTAGCTTACATTATCAAAAGCAACAATTCAAAGGAGTTTACATTATCAAAAGCAACAGTAGACTGGGGCTTACATTATCAGAAGCAACAATTGACAAGATTTTTCGCTACTAAAATATATTTTGGCAGGCGCTTACGTTATCAGGAGAAGGTATAGACAGGAGCTTTCATTATCAGCAGCAAAGATTTTTTAACCAGAGCTTTTAATAGGTTGATCTTCTGTAATCCTTGCTCTTGAGTATAGAATATCCTATCAACAAATCCCGAAAGAGTAAGCTCCTGTCAATGCCTTCTCCTGATAACGTTACCTCCTGCCAACGTGTATTATGGTAGCGTTAGCTCCTATCATCCATTGCTCCCGATAATCTAAGTCTATATTATTCTCTTTTTTTATAGTTTATCCTATCCTGTCCTCTTTCACTCTGGTTACTATAACCTTCTATTATCTTTTACACCTAATAGCCTAAACTCTTGTCATTCTTAACTCCGGATAGCCTAAGCTTCTGCTCACGTCTTCTCCAGATAGAGTAAGCTCATCCTGCCAACGTGTATTTTGGATGCGTAAGCTATCACTTTTATCACTTTCTTCTTGATAACTTTTGCTCATGACATCTTTTTCTCCCGATAGCTTAAACTCCTGTGAATCTTAGCAACTGATAGTCTCAATTTCTGTCAAAGTCTTCTCTTAATACGTTAAGCCCTTGTCTTTTTATACTCTCGATAAGGCCTTACCCACGTTTATTTTTGTAGCGAAAGCTCCAGTCTATCTCTGCTTCTGTTAATCTATGCTCCTTCCAACGTATTTTGTTGTTAACTTTCGCCTCTGTGATATTTTACTCTTGATAGCCTAATCTCCTGCTCACATCATCTCCTGATAGCGTAAGCTCTTATCGGCGTCTCCTACTGGTAATTAATCTCCTGCCATATTTTACGCCGGCTAGCGTAGCACTCCCCTCCTTCTATCAGTTCACTGTTATTTCCGTACGCAGTGATTCAAACGTCTCATGCTCAGCCTTTTGTATATGCCTGTGAGTGTATTGAGTTTGTGCTTTATTTAATGTAATATTCTAGGAGAGGCTCCTTCTCTCCGTCCTGCCGAGGCACGTCGCCATGGAGATGAAGGCGGACATAGCGGGCAAACCGCAGGACACCATGTTCCACAAGATCTACATCCAACGCTACGAAAACGTCAGGTACACAAAAAAGAACCGAGCCGTGGTGAAAAAAAAATTTATAAACCGTTTCCGTTACAGCATACTCTTCGCCGACATATGCGGATTCACGAGCCTCTCAGACCAGTGTACGGCCCAAGAGATTTACATCCTCCTCAACGAGCTTTTCGCCAGGCGAGTCTACACGTATCATCTTAACATATTAGTCTTAAATGATTACACCATAAAGTCTCGGGTAGTTGTCTATTGGCCATATGATGAGATCATGATTTCACCTGTATATCATGATATTCCGGACAATCTTGATATGTGTGACATAGTAGATGTACATATTAGTCTTAAGTTGTTCATAATTTTTGAACAAATTTTTCGTATGTTGTGGTTTTGAGTGAACCACATGCCTTGGTATGTTAGGTTCTCGTTGATTAATGTATATATTTGTGACACGATGACCGTTGATATACATATATATATATATCACATGTTTGCTTGAAACTTTCCAGGTTTGACAGGCTGGCTCAGGAGCACCATTGCCTTAGGATCAAGCTCCTCGGCGACTGCTACTACTGCGTCTCCGGGCTTCCCGAGCCCAGGCCTGACCACGCTCACTGCTGCGTCGAAATGGCCCTGGACATGATCGACGCCATCGCGTAAGTGAAACCCTTCCGGGCGCGCCGTTGGCGTTCAATCACGCAACATTTTCCAGGCTGGTGCGAGAGGTGATGGGCGTCAACGTGGACATGAGGGTCGGAATACACACGGGACGGGTCCACTGCGGCGTCCTCGGCCTCAGGAAATGGCAGTTTGACGTCTGGTCGAACGACGTCACGTTGGCCAACTACATGGAAAGCGGAGGCATACCAGGGTAAGCCAAAAAGGAAAAATTATCAAGCTGTTTTAAATCCCATTGGTTTCTTCTTAAATAGGAGGGTCCACATAACGGAAGAGACTTTAAAATGCCTCAACGGAGACTACAAAGTCGAACCGGGCACAGGGTACGAAAGGAACTCGTACCTGAGAGACCATAACATCACGACCTACCTCATCATACCTCAGGAGACGAGCAGGCAGGTAAGTCCTTATCCTCTGAGCTTCAGATAATCTCTTCTGCTCCTGATAGTCCATACTCCTGATGTCTAAGTTTCTGTCGATCTCTTCTCTTTATAGCTTAAGCTCCTGTCATCCTTTACTACTGATAGCTAAGCTTCTGCCAATCTCAGCTCCTCATAGTCCATACTTTTATCCATGTTTGCTCCTTTCAATCTCAGCTCATGACAGTATAAACATCTATCAATCTTTGCTCCGGATAGCCTTAAGCTTAGGCTGTCTACTCTTCTCTTAGTGTGTAATAGTGTAAGCTCATATCGGCTTCGCTTCTGATAGCCTACACACCTTTCCGCATCTTCTCCTGAGAGCATCTAGTTAATCCCTGTTCCTGATATCCGAATCATCTCCGCTCCTGATAGACTAAGGTCAAGTTAATCCCAGTTCCTGATGGCCAAAGCCCTAGTTAATCTCTGTTCCTGATATCCTACCCATCTGTTAATCTCCGCTCTTGGTAGACTAAGCTCCTGTTAGTCGCAGATCCTGATAGCCCAAGCTCTGGTTAACCTTTGATCCTGATATCCTAAGTTCCTTCAGCAGGTAAGTCTCCAAGGTCTTAACTTCGTAAAAGACTTAACTACCGACGACAATTTTTCAGAGGCACTCAAGTACGAAAAAACCGCCAAACGTTTCGAACGGTAACGTTGCCAAGGAGCTTCGACTGATGGGGCACGGTTCCAAAGGGAGCAAGTACAACAAGTATGGATGAAACTTTCCTAAAGGATTTTTGTCGATTTGTTTATATTTTTGTTAACAGGCTGGGTATAGCAAAGGATGCGGAGGAACAAAAGGACCCGGAGGATGAGGTCAATGACTACCTCATGTGGGCCATCGAAGCCAGGAGCATAGACCAACTCAGGGCAGAACACTGCCAACCCCTCCTGCTCAACTTTAGACAAACCGACGTTGAAAATAAAGTAAGCGCAAGAAACTTCAAAATCCTTCTTTCTAATCGATTGTTATTTTAGTATTCGAAAGAACGCGACAAGATGCTCCATATCTACTTCATATGCTCCTTGACCCTCATGGTGACCATAGTGGCCGTCCTGCTTATCATGTTTCCACAGTAAGTCCTTCTTCCTTGGGTGAAGTACCAGATAATATTTCTGTTTTGGTTTTAAGCGATCCGCATTTGTACGTCGTCTATTCAGTCGGCCTCCTACTGGTCACGATGATCACAGTGATCGTCGTCGTCGATAAGTGCAAGGTGAACCGTGCTTATCTAAACTTGAAGGATTGTACAATATTTTTTGGCGTTTAGGACAAGCTGTCACCACTTGTGCGTGTGTCATCGATGATCCATGAAAACAGAAACGTAGCTCAGGTGTTCGCCATTATAGTCATAGCCATAGCTTTCACAACAACGCTCTTTCCTCTGGTCTGTCTAACTTATATAAAAAAAAGTCAGGTTAATTTTTGTATTTGTTTTTTTGTTTAAAGATATATAGGGTAAGGATAGTCGGGCATAATATAACCATTGAGACAAACGCATCGTCGAACTTCACTCTGGAGTTGGACGAGACGTCTGACACCGCAGTACTGTCGGAGTTGGCGACTATGTGCATAGTCGTGCTCATTATAATAACGGCGGCGTTCCAGATACTCACGAGCATTATAAAGGTGTTCATACTGTCGATCATAACGTTCACCTTCCTCGCCGTCCACTTCTCTCAGGCCTCGAGGTATGAGGAGTATTGAAGTTAAGCTTTGGGTGTATTTTTGAACGGCTTTTCTTGAAGCGGATTGGACGGGTACTCGGAGGTGTCCAACGTCGTCTCGCTCGTCGGTTTCCTCCTTGCTGTGATCATCCACGGAAGACAGACGGAGGCGACGAACAGGCTCGATTTCCTCTGGAAACTACAGGCGACGGGTAAAACCCGATTCAAAATCAATAATCCAATCTAAACTTATTCTTTTTTCAGAGGAAAAAGAAGACATGGAACATCTTGAAGCGTACAACAGGAAACTCCTTGGCAACATATTGCCCGCCCACGTCGCCGAACACTTTCTCAATTCGGACAAGAACTTCGACGACATGTACCACGAACAGTGCGAGTGCGTCTGCATCATGTTCGCCTCTATTCCGAACTTTTCGGAGTTTTACGTCGAGCTCGAAGGGAACAACGAGGGCGTCGAGTGCCTCAGACTTTTGAACGAGATCATCGCTGATTTCGACGAGATACTCGCTGAGCCAAAGTTCTCCTGCATCGAGAAGATCAAATCGACCGGGGCGACGTACATGGCGGCATCGGGTAAACCACAAAAAATAGCATAACATCTCATAAAAACCACCATAGATATCATTATTGCCAAAACGATTGACCATATCCATGTCCGACTAGAAGTTATGACATCTGTGTCTTCTAGAGCGTCAATTGTGCCTACATTCTTTCATTTTTGTCGTTTGGAAATCAAGGATTAGTGATAATATGGGAATAAGAGAATAAATCCAAGATGGGATTATCCGAAGGCACTAACAGCTCACTCTGTGTCTCCTATGACAATGAAGTCTGCCTAGATTCTTTCGTTTTTGTCCATTGTAAGTAATGGATTAGTGTGGATAATGGATTAAAAGGAATAATCGAAGATGGGATTGCCCAACGCTTGGCTAGCTTCGACTGTGTCTCCGATATCCTCAATCTAGGCATAATTTCTGTCATTATCCTTATGCCACTCCAGAACTTTAAATCCGCAAGGAATTTACCATTCTTCTCTTTCAGATGCCAAGGATTAATGTGAATATGGTATTGAAAAGATTAATCCAAGAAGCGCTTATCCCAAGGCTGTACCGCTCATGCTGTGTCTTCCAGGAATAATAGTCTGTCTAGATTCTCTTGCTTTGCCTGTATTAAGTAATGCATTGGTGTGTATAAAGGATTAACCTAAGATCGGATTATCTCAAGGATGTACAGCACATGCTGGGTCTTCAAGGTCAAAAAACCTGCCTAGGTTCTTTCGGTTTTGTCCGTTATAACTAATGGATTAGTGTGTATAATGGATTAAGAGGATTAATCGAAGATGGGATTATCTCGATGCTGTAGTTGTTCATACTGTGTCTTCAAGGACTAAAAGTCAGCCCAGATTCTTTCGTTTTTATCTGTTGTGAGTAATGGGTTAGTTTGGATAATGGATTAAGAGGATTAATCGAAGATAGGATTACCAAAGGCTTGGCCAGCTTCTACTGTGTCGCCAAAATCCTCAATTATGCATAGATTCTGTCATTTTAAGTAATGTTTTAAGTAATTCTTTTTGAAGTAATGGATTGGTTTGAAATTAGATTAATAGGATGAATCCAAGAAGGGATTATCCCAAGGCTTGACAAGCTTTTAGTATGTCTCCAAGATCCTCAAACATGCCTGATTCTGTCATTTAATCCGCTTTTCGTTGTTTGGAAATCAAGGATTAGTGTGGATAGATTCTTTCTTTTTTTTTGGCCGTTGTAAGTAATGGATTAGTATGGATAATGGATTAAGATGATTAATGAAAGATGGGATTATCATAAATCTGTGCCAGCTCATGCTCTGTCTTCTTAATGAATTTAATTCTTCCTTCATTCTTTCGTTTTTGTGCTTTGTAAAAATGGATTAGAATGGATAATGGATTAAGAGAATTAATCCTTAGTGAGATCGGCCAAAGCTTTGGCCACCTTCTTTTGTGTATTCAAGATCCTCAATTATGACTAGATTCTGTCATTTTATCCTCATTGTTATGTTTTGGAAGCCAAGGATTAATGTGGATATTTGGATTCAAATGATTAATCCAATATGGGATTATCCCAAGATTTTACCAGCCACTAATGTGCTTTAAGACCCCTAATTATATCTAAATTCTGTCACTGCATGTTCATTTTGGCCTTTTGGTAATCAAATGGGTCAAATCATGGGATAATCCCACCTTCGGTTAATCCTCCTAATCCCATATGCAAACTTATCCTTGATTTTCAAACGAAAATAAGGATGAAATGACAGAATCTAGACATAATTTGGGATCTTGAAGAACATTACGTGATTGTCAAACCTTGAGATAATCCCACTTTAGATTAATTCTCTTAATCTCCTATCCTCAATAATCCTTGACTTCTAAAGAACAAAATGAATGAACATAGGCAGAATTGAAGTTCTAAGACACATTAAAACCAGGTGGTATTTAAAACCAGGTATTCATGGGATAATCCCACCGTGGATTTAATATATTTCTTAATCAAATATCCACACTCATCCTTGTCATCCAAACTGTAAAAAGAATGGATGTAGGCAGAGTTGAAGTTCTTGAAGCTTATTAGAGATTGGTCAATCCTTGGGATAATCCCACCTTGGATTAATATATTTCTTCATCCAATATCCACACCCATCCTTGTCTTTCAAACTGTAAAAGGAATGGATGTAGGCAGAATTGAAGTTCTTGAAGCTTATTAGAGACTGGTCAATCCTTGGGATAATCCCACCTTGGATTAATATATTTCTTAATGCAATATCCGCACTAATGCCTTACAAAGGGCAAAAGGAAAGAATGTTGCCAGAGTTGAATCTCTTGAGGAGAGATTACAGATTGGCCAAGCCTTGGGATAATCCCACCTTGGATTAATATATTTCTTAATCCAATATTCACTCTAATCCTTGTCATCCAAAGTATAAAAGAAATGAACTTGAAGTAACGAGAATTGAACTTGATGAAGTACTGTGGAAGCAGATTTAAATATTCTGGATTAATAGGATTAATCTAAGGTGGGATTATCCAATGGCGTAGGTACCTTCCGTCTTCATGTCTAGAATCTTCATTCCAAGCCAAATTTTGAACAACCTTAAGTCAAAGATTATCCCTGATTCTAGATTATTACAATTATTTTATTGTTTTGGTATTTTAGGTTTGACGAAAGCGACATGCGACATGAAGGACCTGAAGCACGTGACCGCGATGGCCGACTACGCCCTTCGGATCAAGGAACAGCTCAGCTACGTCAACCAGCATTCTTTCAACAACTTCCGCATTCGGATCGGTAGATGTTTTCGGCTGTTTTAGTTGTTGTTGTTGTTGTTTTCTAAAGGTGCCTGTTTGCCAGGGATCAACATCGGGCCCGTCGTGGCCGGGGTCATCGGTTCGAGGAAGCCTCAGTTCGACATCTGGAGCAACGCGGTGAACGTGGCGAGCAGGATGGACTCGACGGGGATAGTCGACAAGATCCAGGTGACCCAGGAGGTGTACACGATACTTGCGGCGAGGGGGTACCCGCTCACCTGCAGGGGGACGATACAGGTCAAAGGGAAAGGAGACATGGTCACCTACTTCCTCGAGGGTGGAGCTGCCAATTAACCTCAACATCATCATTAGGACTTTGTTAAAAAACAAAACCTATATTGTCGCGATGACCTTCGAACCCCAACCCCGATGACCCTTGTATCCTCCTCGGCAATATCAGGTTGTGACTGTAAATAACCCTTGGTCAAATTTTTCAACAAAAAAAATCTACTGTCAATTTTAGCCGTTCGGCTTAGCGTTTCGAATTTTACTATAAACGCTTTCATCAGGGTAATAAAAATTTTGTTGGATTTCTTTTTGGGCTGTGACGGTTGAAACGGATTATTGGACCAATTCCACAGAGGAAATGAAGTACGCCGTGTTGAAAACGGATTTTTTTCTATTACACAAATTGGCATCGGGACGGGAGAGAAGCTGGCTGGAATTCTGGAAAAAAGAACGCAACTCCTCATGATTTCATCCAATATTGGTCGGCCTGGTTGAAAAAATTTGGATCAATCTCAAGGATACCTGGAGGTTTTTTCCCAAACATGAACAACAATCACACCCTTCATGGACTCAGTCTAAAAATTCATTACGGTTTCGTCCAATATTGGTCAGATCGTGTAAAATTATTTTGGCCACCGTCATGTTTCCTGTCGTTGTACCCAAAACGCTCCTCACCACAAATTCTGTATTATTGAGACCACTATTGGAAAAATATTTTGGGTCAAATCAAGTTTACCTGGCATTTTTCCAAAAACATTACCATCACTTTTCACCCTTTGCGGATTGTCTGTCCACAAATTCCTTATTTTCTCCCAATATTTGGTTGGATTTGGCACTGCCTGTCCACAATTTCTCACGGCACTTTATGTTTACAATTTTTCATGATTTCATTGAATATCCGGTCGTATTTTATACTATCAGTCCACAAATCGTTACGATTGCATCCAATATTCGGTCGGATTTTGTACTGTCTGTCCACAAATCTTTACTATTGCATCCAATATTTCGACGGGTTTGGGAACTTTATATTCAAAATCCCTTATTATTTTATTAATATTTGGACTGATTTTGTTCTGGTAGTACAAATGTTTGATTGCATTAGGAATCGTCTCCACAAATCTATTTATTATTTGTGCCGGTTTGGGAACTTTCCGTTCAAGATCCTTTATTTTTTCATCCAATATTTGGTCGAATTTTGTACGGCCTGTCTACAATTTCTCATGATTTCATCCAACATTTAGGCGGATTTGGTACTGCCAGCCTACAATTTCTCATGATTTCATTCAATATTTGGTGAGATTTTTGAACTGTCTGTCCACAATTTCTCTTGGTTTTATACAATATTCGGTCGCATTTGGTACAGTATGTTTACAATTTCTCATGGTTTTATCCAATATTGGTCGCACTGTACATCGTATGTCCATAATTTCTCATGGTTTTATCCAATATTCGGTCGGATTTGGTACTGTATGTTTACAATTTCTCATGATTTCATCCAATATTTGGTAAGACTTTTTAACAGTCTGTCCTCAATTTCTGACGGTGTTATCCAATATTGGTCGCACTGTGCATTGTGTGTCCATAATTTCTCATGGTTTTATCAAACATTCGGTCGGATTTGGTACTGTACGTTTACAATTTCCCATGAGTTCATCCAATATTTCGTCAGATTTGGTACGTTTGGTACGTGTACAATTTCTCATGATGGCATCAAATATTTAGTCAGATTTTTGAACTTTCTGTCCACAATTTTTCATGGTATTATCCATTATTGTTCGCATTGTGCACTGTCTGACCACAATTCTCATGGTTTTATCCAACATTTAGTCAAATTTTGTACTGTATGTTTACAATTTCTCATGATTTCATCCAATATTTCGTCGGATTTGGTGTTTGATATGTTTACTATTTCTCATGACTTCATCAAATATTTGGTCAAAGAAGGTATAGTCTGTCGACAATTCTTCACGATTTCATCCAATATTGGTCGGATGTAACAAAATAATTTTGGGTCATGGACAAAATCACCTGTCTCCACAATTCCTCATGATGCTCTCCATATCTGGTTGGATTGGGTATTGTCTGACCACAAATTCTAATCATTTCTTCCAATATTGGTCGGAACAGGTAAACAATTTTGAGTGCCAATGAAATTTACCTGGCATTTTCCCCCCAAATTATAAACACCGATTCTATTCCTTGCAGATTGTCAGTCCACAATTCCTTATCATTTCATCCAATATTTGTCAGATCGAGTAAAGGATCCATGGGTGGATGTCTAGTTTTCTTGACATTTTTCCCAAATTATAATCGTTAATACTACTTGTGAACTGTCTATGCACGATTTCTCACCATTTCTAATTTCTGCGCTTTTTTTCTCCAGCCAAATTCTCGACCCTCCCCCACGCCCTCTTTATGCCAAACGATCAACTTTTTTCCCCTCAAATCTGTATAAAATAAGTATTTTAATATTTATAACTGAAGATATAGTTATAAAATATAAAGTAAAAATATATATGTATGTAAATATAAAAATATATGTCGAAATGGGAAATGTTTTTGTCAATGGCTGTCGAAACCCAATCTGTCGAAAAACGTTGTGTCCACATGTCCACACCTCCGATATTTTTTCAAAATTTTCAAGGAATGAGAGGCGAGGTCGCGACACACAACTGAGGTTACCCCAATGTGATTTGTGTTTGAAAATTTTGAAAGAGAAAGAGAAATTAAAAATAATTAAATAAAATAAAACAAAAAACAACTGGTTTGTTTCAAATTTGTGTAATATTTATATATTTCTCTTCTTCTCCAATTGGTCGTTTTGAATATTTTTCAGGTTTTGTTGTACTATCGTTTCGTTTTTCTAATGGAAATAAACTTATAACTATATTTTTAACGTGTCGCCTAATTTTCGATTACCCATTATTTGACCGTGCTTTCATGACGTGAGAAGAAAATGGTAAGTGTGAGTACAAAAGCCAAAGCCACATTCATTTAGTAATGACAAAAAAGACGAAAAAAATAGCAGTAGATTAGTGACGATTAGAGAAAGTAGCGGTGATTTAGTGATAACGAAAAAAATTGAGAACGTTTCACTGGATTAGTGATCACGAAAAAGATGAGAAAAGTTACAGTGAATTAGTAATCACGGACAAATAAGAGAAAGTAACCGTGGATTAGTTATCTCCAAAAAAGATTAGATATACGAGCAGTGGATTAATGATTACAAAATAATATTATCGAAAAGATCTGTGAATAAGTGATAATGAATAAATTAGAGAAAGTAGGAGTGAATTAATGATAACGAAATAAGATTAGGGATAGGTACAGTAGAATAGCATAGCAAACTATATTTTAAAAAAAGGATCCCTGAATTAATGATAACCGAAAAAATTGAGAACGTTTCAGTCGATTAATGATCACGAAAAAAATGAGACAAGTTACAGAGGATTAGTAATCACATATAAATAAGAGAAAGTAACCGTATATTAATTATCACCAAAAAAGATTAGATATACGAGCAGTGGATTAATGATTACAAAAATATTAACGAAAAGATCTAAATTAGAAGAAAAAGATTAAAGAAAGTAGCCATAAATTAGTAATAACGAAAGACAATTAAAGAGAGTAACAGTGAATTTGTGATAACACCTCATTGAGAGGGATAGAGAGAGAGGGCATTCGGGTCAGTTATGAAAAACGTGGCCTAGAAAACGATCAGTGGATAGTGATAACGTCAGACAATTAGAGAAAGTAACCGTGTATTTGTGATAACAGCTCATTGAGAGGGATAGAGAGAGAGGGCATTCGGGTCAGTTATGAAAAACGTAGCCTAGAAAACGATCAGTGGATTAGTGATAACGACAGACAATTAGAGGAAGTAACCGTGTATTTGTGATAACAGCTCATTGAGAGTGATAGAGAGAAAGGGCATTTGGGTCAGTTAGGAAAAACGTGGCCTAGAGGAACGATCAGTGGATTAGCGACAACGAAAGGGGTTTGGAGGGATAAACAAGGAGAGAGTATAAGTGGATTAAATAATGGTGAAAAGAGCAAATATGAGACCAGAAGTGGGTTAGTGATGTGAATGGCAAGATGAGATTATTGAAGAAGAAATTAGATTAGTGAGATGGAGGGAGGATTAGTGAGCATTATTTTGAGAATATTGTAGGAGGCGTCAATTTTCTTTTCGTTTGCAATGTAAGGGTTAAGGAAGATTGGAGCACATGAGGATTGAGGATGAATTTTTTTTTAATTTTCAAAACCCACATGTGACCGGTGAAGTCCGGCCTGCCAGGGCTGTACGAGGGGGTTCGGTCCATACTGTCCAAATACCCTTATTTCCCAATGGTAAGTTTTTTGTTTTCTTTTTGTTTTTTATCTATTTTTGTTTTGATTTTTTTCACCTTAAACATATGTCGAAAATAAAAAGTTTATAAATACTTAAATGAAAAAACTTTAGATGTTAGCACATGGAGTTTCGGCGTCACTTGTCTATCTGCTGTTAAGGATTTAGCATTAAAAAAAGAGAGAGAGTGAGAGAGAGAAGAAAATAAGAAGAAAATGTTTTCACTTACCCTCCTTCACTAATTCGCTCTTTCTCTCTCGCTAATCCTCTCTTGCTATCACTAATTTCATTCTAATCTACAATATTTTATCTTCTTTATCACTAATCCGCCTGTAATTTCTCTCGTTCTTTCCTAATCTTCCTCTAAACTTCTTCGTTATCACTAATCTTCTCCCTCACACACACTCTCTCTCTTTCTCTCCCTCTCTCTCTCCTCTTCTCAACCTCTTAATCGTCTCATTATCACGAGACATCCCACTGTCTCTAATCTTCTTCCGTTAGCACTAATTCGTTCCTTCTCTTTCCCGCCTTTTTATTCGTCTCATTATCGCTAATCCACTTTTTCTCTCTCCCTCTCTGTCTCTCATTATCACTAATCCCCTCTTACCCTGTCTCTCTAATCTTCTTTCGTTATCACTATTGTTTTCCTTCTCTTTCTCGCCTCCTTATTCGTTTCTCATTATCGCTAATCCACTTTTTCTCTCTCCCTCTCTCTTGTCTCTCATTATCACTAATCCCCTCTTACCCTGTCTCTCTAATCTTCTTCCGTTACAATGAATCCTTTCCTTCTCTTTCTCGCCTTCTTATTTGTCTCTCATTATAACTTTCCACTGCTACCCCCTCTCTCTCTCTCTCTCTCTCTCTCTCTCTCTCTCTCTCTTTCTCTCTCTCCTTCTTATTCGTATTTCATTATCACTACTCCACTGATACTTTCTCTAATCTTTCCTTGTTATCACTAGTACTCTCGACCAAGGCCAATCACAATAAAAAGAAAATAAAGTTTATTTTTTGTTTTAAATTTTTTAATGTTTGTTAAGGTCTCGAGTGAAGAAAAATGTTGTCTATTTCTATTACCGCCTAGATAATCGTAATCGTATGCAATTTGTCGTCGGCCCATATATCGCGGCTGTTCGTCGTCGCCACTATTGTGTCGTTGCCCCCACTTTCGGCGAGATAAAACAAAACAAAAGAGAGAGAGAAAAAAAAACGCCGGCAGATAATTCCAGGCCCTGGCGCGGGATGAATATTCAAACCGTTGTAGCATTAATTCCAGGGTGGGTTCGACGAACCGGGTTAAAAGTGGGTCTGGGTTGGGTTTTTTGATTTTGGACGGGTTTTTTTTTCCAGTCATGCTAGTGTCGAACAGGAGATTCATCCCGGTGATCGTGGAACCGGGTAACTTCTGGTCTCCCGACTCCCCTAAGGTTGTGTACGTCCAGCCGGCCGACCCACTGGCCCCTGGGCGTAACGTCCTGGTCAAGACCGTCTCGCCCGACCTGTCTCGACTCTTCCTCGGCCGAGAAGCACGTCCTCCGAGGGATAGAAAGCCGCCCAGGATCGACTACCCGGCACCCAAGAGGGAGAAGAGAGAGTGGAAGTTCGACGAGTTCGTCGACGACCTCAAGAAAGACTCGGTGAGCCTGGTTTTTGTACAATTTAGATTTTAAAAAGCCTTACGAAATATGCGTCACCAGGTGATAAGCGGTATCAAGGAGGACAAAGTGAACGTGACCAAAGAAGAACCATCGGACGTCTTCACAGAAATCCCACTCACAAAAGAGCCGGAGAGAGAAGAACCCAACCCCATCGCGTTCCTCTTTGACCAGCTCCTGTCCCAAGTCTACACCAAAAAAGTACAAAAGACGTCGAGAAGGAAAAGCGAGCTAATATTCAGTTCTAGTAAAGAAATACAAACTTCACACCTTAAGTCGACCGGACTTCACTTTCTAACTTTTCCAGGCCGGCCTTGGGAAAGCCTCTGCCGTCACAACTCCTGTCCATCGCATTTGGACCGCAGGGTGGTAGATAAGTTTGAAAAGTACTCTAAGGACGATCTCCTGGCATTCAGTGAGTTACAATCTAAAAACCTCGATAAAAGTAAAAATGTGACCTACGTAATAATCAACAGGTTCAGATGAGGTGCGGAAAATCAGAAGGGAATTCGAGGAGAGGATTAGAACAGCCGGGAACTGGCTGGCGGCCGAGCTACAAGACAAGGACATGCTCACCACAGATCAGGAGGGCCTGTGCGGCCTCATAACCGCCTTCCTCCAAGCGAATTCCAGCAAAACAAGTAAGACTAATGATTTTGAGGAAAAGGAAATAGCGAGATCGGACGGACTCAAAAACTAGAATAACAGTAACTTTAGATCCACTACTCTGTTTTTCCAGACCAAAAAAAAAATGTGAGAGTCCTATATTGTTCCCTCTCTAAAACACCTTTTTCAACAAATAAGACATGTAAAATGTCAAAAATATGTCTGATTAAGGTTATGGTTTGCTTGGTTAGGCAGGGAAGAGCAGTAGTTAAGCCCAAGGGAACATTTCCTTCATAATGTTTTCTCTTTACAAATTTTATTCTAGCCTACAAGACACTATAAAAACCAAAAATATGCTTGATTCACGTTCAAACATAAAGCATGGTTTCTTGGTTAGGCAGGAACGTAAGTAATAGGCCTAAGAGTATTTCTTCATGTTGTTCTCGCCTTACAAATTTTCTTTCTGCCCGTAAGACACTATAAAAACCAAAAATATGCCTGATCAACGTTCAGGCATATACCATGGTTACTTGGTTAGGCAGGAAGGTACAGTAGTAGGTCTCAGGTTATTCCCTTCATGCTGTTCTCACACACCATAAAGCCAGAACCAGAATCATACACATTTGTAGTATTTATGGGATGAAACATATTTGTGAAATGTATCATGTCTTATAGGTTAAAAAATGTACGTAAAGAGAGAAGAGTAGGAAGAAAACGTACCCTTGTGCCAAGTATCTTATTTTCCTTCTTTCCTGCCCACCCAAGTAACCATAGACTATGCCAGAATCTTATTTTTTTTAAACTCATTTGAAGATTACCTTATACCCTGCTATTGTTTTTCATCGCCGAACTATGAAAACCATGCCATTTGCCATTATCTTAAAGACGCATATTTTCGGTTTTTATAGTGTCTTATGGGCTAAGACAATAATTGTAAGGAGAGAACAGTATGAGAGAAACGTAACCTTGGGCCAACTACTGTCCTTTCCTGTTAATCCAAGCAACCATGACATATGCCAGAACCTTAATGACACAATTTTTGGTTTGTTAATTCCCTTATGGACTAAAACAATAATTATAAAGAGAGAACAGTATGAGAGAAACGTTACGTTTGACCAACTACTGTCCTTTCCCGCTTAAGTACAATACCGTAGCATATGCCAGAACCTTAATGATAGATATTTTTGGTTAGTTAATTGCCTTATGTGATGAGAGAAAATATGTAAAGAGAGAACAATATAGGGCTGAGTACGTACCCTTGCGCCAATTACTGTAATCTGCGCAATGCACCAAACGCGTATGTGGTTAATATTTCAAGATTTTTTTTTTTTTTTAAGTACGTTTTGAGGTGATGTAGGTCGGTTTTGGGATTTCGCGGGTGTTCACTCCTGCGGGTTATGTTTATTTTTTAATTGTCAAACCTTCCGCTCGTCCACCCACCCCCGAAGTTGTCGCGGAGGTGGTCTTTGCCGTTGCGGGGGCGTAAAATCAATAAAGTCCCGGAGCGCAGGCCCCCAGCCGCCGTCCCTCAGAGAAGGTTAAAGACTCAAACTGTAACCGGACTGAACACGGCCGCGTTTTGTGGTTGTCCTCGTCGCCATTTCCTCGTTCAACGGGACGCCAGTGTTACAATGTGAACTGGCACGGCGTCGTCGAGAAGGTGCGCTTGGATGAGCGGGATACTCAACTCCCTCAAGTCCCACCTGGCCGGGACGAGCCAGTCAGGTGAGTCCGTGCATTAAACTTAAACAAAACTTTCAACTACTTTAAAGCACAGTTGTTTTCATCCCCTTGATGATAGACGAGGGTGGGGATCATCCTAAACTACGGTCTGCCTATGCGGTATGCCAGTCCTCCTGACCCAGTAAAACCCATCGACCGTTCGGATTTTCCCCGTGATCCCTCTAAGCACTCAGCTGCCTTATAACCCAGATCGCCCAATTGTAAATAATGTGAAAAAACCGAGGGTAAACAAGGTAATCGGACCGATGGCCGGGCTTGATCCGTAGAAGCTCTAGAAAATCACTTAAACCTTCTTAAAGAATCGATAAGGACGAAAAAGAACATACTAGCCAGAAAAAAACCGGGGTTAATCGACTGCAACTAGGGAGAGAGAGAGAGAGAGAGAACAGGCCACGAGATCATCCGTGCTTAATCCCCTTTAAGTACGAAGGATTAAACCCCAAGGACCTTTTTTCATGCCCTTGGGACCAAGCGAGCACCGCGTATCTTTTTTTCAAGCAAAATATTAAAAAACTAATTTTGCATTAATCCCCTGACATGCAAAAAAATCAATCTCCGGCACAATTTCAGTGAAATAAATTCAAATTGTTGCGTGAATGCTACTACATGAACGATATGTCAATGTTGACATTGAAACATGTGACGACCTTAACAAAAAAATTCTATATTCTCCAGTTGTTGAAACGTAAAATCCCACATGAAATTAAACATTATGCACAATATTGAAATGTAAACAACATAATGAACCTCACATACGTTATATTGCTATATCGAAACGTAAATCTTTCAATAATGATATTTCATCAATGTGTCATAAATGAAATAACGACATTTTTAGTCGTTTTTATTTTCTATATTGAAATTTATATCCTACATGAACAACATAATGAACCTTGTTTATATTACCTGCTTATATTGAAACATAAATTTTGCTTAAACTACATTGAAATTTATTTCCTACATGAACAACATAATGAACCGTATTTACATTATGTGTTTCTATTGAATCCTAAATCTTGCTTAAACGACATTTATAATCGTTGTTGTTTTCTTTATTGAACTTTATGCCCTACACAAACAACATAACCAACCTTATTTACATTGTGTTTATATTGAAATTTACATTTTGCTTAAACGACATTTTTAATCGTTGTTCTTTTTTACGTTGAAATTAATGTCCTACATGAATAACATAATGAACCGTATTTACTTTATCTGTTTATATTGAAACCTAAATCTTGCTTAAACGACATTTTTAATCGTTGTTCTTTTTTTACGTTGAAATTAATGTCCTACATGAATAACATAATGAACCGTATTTACTTTATCTGTTTATATTGAAACCTAAATCTTGCTTAAACGACATTTTTAATCGTTGTTCTTTTTTTACGTTGAAATTTATGTCCTACATGAACAACATAATGAACCGTATTTACTTTATCTGTTTATATTGAAACCTAAATCTTGCTTAAACGACATTTTTAATTGTTATTATTTTTTTACGTTGAAATTTATGTCCTACATGAATAACATAATGAACCGTATTTACTTTATCTGTTTATATTGAAACCTAAATCTTGCTTAAACGACATTTTTAATTGTTATTATTTTTTTACGTTGAAATTTATGTCCTACACGAACAACATAATGAACAGTATTTCCATTATGTGGCTATATTGAAACTTGAAACTTCCATGATGAACACTGAATAGTTTTGTTGTTGGATTTAAACGTATGCCCGACATAATGACCTATGTGCATTGAAACTTAAACGTTCTCAATTAAATCTACATTATGTAGGCTGACGGCCAAATTGCAGTTTTAATTACTCCCAGTTTTTTTTATGAATGCGCCGTGCCGTCCTAATCGTTGCATCGCGTTAAGTAATAGCGAAAGTTTGAGTGGTGAGGATTAGTGAGAGCATGCTTGAGTAGTATTAGAGAAAGATTGAGTGGAGATTATAGAGGAAGGGAGAGGTGGTGGTGGTGGTGGTGGTGGTGGTGGTGGTGGTGGTGGTGTGTGTGTGTGTGTGTGTGTGTGTGTGTGTGTGTGTGTGTGTGTGTGTGTGTGTGTGTGTATGTGTGTGTGTGTGAACCCTGATGTTCGACCGGCTACGGGTCACTTGCCTTCGAACCCGGCTCTAGGAGATCCGAGGTGTTATTGGGATAATAACTCTAATATTTTTTGGTGCATTTTTTATTGTTCAGTTTGTACTGGGTGGTTAGGGTGTTTTTTTTCCAACTTCCGCTCGACAAAAGAGTGACGGTTATAAGTTATACCTTTCGATGGTTGAAAGGAGAAACTGACTTTTTGATTGGACGCCAAGGGGGCTGGGGGTCCGGGCGGTATCGCTTATTCCGTGTTATATTTTGTCTTCGTCTTTCCAGGGGACGACGCTAGGCTCAGGTTCTCCATCAGCCCTGTCACGACCGACCAGTCGGGATTCCAGGAGTGGGCCAGGGCAATGAGGATGGTCGCAAGGCTGCCGGACGGCGTACCGGCGCACTTCAGGAAAAACGTGAGCAGCAGACTCAACTTCTTTAATCGTCTTGGTATCTAAGAAAATAGATGCCCTGGCATGTCATGACCTGATGACCTCATTGTTAAAAAACAGGAGCGCAACCTGGACATCTCTCTCTTTCTGTTGATGTCCTTCTCTTCTAAGGTCTAATTAATTAATTTTTCCTTTAACAGCTATGGCTTAGCCTCGCTGAACGACACCTTAACACCAAAGGTCATACGAACTGGCAGGCGACGGAGCGCAGGCTGTTTTCCGAGACGACCTCGTCTGAGGACCGCGAGCTGAGCGTGCAGATTGTCAAGGTGAGAAAGTCATCCTGGATTAGAACCCCAAGAATTACCGGGCGTGGTGATAATCACGTGATCATTTTTTCTTCCTCTTCTAGGACCTCCACAGGACCGGATGTTCGCTGTTCTGCGGCGCTACCGGCCAGCACAACCAGGCCGTCCTGAAAAGAGTCTTGCTCGCCTATGCTAGGTGGAACAAGAACGTCGGCTATTGTCAGGTAAATATCGTCACCCATTTTCCGCCAAGGGGTGAAACAATGAGATTAAAATCGAGCCCTTTTGTCTGTTGGCTGACAGGGCCTTAACATGCTCGCCGCCCTCATTCTCCAGGTGATGCAGGGATCCCAGAGCGCAACCGTCAAAGTCAGTATTTTATTCATTTTATATTTTAAACTTAAGAAAACCAAAAACGAAAAGTTACAGAAATTAAATGGCAATTGTACGATAACCACCCTAGGAAAGGTGGAAAGGTCGAAAATAGGTCGTCATGTGTTACGTGGCTGGACTTAGAGGATGGATAAAGTAGATCCAAAATTGTATATGACTTTAGTAATGTCGTCGAATGAGGCATACAGGTTGTTGGTAGAACCAAATTGGTTGTTTGGTGAAACCATGTCATAGAAACTCTAGGGTTAGCGGGATGTAAAGGTTCAATTTTGGTCTCATGTGACAAATGAATATACTTGGAAGATGCATTAGGTAGGCCCAAAATGGGATATGACTATAGCACTGTCGTTGGACTGGATGTACAGGTGGTTGAGGTATCAAATTAAATGGGGTGGGTCAAAATACTAGAGAATGCAGTTTGGTAGAAGACCTGAAAATTACGAAAATTCTATAAATGTCGAGCTATGCCATGGTGTCATGGCTATGATGTGTTTTGAAGGTTATAAAGATCCAAAATTGGTCGCCATGACTCATATGTGACTAGACTTAGAAGATGCATTAGGAAGACCCAATATGGGATAAGATTTGAGCAGTTTCGTTCAACTGGACGTACAGGTGGTTGGGGCTGACCGACAAAGGATGCATGTTAGGTTAGGTAAAATACTAGAGGATGCAGTTTGATCGAAGAATTTGGAAGAACCAACATTCGATTAATGTTGAGCTATGTCCTAACACTAAGCCTAAGGTGCGGTGAGAAGTTGGGTAGGTCCGAAACCGGAAGTGACTTCAGCAATGTCAGAATATTAGAGGATGCAGTTTGGCAGAAGAACTGGGAAGAGAAAAAATTTGATGCATGTTGAGCTATACGCCAAGACCACGCTGTATTTGGAAGGTTGTAAAAATCTAAAATTGGTCGTCATGTCTAGTATAACTAGAATTGAAGATGCATAGGTGGACCCAATATGGGGTGTGGGTTTAGTTATGTCGTTCAACTGGGCTACAGGTAGTTGAGGTTGACCAAATTTGGATGCAGGTTTGGCTAAGTCAAAATAGTTGAAGATGCAGCTTGATCAAAGCTATGTCATAATACAAGTTTACAGGATGATGGCAAGTCAAAACTTCGGAAATTACAGAATACTAGAATATGCGGCTGAAGAACCAACAAGAAAAAAATTTCGACGCAATTAGGTAGACTAACTTTGGCAGGATGATGGATAGAACCAATTTTGGAACTTAGTCATGGAATTTTTGTTTGGTTGCGTGGACCATCTTACAACTGCCACTTTATTTTGTGACTTTCAAGGTGATGATCTACCTTATCGAGGGAGTCCTACCCGAGAGCTACTTCGGCAACAACCTCCGCGGACTTTCAGTCGATATGGCCGTTTTCAGAGATCTTCTGAAACTGAAGGTCCCCGAACTGTCCCGCCACCTCGACCAGCTCCAGCAGGAGAGCAAGGACTCGGGGACGAGCTACGAGCCGCCACTCTGCGACGTGTTCACAATGCAATGGTTCCTGACTCTCTTTTCGACCTGCTTGCCCCAGTCGACCGTCCTGCGCGTCTGGGACCTCGTCTTCCTCGAAGGAGACCAGATACTGCTGAGGACTGCGCTCGCCATATGGGATACCCTTTCTGAGTAGATTTTTTTTTATTTATCCCGTATTAAAAACGTGCGACTAATTGATCTTTTTGCTTTTGAAAAAGGAGGATGATGGCAGTGAGGAGTGCGGACGAGTTCTACAGCATCATGGCAGTACTAACCAGGGAGATGATGGAGTTTGGACTCATGGAGCCGAACAATCTCATAAAGGTTTTATTTGTCTCATCTCAAGAATAAAACAGATTTTTGAAAAAAAATTCAAAATTGCCCGAAGGTCATCGATAGAATGTCGACTCCGGAGGTGACCGAGCTGAGGGAGAAGTACGTATTCAACATCTCACCTTGGGCTGTCAGTACAGTAGCCAAGATGGGGCTGAAACTCTTCTATCCTGACACTTACGACCAAGCAGCAGGTAAATCGAGATTCACATAACCTCAAAACACGCACCTTTCAACCCTGAATGTGACTTCTTCTGTAACCGAACTTCTATTTTACATTTTTACTTGTGAATAACCTACCAGTGTTATTTACAGGAGGTGATGATCTCAGACAGTCTGACGTCAAGATGACGCCTTTTTCCAACCACCCGGACAGGGAGAAGATCGCTTTGGACATTAGCGCTTTGAAGAGGCAGTACTGGAAGCTCAGGGAACGACAGCGCCAGGCGCATATTATCTTATCAGGTTGGAATTTTTTATTAGGTTTTTTCTGTAACCTTGTGGGCTTTGTCAGCTTGCAGAAGCGAGACCCTTGCGACTGGCAATTCGCCGGCTTTGAACCATCTCCTCCTTGGTAAGAGAGCACTCCTCTCGGCCAAGGGTAGGAAGATAGAAGGCGCTATACCAATGCTGGACAAGAAGAGGGAGACGAGGGACCCCAGGGGCCAAACCCTGCACTGGAAAGATGCCGGAAGAGGTAAAGATTCGAGATTGGTGTGAAAGGTATCAATTTTTTGTGTTTTTGAAGATGGTTCTAGGTCGCCGTCGCCTTCTTCGAGTTCCAGTTCGTCATCGTCGACCGAGCTGTGCGATTCGAGCGATTCGGACAACTCGACGGACGAGAGGTTGACAAAAGACGATGAGAAAATCGAAGAAGAACCACCAAGGAAGGGCGAGGAGGACAGGACGTTAGATAACGTCAAAAAAGAGAGGAGGAAGTCGGAAATCGCCCTTCTCCAGATACTCCAGGTAAGAGCTCACACAGCGAAACTTCTTCACACCCTCACCCTCCCCTTATGTACAGGAGAACTCCGAGATACTCCAGAGGATCCAGAGCCACAGGATTGACGAGCCGGAAGACATCAGGGAGATAAGGAGGAAGTACAGCCGTGTCTCGTTCGACCCCGGACCCTCGGACCAGGGTTCGTCAGGGACGACGACATCGCCCCCCGGGTCGCCAAGTGCCCGACCCCAGCCACTACCGGACCTGCCGAGGTTCTCGCCTTTCCCAACCAAGTCGCCTCGGAAGAAGGAAGTCGGGATCGGTCTTGGCCTCTATTCCTCCCAGGACTCATAAAAATAACCTTTTTTCAATAAAAAGACAATAAAAAAACATTAGGCGAAAACAACCTAGCTGCTTAAAAACGACTTTCCGTCTAAAGTCAATTTTTCTCCACAAAATTGAAGATTTTTCTCTAACAAAAAGTAATAATTCTAACTGTATATATATTGACTGATAATATATTTTGTTCGATTGACGTTTTATTACCTAGAAACGTTTTGGTTTTCTCTCTCATTTCACCATAACCCATTTAGGGTGCTGCAAACTAGATTGAGAAGGTCAGGTATACAGTATAACCTACTTTAAAGGTTAAAATGAGATTTATAACTTAACAAATTTCAACATAGGTTACATCCCAGCTGTATAACATAACCAGGTCCATGGGCAAAATGAACACCCATGTAAAACATACTTTATATCTTAAAAACCGTGTTTAATATTCTCCGTAGGTTGGAACATTAACATAACCTACTTTGTATGTTTAAAACCAAAGTATAGGCTTTTTTTATACATTAAACTTCAAGCACGACATACTTTGTAGGTTAAAAAACCGTTTAATATTCTTCACAGATTGAAACATTAACATACCTACTTTGTATGTTTAAAGCCAAAGTATAAGCTCCTTTTATAGATTAAACCTTCAAACAAAGATACTTTATAGGTTAAAAACCGTGTTTAATATTCTTCATAGTAGTTCCAAAGTATAAGGCTTTTTTTATAGATTAAACTTCAAGGACGAGATACTTTGTAGATTAAAACCAGGTTTAATATTCTCCATAGAATGAAACATTAACATAACCTACTTTTTATGTTTAAAGCAAAAGTATGAGCTTCTTTTATAGATTACAACTTTAAGCACGACATAATTTGTCGATTAAATACGCAAGAAAAAAACTCTTTACAAACATTAAAACCAAATTAAAACGTACTTCATACGGTAAAATCTATTATAAGTCTAACTATAGGTAAAAACTTCAAACACGAAATATTACGATTATAGTTTGTGGCATTAGAAAAAAACTCAAGTATACCCTTCTTTCATAGATTGAAATGTATACGTTTAAAACCAAAGTATAACCTTCTTTTATGGTGAAATTTTTAGATTTAAAACCAACGTATAACCTTCGTTATGGAAAGAACACCCATATACTATGTAAATCTTCAGTTCCATTTTATACAGAAACTTACGCACTTTATTTTACCCTTAAAGTATATTTTAACAATTTTAAAAAGTTTCAAGTAGTCAAAAAAGTTTAAAACTTCGCGTACGACATACTTTGTAGGTAAGTAAAATCCTCTTTATAGATTGAAACATCATGCAAGACCTACTTCGTAGGTATAAGCCCCAAGTACAGCCTTATTTATCGATAATAAAAACACCTCTATAGCTTACTTTATAGGTTAAATAACATGTGTAACTTCTTTTATATGTTGAAACTCCATGTATGACCTACTTTGTAAGTTTAAAGCCCAAGTATAACCTTCTTTATAGAATTAAAACTGAGTATAACCTGCTTTGAATGTTATGACTTCAATATAACCTTCATATTAATTTACAATCTCAAGTATTTATTGAAATGTACACTCACGTAAAATATACTTTGTAGGTTTAAAATAATATAATCTTCTTCCCAATTTTAATCGTCTTTATAGATTGAAGCATCATGCAAGATATAGTTCGTAGGTATCCGCCTCAAGTATAATTTTATTTATATAAATATAAAACCCCGTCTAAAAAGTACTTTATAGGTTAAATAACGTATGTAACTAATTTTATAAGTTTTTCAACTTCCGTGCATCACCTATTTTGTGGGTTTAAAGTCCAAGTATAACCTTCTTTATAGGATTAAAACTGAGCATAACCTGCTTTGTATGTTATGACTTCAATATAACCTTCATCTTAGGTTTCAATTCCAAGTATAATTTTAATTATTGATAGTAAAAACCCTTCCAAAACGAAATTTATAGTTAAATAACGTAACTTCTTCTATAAGTTTTTCAACTTCCACATATCACCTATTTTATAGGTTTAAAGCCTAAGTATAACCTTCTTTATAGAATTAAAACTGAGTATAACCTGCTTTGTATGTTATGACTTCAATATAACCTTCATGTTAGGTTACAATATCAAGTATAACCTTTTTTATAGATTTAAAAACCCGTGTAAACAGTACTTTAAAGTGTTTTTCTGTTTAAAAAAAATTATATCTTATTTTAAAAACAGTTTTAGGTTTATATATTAAATGCAATGGGGTGTTTTCATAGATTACGATTCTGCTTGTCTCTACAGACTATATTGTGATGTAACCTACTTCATTGATCTTGTTTAAAGGTTGAAACTGTTTCTATAACCTGCTCTTTAAGTTTCTTAAGTTCATGTAAGTCAAGTGCTTAAGTTTCTATTTGGCTTACTTTTTTAGTAGGTTTGAACGTGGTCCCCTTTGTTGCGTCACTCTTGTATCGATTGTGGGACCAGTTTCGATCCCGCCGTCCCCTCTTCGGCTAGTGGGCATCCCCGTTTCAAAATCGACGCTTTATTGATAATAAACAGTTCGTTGGATCGGCCTCGGGCATCGGCTCAGTTGGAGTTGGAGTTGGAGCGAGTCGGTTTGAGGGTCGCCGGCCGGCCAGGGAAAAGACATGAGACGATAGGCACCGGAGGAGGAGGTGACGTGTGATGACCCCAGGGCCGATATGTTCAACTCCAGGAAACCGGACAACCTGGTTCAAAGGCTGCTTCAACTCGCTCAGAAGTTCAACTGTTTCTACTTGGAAGGTAAAGGATTTTAGATGGAGGGACAACACACAAGCTAACTTCACAAAAAAAGAATTTTTTTTTATATAGAACTGTCAATTGGGCTCAAAGAGAGACCTTGATACTGGCGAAAAAATAGTCAGATCCTTGAGAGAGGTAGAAAACTAGGCTAATTGCACATATAATTAAACCACTGATGTGTCATACGACCAAATTTACATTTTCAAAAAAATTTCCTCCTAAAATTTACCATTTCCAAGCCCAAAATTACATTAAACAAGGCTTGAAACATAGAAAAAAATTGTGTCTATGTATAAGAAACATGGTTGACCTAGGTTACCCTCCAAGCAAAAACCCTTTATTGGATTTTTTTTATAGAACTGTCGACTGGGTTCAAAGAGAGACCTTGATCCTGGCGAAAAACTAATTAGATCCTTGAGAGACAGAAAAAACTAGACTAATTGCACAAATAATTAAACCTCATAAGTGTCATATGGCCAAATTTACATTTTTCTAAAAATTTCCCTCCTTAAATTTGTCATTTCCAAGCCCAAAATTACATTAAACAAGGCTTGAAACGTAGAAAAAAAATGTTTATTTACAAGAAAGTTGGTTGACCTAGGCTTTTTTTAAGCTTAAACTATAATATTGACTCTCTGTCTAGGAGGTTGATGATATCATGCCACAATAAATAGACTTTCAATGTCCAATTGATTTTATTACCGACCGGTTTCAACTCGCTGGGGTCATTCTCAAGGTCCTACAATCAAAGTTTCTGATTGTAAATATCAATCCATGTATTTTTTAGTGGTCTAATTGACCAAATTACTTATTTACATTAATTATTCGTTTTATCTAAGGTCTTGGTTGAGTTGATAAGAGATTGAAAAATGGCAAAATAGGAGGAAAAATTCGAAAGATCATGGGGGGGAGTCAGTGTCCAGGTGAATTGGAGTCATCATCAGCAGGTTGTGGGTTCAAATCTCACTCGTGATGCTAACTTTTTCATCTCAACCAAGACTACATAAAAAGAAAAATTAATTGAAATTTCTATCGTTTTACACAATTGTTACAAAAAAATACAAAAAGAAGGGTTTGGCTTGATCTTCTGTGTCTGATGAAGCGCCAACTGACTACTCATTTTTGCTATTTTACAAGCATCATTTGTATATATGAGAGTGAATCTGGCTCATATTCACTGAACCGAACCACCAGTCATAAGTTTGTCTGGTTGATTCTCTTGTATAACATTTAACAGATCTATGGTTAATTTACAAGTTACTATTTGAATTTTTTTTAAATCGCCAAATCTTACCTTCTATGGATGATCCAATCCTACACCATCGCCTTATACAATCTGTAAAAAAAATTAAAATTAAACCATAAAAAACCTAAAGAAATAAAAACCCATATCATTTTTTAAAAAATATATCGAATTTAATATAACAAATGTATTCATTTGTTACCTGATTTTGAAAAGTTAAAAATAAAGGCAAGTGGACGTTTGGAGAGGAAAAACAATTTTTAAACTGAACAGAGATTATTTTTAAAAATTGTTTTTCCTCTCCAAACGTCCACTTGCCTTTATTTTTAACTTTACAAAATCAGGTCATTAGAGGGATGAGATTGACGAGCCATTTAATGACCATCTTTTGAGAGGAAGGTGGATGTGGTGAATGTACTGCTTAGTAGTCTGCACCTTCCTCAACCTCCAATTTTTTCATGTACCAACATTTGATAATTTTAAGAAGAAAAAAAAAGTTTATTATGTTCTAGGGGATTCGTTAAAGAGCAAAAAGCATAATTTTTAGTTATATTTGCTCAAGGTAGAAGGTTATTAAAAGGTTTCTCATTGAACCCAATGTAAGACTAACCATAAAAATTTCACTCTTAATATCAATCATAATCACTAGTTGGTTTAAAAGCATTTTGATATACAAAAATCATACTTCTACCTTTATTTTTTCCTTTAGAAATCTTTAAATGAGGACAATTGTACAGCCATGATAGCCATCAAAGCCATAGGCATCCCCACTACCACCACCTTTTATATTCTTTTCCTCTTACATCAGGTGACATTTCTAAAAAAGAAAAACAAGTTTATTATGCTCTGATATATTTTTTTATGATCAAAAAGCATAATTTTTAACAATATTTGTTCATAATGGAAGGTTATAAAAAGGTTTCATATTGAACCCAATGCAAGACAACTAAAAAAATTAGATTTTAAATAAAAATTTCTGCTCTTCATAATAATCATAATCACTAGTTGGTTTAAAAGCATTTTGATATACTAAAATCATACTTCTACCTTTATTTTTTCCTTTTGAAATCTTTAAATGAGGACAATTGTACAGCCATGATGGCCATCAAAGCCATAGGCATCCCCACTACCACCGCCTTTTATATTTTTTTCCTCTTACATCAGGTGACATTTCTAAAAAAGAAAAACAAGTTTATTATGCTCTGATATATATTTTTTATGAGCAAAAAGCATAATTTTTAAAAATATTTGTTCATAATGGAAGGTTATAAAAAGGTTTCATATTGAACCCAATGCAAGACTTAACTATAAAAATTAGATTTTAAATAAAAATTTCAGCTCTTCATAATAATAATAATCACTATTTGGTTTAAAAGCATTTTGATATACTAAAATCATACTTCTACCTTTATATTTTCCTTTAGAAATCTTTAAATGAGGACAATTGTACAGCCATGATGGCCATCAAAGCCAATGGCATCCCCACTATCACCGCCTTTTGTTCTTTTTCCTCATACATCAGGTGGACAATTCTAAAAAAGAAAAACAAATTTATTATTCCCTGAAATATTCCTTAATGAGCAAAAAGCATAAGTTTTAACAATATTGGTTCATAATGGAAGGGTATTAAAAGGTTTCTCATTGAATGTGACGTAAGACATAACCATAAAAATTAGATTTTAAATAAAAATGGAATGGTCATAAAAGGTTACTAGGTTACTAGGTGATCTGCTCATTTGCATTGATATAATTATAGTTCTCTTTTCTTTTATCTCCGCTTGATCTCTCTCTCTCTCTCTCTCTCTCTCTCTCTCTCTCTCTCTCTCTCTCTCTCTCTCTCTCTCTCTNCTCCCTCTCTCTCTCCTCTCTGTTATCATCCATAATCACTAATCCTCTCCACTCACACACCTAATTCTCAATACTTTCCCCCAAATAATGTTCCTTTAAAATTATGACTTCTTGAATTGAGTAGTTAAGTGGTTAAGTAGTTAAGGCTTAATTAATTGCGTTGTTGATTTTTTTTTCCAGTGCAGATACCTGGAATATTCATTCCTCCTAATCCTCACCAATCACCACACACTCGTTCACCTTCTCAATCCTCACTCCCCTTAATCCTCCTACTAATTGTCTCTATCTCAACCTCTCCATCCATTCCCTCTCTAATCCTTCCTAGGCTCATCCTCGTAAAGTTTACATTTATCGTCCGAGTTGTGTTTCGTTTTCCGGTTGTCCATTTTTAAATGGTGTAGTTATTGTAAAACGTCAGGTTCGATTATTGAGGTATCTTGTTTGATCCTTCTTACACCGTAGGCTAATATTTGATTTGACGAATAAACAAACATCGTTAGACCGAAATAGATCAAAAGCAAAGAAATGATGAGTGTATGTTTATTTTATTGTTGTTTTTCTGCTTTGCTGTTCATTTTGTCGATAAACAACTTATCGGACCGGCAATCGGCATTCCGTCTTCCGCATGGCCGCACGATAAGATACAAGCACTTTTCTTTCAATTTTTTATTTTTCTACCAGGAACGTATAAAATTTTTTTTTTTTTTTTTCAAAAATAGAACCCGCTCCCAGTCCAGCAATGTGCCACATTACGGAATTAGACGGCTCTTATCCCGAACTTCCACCTGTTAGATAAATCACCGGCGTTTAATTCGGTCCCAAGGGATTTTTTCGTCAGTGATGGAACGATAAAATTAAATCCCCTGCACACGGCGAATTATTTATTTTATTTTTCCCCTCCCTAATTTGTGTGCATTTGGGGGGAATAAATCAAATCGCGACTCTATTTACGCCCTACAACATACTGTTGTTCTATTGTTCTATATTTTTTTGTATTGTTTCACTTTTAGTCTTGTGTCCTTTAGCAAGCGTGAGTGGTGTAGAGAGGATTAGCGGGCATCAAATGAACCGCCCAAACGCACAATAATCCTCTCATCTCAATCCTTAATCCTTGTCACTCGTTATCTCTATCTCTAATCCTCTACACTGAAACACTCTCTCATCCTTTCCACTCATTGTATCTGTATCTAATCCTCCATTCTCATAATCCTTTCCACTTATTGTTTCTAGCTCTAATCCTCACCATACATTCTAATCCTTCACTCCATAAACACTGTCCCCTCCCTCTCTCTCACTCTGATCTTCTCTACACATTCTCTTTCTAATCCTTCTGCTCTTAATCTCACTTTACCCTCACTCCCTCTTTCCTTCACTCACTCTCTCTTTCTCTCATCCACTCACTATTTCAAACAGTTGCTCAAACGCTGAATCTATTTGCTCACTTCACTCACTCCTCACTCTGATCTTCCCCACACATTCTCTTTCTAATCCTATCTGCTCGTAGTCTCTCTTTATTCTTTTCTACTCACTAACACTCTTAATTCTTCACACTCATGCTCTCTAATCCTCACCACTCGCAATCCTCTCAGACATTCACTCTCTCTAATCCTCTCCACACATTCTCTATCTAATCCTCTCTGCTCTTTAGTCTTCTCCACACATTCTCTTTTTAATCATCTCTGCTCTTAATCTCTCATTAATCCTATCCACTCACCAGCACTTCACTCTCATTCTCTCTAATCCTCTCCGCTCACAATTCTCTCAGGCATTCCCTCTCACTCCTCTCTCTCTCTCTCTCTCTCTCTCTCTCTCTCTCTCTCTCTCNATCCTATCCTACTCACACTGCTTAATCCTCTCCAGTCAATCTCTCCCTTTCCCTAATCTTGTCCTTGCATAACTTCCCTATAATTTTGCCTAAAACTATTTCTAATCATCTCTTTTTATAATCTCCTTACTCATCTCCACTCAAACACACTCTGATCCTCTCTGCACATACTCTAGGTCTATTTCTTACTTACACTGGCACTCAAACTCTGCCTACCCCCTCACTAATCTTTATTCCTTTCTGTAATGTTATAACGGTGTGATGATAGTCCATTTTCTCCATTTCTCACAAGCAACAAATGTTCCAGGCCTACAGAAAGGCGATTATCGTCCTTTTGTAGTCGGAGGGGAGCAGGTCGGCCTGATCGGACCCGATGTGAGCTCAGCTCTCCAAGACCATCCAAATGTGTTCCACCTAGACTCACATGCCGTCTCACTCAACCCAGCGTTTCGCGACTACAAGGAGAGGTCGGCAAGGATGGCCGAGGTGCTCAACCAGTGGAGGCGGGCGGGTAGGTTCGAGGCCCTGAATGGCTGGAGGGATGAAGTGAGTAAACAGCAATAGTTAAAGAAGAGTGGTTTTTGTTCTAATTTTTCTCTCTCAATCTTGCAGTGTTTTGAGATAAGGAGGGTCTTCTCAGCAGAGCCCCTGCTTAAAATGGACAGATCAGCAACTTGTAAGTATAACTACAAAACAAAACAAAAAAAACCTAGAAGTAGAGAAACTGGGGGAAAAAAGATTATGGTGTTTTGATGTGTGACAAATGAACTTTGTGGCCGGGCTCTCAAAGGTCTCTTTGGCATATGCAAGTACGGCGTGACGATCACTGGTTTCGTCAAAGACCGTCTTGGAGAAGAGAAAGGCCTCAAGATCTGGCTCCAGAGGAGGTCGGCGACGAAACAGACATGGCCTGGAAAGTGGGACAACATGGTAAGCCTTCTAAAATATTTTACCTATTGTTTTTAATTTTAAAAATAAAAATAAAATAAAAACTTACCCAGTATGTATATTTTTTAATGTCATAGATGTGATCCGTTATATTTGGTAAACATTTGAAGAATTTAAAAAAAAGATATAAATGTTCATTTGTTTTTTCTGTTTTTTTCCCTTTCAAATTGTGAAAATAGGTCGCCGGTGGCCTCTCGGTCGGCTACGGCGTCCTCGAGACTGCTCACAAAGAGGCGGCTGAGGAGGCTTCGATACCACCGAGCCTCCTTAAGAACCTCACGTCGGTCGGATGTGTTTCGTAAGCCAATCAACACTAAGCAATAACGCATCCCCTAATTTTTATTTATTACATTTTCTTTCAAAGGTTTTACTATGAGTCGGAACGGGGGATCTTTCCAAACACGGAGTTTGTCTACGACTTAGAACTTCCGCCCGACTTCGTGCCAACAAACAACGATGGCGAGGTTGACAAATTCGAGCTGCTGACAGCAAATGTAAGCGATTCTAATAGTTCAACTCCTGACAGTGAAATTACGAAAGGATTGGTTGAACTTAAATATGCACTACTCCCACTGGTGTAAGAAAGTGTTAGAAAGAAAAGAAAAAGAGTGGAGAGGATTCGTGAGAGTGTGCAAGACGGAGTTGGATTATAGGGAGAGTTTGAGAAGATAGGTTTAAAATATTTGAATGAGAGTTATTGAGATGATTAGAAGATTTACAGATAGAGATTGGAGTGGTTTAGAGAGAGTGGAAGTTAAGTGGTGAGGATTAGAAGAAAAACGTTCAGGTGGAGAGGATTGATCATATTTTTGAGTGGTGGGAGTTACGTGGTGAGCGAGGTCATTTGAGTGGTGAGGATATAAGAGGGGGAGTACTTGGTGAGGATGAGAAAGATCAAGTGGAAATTAGGAGAATTTGAATTGCGAGTATCGAAAAAGATTGAATGAAGAGGATTAGAAGAAATTTGAATTGAGGGGATTAGTCAGTTTTTGAGTGGTGAGGATTAGAAAAGGGGGGGGTTAAACGGTGATAATTAGAAAAAAGATTGTGTGGATAGGTTTAGAACGAGTGGGGGGAGTAAAGTGGTGAAAATAGTCATATTTTTGAGTGGTGAGGATAAAAGAGAGGGGGGAGTACGAGGTGAAAGATCAAGTGGAAATTAGGAGAATTCGAATTGTGGGGATTAGTCATGATTTCGAGTGGTGAGGAAGGATAGACAGGTGGTTAAACGGTGAGGATTAGAAAAAAGATAAGTGGATAGGATTCAAATGAGTGGATGGGGTAATTGGTGAGGTTAGATAAAAATTAATGCAGAAGTTTAGAGAGAGTTTAATTGTGTGGAAAGGATTCTTTTAATTGCAAGGTCATTTGAGTGGTGAGGATGAGAGTGAGTGTACTCACATGGTGATGATTAGATAATGGTCATTTGAATGGAAATAATTAGCCAGATTTAAGTGGTAAGATTAAGAGAAAGCACCATTTACGCCCGTGGGTAAGAGAAAGTTTGAGTGATGAGGATTAGAGAGAGAGATTGTTGGAGTAGTGAGGATTAGAGAATCTGTGGAGAGGATTAGTGAGAGTATGTTTGAGTAGTGAGGATTAGAGAAAGATTGAGTGGAGATTATAGAGGGAGGGAGAGGGGGTGTGAGTGGTGAGTAATAGCGAAAGTTTGAATGGTGAGGATTAGAGAGTCTGTGGAGAGGATTAGTGAGAGTATGCTTGAGTAGTATTAGAGAAAGATTGAGTGGAGATTATAGTGGGAGGGTGGGGTGGTGTGTGTGTGTGTGTGTGTGTGTGTATGTGTGTGCGCGCGCGCGCGTGCGTGCGTGCGTGTGTGTGTGTGTGTGGTGAGTAATAGCGAAAGTTTGAGTGGTGAGGATTGGCAAAAGTGTCTGGAGAGGATTAGTGAGAGTAGTGTGACACGCGTATTTGTATGTGATTCCATGAGAATGACAGAGGATTAGTGATCAAGGAATGGAATCTAGCCAGTTTAAGATAAGACTAAAGAGATTAAGAGTGGATAATAGGAAAAATAAATGATAATGAAGTGGCCTATGGAGCATGAGAGGATAATATTGTATGGATTAGCGAGAGAATTAGTGATATTGATATTGTACGGATTTGTCACATTGTGAATTTTCCTCTTCTCAGGAATTGGTTGAAAGGCTTTTCTCACCCGACTTCAAGACGACGAGCTGCCCCGTAGTTGTTGACTTTCTAATAAGGCATGGCATCATCTCACCTGACAACGGTATGAGCCTTGTAGGATATAAAACTGTACGATGATGATAATTTGCTTCTCTTTTTTTTTCTGTTTCCTAGATCCGCATTTCCCGCAGTTGGTCGAGCTCCTGCACGTCCCGCTCCAGTCAATTTACAAGCCGGTGCCATTCAAGAATGGGACATCGCAATGATCTCAGCGTTTAAAGAAGAAGAAATGTTTGGTGAGGGGGGGATTTCGAGGGGATCAAGTAAAAGAGAGAAGACGAATCTGTTTCGATCATTTCTTTTCTTGGTTAGGGGGGCCGATTACGAGTCCCATCCCCCGCATTTTTGACTCAACCAATTAATTATACTTTTAAGCCTACATTCAGCATTAGATAATCAACTGCGTATTTGTACGAGACACCGTCGAGTATTTTTTTATTATTATTGATGAGTTTTAATCAAGGATACGCTGTGATTTTTACTTTTTTAAACAAGGGGGATTAAAACAACCGAATAGTTTGAAATTATTAGGACTCCCTCGTATGCGTTTGAGTTGTTTTTTTATGTTTTAGCTTTTGATAGACATGAGGGAGTCTTCACATACCAGGACGTCTAGTCATAAAAATGAAAAAAAAATCTAACTTTGTTATTCCCCTTCTGCGTACTATGTACTAATTGTACAACTCATTTCTTTTTGTCTATCACTTTTTCTTTTTTGTTTTTATTGTATGTATATTTATAGTTATATATATTTTTTTGCTTTTTGTTCTTTTTTATTCTAAACTGTATGTCAAATGCTAGTCAAAAAAATACAATGTAATATTTAAAAAATAATGATAATAAAAACCAGATGACTTCATTGTATCGTTTTTTAAAACAATATAATAAGAATGTGTAAGTTGTCTGGACAAAAAAAAAGTACATTTATGCATCAGATAAATTGTATTGAATTGAATTCAAATAAAATATTTATAGAAAACATTGTAGTTTAATGTTGAAATTAAGTATCAGAATGATGGGAACTACCAGGAGCATGAGCAGAATATTGAAAAGATATCATTATTCATGTGAGTTGGCTCAGTTGATCTACTGATCTTTCATGGGAGTTGGCTCAGTTGATCTACTGATCATTCATGGGAGTTAGCTCAGTGGATCTCACAAATCGTTCATGGGAGTTGTTGGCTCAGTGGGTCTCACTAATCCTTCATGGGAGTTGGCTCAGTTGATCTATTGATCGTTCATGGGAGTTGGCTCAATGGGTCCACTAATCCTTCATGGGAGTTGGCTCAATTGATCTACTGATCATTCATGGAAGTTGGACCCCTGGTCATTCATGGGATTTGGCTCAGTTGGGCTTCTGATCGTTCATGGGAGTTGGCTAAATGGGTCTCACTAATCCTTCATGGGATTTGGCTCAGTTGATCGATTCATCGTTCATGGGAGTTGGCTCAATTGATCTACTGATCATTCATGGAAGTTGGCTCAGTTGATCGATTCATAGTTCATGGGAGTTGGCTCAGTTGATCCATTGATCATTCATGGGAGTTGGCTCAATGGGTCTCACTAATCCTTCATGGGAGTTGGCTCAGTTGATCTCACAAATCGTTCATGGGAGTTGGCTCAATTGATCAACTGATCATTCATGGAAGTTGGACCCCTGGTCATTCATGGAAGTTGGACCCCTGGTCATTCATGGGATTTGGCTCAGTTGGGCTTCTGATCTATCATGAGAGTTGGCTCAGTTGGGCTTCTGATCATTCATGGGAATTGGCTCAGTTGGGCTCCTGATCGTTCATGGGCGTTGATTCAGTTGGTCTACTGAACGTTCATGGGAGTTGGCTCAGTGGATCTCACTATTCGTTCATGAGAGTTGGCTCAGTTGGGCCCTGATCGTTCATGGGAGTTGGCTCAGTTGATCTATTGATCGTTCATGGTGGTGTCGACTCAGTTGATATTCCCATCTTTCATGGGAGTTGGTTCAGTGTATCTACTGGTCGTTCATGGGAGTTCGCTCAGTTCAGGAATGCAGGGAAAGAAGGGGAATTATTTTCAAGAGAAACAAATCATACAAGTATACTTTTACAACTGTATAATGTTGTCTAAAATGGCAATTTGTATACAAATTAAAAAACAAAATATAAAAAATGTTATTTCAATATGAAACGATCCTGGTGTCAGGTTCAGACTGCTATTTGAAAAAAACACCCAAGTGATTTTCCAAACGACCGAATGACTCGGTTTGTTCAAGATTCAGTATCGGTACTTGGTCGAGTAGTCCTTCGGCGAGACGACGAGACCCCGTCCCTTCCTCGCGCCTCGATAGACCGTCTCGACTATATCTATCATCTCCTGTTTGTCTTCGAGGGCCCAGTTGATCTTGTTGTTGTTCCCCGTACCGAGATCGATCATAATGTGCTTGTTGCGGAAGAAAAACATGACCGTACACGGGTCGTACAGTTCGTACATCTTGTTGAAGTCGGGCACCTTAGTTATATCAACGAGGTAGATGACTGCGAAGTTCTTCACCTTCTCCGCGATGCTGTACAACACCTCGTCCATCTTCATGCACGTCGGGTCCCAGTCGTGGCCGAAACGGATCACCTGGGCGGAAAACAAACCTATTGGATAATGAATTGAACGAGCGAGGACGTGCGGATCGAGAAAAAGACAATACTTACAACAACCCTGTCCTCTTCTGACAGTATGGCCTGGTCGACCTGCCATCCGTTGTGAAGGTGACTCAGCATATAAGACATGTTGGCTGCTTATATAATACAAAATCAATCCAAAAGAAAGCAAATAAGCTGGGATTCGGCGTAAAACTATGCCGGTATGCTGAGTTGGCCGAGCGACCCGTATCGAGAAGATGCACGAAGGTTACCAATTGCAAGAGGTTACCCGTAATGACGTCACTCATTCCTCCGTTTTGCGAACCAAATAAACCGGCAAAAAATTAATTTAAATTTCTATACGATTTAATTAACAAATAATCAACAAATTAAACGGGAACCCAAGCGAGACCGGGCGTATATCGTAAATAAAGTCAAATATCACAACAACCATGTCCCCTTCTGACAGCCTGGTAGACCTGCCACCCGTTGTCAATACGTCTTAGCATGTAAGACAACTCTGGTATTTAACATATATATCCGAAGGAAAAATATTCTGTGTATCGTACAAATATGCCCGTATGCTTGCTTTGCGCGAAGATTATGACTATTCGGTATGTGTTAACTAAGCCAACTCTCATGAACGGTAATGAGCCAACTCCCATGAAAGATGGGAATATCAACGGAGTCGATTACCATGAACGATAAATAGATCAACTGAGCGAACTCCCATGAATGATCAGAAGCCAAACTGAGCCAACTCCCATGAACGATCAGTAGACCAATGAGTCAATTCCCATGAACGATAAGAAAATCAACTGACCCAACTCCTACGAACGATCAGTAGATAACTGAGCCAACTCCCATGAACGAATAATGATATCCACTGAGCCAACTCCCGTGAACGAGATCCACTGAGCCAATTCCCATGAACGATCAGTAGATGAACTGAGCCAACTCCCATGAACGATCAATAGATCAACTGAGCCAACTCCCGTGAACGATCATTAGATCAACTGAACCAACGTCCATGAATGTTCAGTAGACCAACTGAGTCAACTCCCATGAACGATAAGATCAACTGAGCCAACTTACACGAATGATCAGAAGCCCAACTGAGCCAACTCCCACGAACCATCAGTAGACCAATGAGTCAATTCCCATGAACGATAAGAAAATCAACTGAGCCAATTCCCATGAATAATCAGTAGATCAACTGAGCCAACTCCTATGAACGATCAGTAGATCAACTGAGCCAACTCCCCTGAACGATTAGTTAAATCAACTGAGCAAACTCTTATGAATCTGTTCATTCTCCTGATTGTTTTTACCATTCTGACACTTGCGAACACAGTTTAAACATTGAAACAAAAAATAAAATCAATTTAATAATATTATATATTTTTGAATGCAAAGATTGATACAATAAAATTATTGACCAATTAAAAATAAAACAATATATTCCCTATTTTCACGATTATATCATAAATACATATATAAAAAACATGTGAGTGTGTGTGCACGTATTTACAAAATAGGTAAGTTTTTATTTATGTATAAATATACGTATAAATGCGTGATTAAAAAGAAAAAAAGAAGGATTTAATGGCGTGATTATTAAGCGGGCGCATATGGTGGATTTCCTTCCTTTTTTCAGACGACAGAACACTGTTGCCATCCGCCGCATGTCGTCTGCAATGCGCCTTCGTTCCCGTCGACCGATATCGTCTTGTTCAGGTTGAACGATTCCCAAAGGCCTGGTGTCTGTATTATCTGAAAGAAAACAAAAAATTGTATTGTTAAGCATACTTTTTTGCTTCCTGTTCTTACTTTTTCCACTAGCTCTTCGAAGGCACACTGTACGCCGTCTTTCGTCTTGGCGCTCGATTCAATGAAAAGTGTCGCGTGCCGGCTGGCGAACTTGAGACCGTCATCTCGGCTCACCTCCCGCCCGGGCTTGTCGATCTTGTTACCGACGACCATTCTGACGATGTTTGACTTGGTTGAGTACGTGTCGAGCTCCGTGAGCCAAGTCTCAAGTTTTGCGAACGTCGATGACTGGGTCACATCGTAGACAAGTATGGCACCCTGTGCATCACGGTAATAGCTGGGTGTAAGCGTACGGAACCTTTCCTGTCCAGCTGTATCCTGGTAAATATATAAAAATACATATCCATACATGTTTTGTTTTAATAATAAAAATCCTTACCCAAATGGCAAGTCTCACTGTATTACCATCCATCGTTAGTTTTTTTGTCTTGAAATCAACACCAATCGTCAGCGATTGTTCAGGATCAAATTTATCCTCAGTGAACCTCATCAGCAGACTGTTTAGTAAAAAAATATCGTCAGATTAGAAATGAAGCATCGGAAGATTAGGCCAAGTATAATCTATCCATTTTATCTGGCAAAAAAATTCACACCAGAAACCGTCTTATAGTCTGACTTTATGAAAGGTTCCATCGGATCATAATGATTTAGTACACGTGAAGTGGCCTTTTTGGAATGAGATCTTGCCAGGAAGGTGTTTTAGAACTAATTGAACGTTCCGTACGGAATATGTCCATGATCTAGGCGTTGTGGAAGGTTCTGCCGGATTGAAATTACAACAGGTAAATCTATATTGCCGATACATATATAAATTTACCAAGGGCAGACATGATGGTAAATTGGCAAAGCAGCCATTTTGGAACCCAATCTTGTATGGAAGATGTTTATTCCTAATGAAATCATCTGTGCGGACATGTCTCATGATCCGACCTTGAGGAAGATTCCGCCAGATTGGATTTACACATTTGTCATAGAAAACTTTCTATAATAATTTTAAATCGACAAACGACAGACATGATGACTGGCAAAGTGACCATTTCGATAACGGAACGTCGAATGGAAGCCGTTTCTTCAGTATGTTCGCTGACCGACCTCAGGCAGTCGCATTGAAATGTACAAAATAAATTGAAATTTACTCAATGTAAACATGACCGCCTATCAGCCAGTAAACCGTTCCAATGGATACGTACGGATACCACCGTACAATTGAAATTTTTGGATAAATGACCAGACCAAAATTGCATCCGGTGATGCAACCGACTAGCCTAAGACAATTCCAGACCATGATACTAAATTCAAGGCCGTGAATCACTATTGGACAACAAAGGCTGGACTGATTTGTTAATGTTCGTTTTTTTAATAACGTCTCTTTTTTTCCGGACGTTGTAAAAAATGGTCAAATACAATGTTAAAAATGATAAAAACGTTCACCTAGACTTCCCAACTCCGCTCTCGCCTATGATGAGTATCTTCAAAGTGGTCAGCACGTCCTCTTCCATCGCGGCTCATACAAAAAAAACCCTATTCTAGGTTTATTATCGTATGGGATTTTTCCAAAACTGTTTAAAACAAAAATTAAAAAAAAAAATATTCTAAGGATAATAAAATTAGAAAATACAACTCGGTCTTCTGAGCTGGGGCCCAGTTCGAGTATTTTAAGTTTACACACTGATCAGGCACTTTTGGCCTTGTGATGTCACTGTTCCCAACACGTGATAACATTATACAAAAAAAGGTTTTTCGGTTTTTTTCTGTCCTTTTTTTCTTTTATTTTTGTTTAAATACAGTTTATTGTCTTTTTGTATATTTTTACGGTAATTGTTAGTTGTTTTTTTAAAAGAAACAGTCAAATTGGTAGTTTTTGAAAATAGAATAATGGCCGACTGTTTTTGGATGTTGAGTTAATTTTTGTTTATTTATTAGTGTTTTTTTCAAACTAGATTCTTTTATCGATTTAGATTTTTTAGTTTTTGAGTTTTTTTCTGTAATGTTAATAATTTTAGAGTTTAATCGTGGAAAGTGTACCTGTTCGCGTGTGCCTTCTTGATACGCCGGTGGCCACGACCCGAAACCGTGCTCCTTCTATCTTTTTGACCGAGAGACGGGTCCCGTGTCGCCGATTTTCCCCTTTTTTTAACGTCCTTTTTTCCTCAGTTCCAAGGCGAGATTTCCTTCGCCGAATCTAGAAATCCGAACGAGAGGAGAAGAGAAACGAAAAAAAAGATCCAAATCGGCGATCGTATCCGTTTTTTTGATATCCGTTGACCCGTGTGACTAAAGAGTGAGAGACGATGCCCTCGGACGCGAAGAAGAAGCAGGCCCAGAAGAAGAAGGAAGCAGCGAAGGCGAGGCAGTCGGGGAAGAAGCCGGCCCAAAGGCCTGCAGAAAACGGCGATGGCAAGGACCAACCTGCAGAAGGGGCATCCAACGGGACAGCGGAGCTGAGCGCGGAAGGTGAGCCGGCGTGGGACAAAGAGTGAAAAACCTTCACTTATTAAACTCCAATTTTTTATAAAATTTGCCAATTAAAAACACAAACTTTAAAGAAATAACAAAAAAACAGTCTAATCTGGATAGACATTAACATAATTATAGTCTTGCATGGTCGCCATGTAACTGTCTCAGTCTTCCCAGCCTTCCAAACAACTTAACAAAAATTAATAATCATATCTGATTTCTGTCATGTCTTGTCAATCATATTTATGTCATGATATCATATAGATTTGACTTATGTCAAATCTTAAAGACTGCGATATTTGTCAGTGTTGTCATTGTGTGGTATAAGTCTAGCCAACTTAATTTTTTTTACAGAGGCATTGTGTTTGAAATTGGAAGCAGATGCGAGGCTGAACGCTGAGGCAAGATCGTGCACCGGCTCGCTCGCCGTACACCCGAGGTCGAGGGACGTCAAAATCGATAATTTCAGCATTACCTTCCACGGCTGTGAACTGCTCCAGGACACGCGGCTCGAGCTCAACTGCGGACGACGTTATGGTGTCATCGGGCTCAACGGTAGTGGCAAATCAACCCTGCTCGCCGTACTAGGCAACCGTGAGGTACCGATACCGGACCACATTGACATATTCCATCTTACGAGAGAGATGCCCGCTTCGGACAAGACGGCGCTCGAATGCGTCATGGAAGTTGATGAAGAGCGCGTACGGCTCGAGGAGCTCGCCGATCAGCTTGTAGCATGCGAAGACGATGGTAATTGGGCATACAACCACTTCTGCTAACTAGTAACACATCCACGATTTACTTACACCTGTCATCACACTCTTGACCCTGGTTGACATATTATGCACGAACTATTGACTTGGTTTCCGAAATCACACCTCGTACTTCCACTATTGATATTTTTGTTGACATTGCACTTTTGCTACATCAACTTTTTATTTTTGATTGACCTATCATATTTATAATGCAAGAACTATTGACTGTTTGTCACATACCACATTTGTGCTACAGCCACTATTGACTTTGGTCAACATATCACACTTATTATGCAAGAATTTTTTTTTACACCACACTATTGAATCATTCACAATCGTTGATAAATCGTTCTTATAATTTATGAACAAATTATGGGAGCTCTGAAGCATTCAATCTATACCTGTGTGAAGCAAACAAGGACAAACTATTCACTTTGGTTAAAATGTCTCATTTATTATGCAAGAACTATTGACTTTTCCAGGCATAGCACTTGTGCTACATCCATTATCGTCTTTGGCTGACATATTATGCAAGAATTATTGGCCATTTTTTGGACATGACATGCATTATTGACTTTTACCAAAATATCAGACATACAATATTAACTTGGCTAAAATTGCACTTTTCATACCTACACTATTGACTTAGGTTAACATGTTTTGTAATTCATTCTCTTTGACCTTGGCCAACATATTGTACAATAACTATTGACTTTGTTTCTTACGTCCACTTTTGACTGACATCATGCAATGTCTTATTCTTGACATGTCTTAAGTTCACATTTATAGTGCAAGGACTTTGGTCAACATAGCACACTTATTTCTGTTATTGACAGGCGTGGACATAGCACAAGAATTGACTTGTGTTGACATATTATGCAAGAACTTTTTACTTTGGTCAAAATATCACTTTTTTCCACTATTGATTGCATTGATATATCACATTTATAGTGCAAGAACTTTGGTCAAAATGTCACACTTCTTCCACTATTGACTTACGTTGACAAATCACACTTATTATGCAAGAACTATTGATTTAGTCAAAATATCCCACTTTTCCCACTATTGTTGACTTTGGTCAAAATATCACACATTTTTACACTATTGACTTACGTTGACATATCACTTATTATGCAAGAACTGTTGATTTTGGTCAAAATGTCACACTTTTTTCCACTATTGACTTATATATATAGTGTGTATGTATGATATGAATATAATCACACTTATTATGCAAGAACTTTTTACTTTGGTCAAAATATCACTTTCGCACTACTTACTATATGACAGCATTTTAAAACATTTTTTTTCTCTGTCATTATAGAATCGCAGGAACAGTTGATGGACATATATGAAAGGTTGGATGACCTGGCCGCCGACACGGCCCAGGCTAGAGCCGGCTACATACTCCACGGTCTTGGCTTCTCGAAAGAGATGCAGCAGAAGAAGACGAAAGACTTCTCCGGAGGTTGGCGCATGCGCATCGCCCTCGCAAGGGCGCTCTACGTCAAACCGCATCTCCTCCTTCTGGACGAGCCGACCAACCACCTTGACTTGGACGCCTGTGTCTGGCTCGAAGAAGAGCTCAAAACATATAAAAGGATTCTCGTTATCATATCGCATTCGCAGGATTTCATGAATGGTGTTTGTACGAATATAATTCATTTAAACAAGAAAAGGCTTAAATATTTCACTGTAAGTTGTAAAAAATACCCAACACATTGTATTGGAGAAGTTTTGTTATATATATATTTTTTTATTGTTTTAATTTAGGGTAATTATGACGCTTTTGTACGTACGAGGCTGGAGCTTCTTGAAAATCAGATGAAGCAGTACAACTGGGAACAAGATCAGATTGCCCACATGAAGGTATGTACAAGCCATTTCCACTTCCCGATCTATTTTGAATAAATCTATACTTTTTTTATATTGTAGAATTACATTGCACGGTTTGGCCATGGTTCTGCGAAATTGGCGAGACAGGCGCAGTCGAAGGAGAAGACTCTGGCCAAGATGGTCGCCCAGGGCCTGACCGAGAAGGTTATAACCGATAAGACAGTTACATTTTATTTTCCGTCCTGTGGCACAATACCCCCGCCTGTCATCATGGTTCAGGTGAGTCTTTTGAAAGATCGTTTGATACAATTTTATTCCCATAATGACGAGATCAAAATGAAACTTTATTTTGTGCACGCAGAATGTCAGCTTCCGTTACTCCGATCTGACGCCTTGGATATACAAGAATCTCGAATTTGGTATCGACCTCGACACGAGGGTGGCACTAGTCGGGCCAAACGGTGCCGGCAAGTCAACCCTTTTGAAGCTCTTGTACGGCGAGCTGATACCAAATGAGGGCATGATACGTAAGAACTCGCATCTGAGGATAGCACGCTACCACCAGCACCTGCACGAACTCCTCGATCTCGACATATCCCCACTAGATTACATGTTAAAATCTTTCCCCGATGTTAAAGAACGAGAGGAGATGAGGAAGATCATCGGCCGGTATGGCTTGACAGGGAGGCAACAGGTAAAATACATAAAAACCCTTACTAATATTTTCTTTTCATTTCCTCATCCTATAAAAAAAATCCATGGTACATCATGGCCGACATAGCACACTTGTGATACATCCACAATTGACTTACATTTAATATATCACACTTATAATGCAAGACCTGTTGTCTTTGGATAACATATCGCACTTATGATATTTTGTCTATTGACTGGCCACATTGTGCTTTTCATACATCTTCTATGGACTTTGACTGACATCTCATTTTATATTCATTCACTAATAACTTAAGGTGGATTATCACACTTGTGGTACATTCAATATTGACTTAAGGTCAACTATTAAGCTGGGCGCACACTTGGTTGGTGGGGAGGGTCGGAATTTAGTCAGAACATTATGTAGGAAACGCTCTCGATCGCATTGGTTGAATTTTTCCCCTACATCTGACTTCCACTGCGGTTTAGTGTTGTTTTTACATTTTCAGGAGCCCCGTGTGACAATTGATCAGAGGTGTTCACATCACACTTGTAATGCAAGAACTATTGACTTTGCTCAAAATATCACACTTTTTTCCACTATTGACTTATGCTGATATATCACACTTTTTATCTGCCCATTATTGCCTTATGGTTGATATATCACATTTGTGATTCATTGACATTTGCACTTGTCATCAGGAATTTTTTTTTCATATACTAAAAATGACACTTGTGCATTTTTTAGGTGTGTCCGATTCGACAGCTGTCAGACGGGCAGCGTTGCCGAGTTGTCTTTGCCTACCTTGCGTGGCAAGCGCCACACTTGCTCCTCCTCGATGAACCAACTAACCATCTGGACATGGAGACAATCGATGCTCTGGCCGACGCCATAAACGAGTTTGAGGGCGGGATGGTGCTAGTATCGCACGACTTCAGACTCATAAGCCAGGTGAGGAGTCGAATGACGGCTCGTCATAATTTTGAAATATTTTATTGATTTTTTTTCTTTGCACCAGGTCGCCGAAGAGATTTGGGTGTGTGAGAAGGGCACCGTCACGAAATGGCAGGGCGGTATCCAAGAATACAAGGAGCACCTCAAGGCCAAGATCCTTAAAGATGCAAATAAAAAGAAATAATAAAAAATGAAAAGTACCAAAAAAGCCCGATTTTTATTTTCTCTCTCGTAATGACGAAACGACCGTCTTTCTCAATTTGCAACAATAAATAAATATTAACAAAATAAGAGCACTTGTATAATGAAATTTGACAAGTAACGCAAAAAATTTAATGAGAAATCCCATGGATTCCTCTTATTCTTAATATTAATTCAAAAAATTATTATATTAATTGTTCGTTAATTATTTATTGTTCTTAAAGTAATTTTTTTATTTACTCCAAATTTTCCAATTTTAAACGTTCCTATTAGGCGACGATGGTTGATTATTGAAAAATAAAAGTTTTCAAAAATTTGTCGATTTTTTTTTTTAATTCAAAATCTTAGTACTTAAGTCACAAAATGTGGTCTGCATAACTCATAAAATCTCCAAAGACCGCATACACTACTGCTTTTTACCAACATATCACACTTGCAATGCAATCATTATTGACTGTTTTCTGATAACATAATGGTGTTAAATGCACTATTGGCTTAGGTTGACAAATAGCACTAATAATGAAAAATTATTAACTTTAGTCAAAATATCTCACTTATAGTGCTAGAACTATTGACTGTTTTTTTGACACATTATGTAAGAAATATGACTGGTTCTGAGATGACATTTATTATGCAAAAACTATGAAATTTCGTCAAAATGTCACACTTTCATACATATTCACTATAAATTACACTATAATTTTGATTCATCCACTATTAGTGAAAATATCACATTTATTATGCAAGAACTATTGACTGTTTTTTTGGATGTAACACTTGTTATTAGTGACATATTGCACTTATGCATGAATTATCAACTTTTGCAGACATATTGTGCAAGAAATATAGACGTTAGTTCTATCATCACACTTGTGATTTGTCCACTATTGACCTTGAGTGACATATCGCACTTATTGCGCATTAATTATTGACTTTTGCTGAAATATTACTCAAGAACTATTGATTTTTGTTCTGTCATCACACTTGTGATTCGTCCACTATTGACTTTAGCTGACATCACACTTATTATGCAACAGCTATTGTGCTTTGCCAACATATTATGTAAGAACTATTGTTGTTGATTTTATTATCACACTTGTGATTCATCCACTAGTGACTGAGTGACACATCAAACCTGTGAATCATTCACTATTGACTTCTGACAGCACACTTTTTATTTTCAAATAGTCCTACTTAATCGTGATGAGGTAGGTAGTAAAAATTAGGGGTGCAATTTTTTGTAATAATCTTTATTTACAAGGATAAATAATAAAAGAATAGAAATCAACTAACATTTTTTTGGAAAATGTATTATTTTACTACTGTCGGACAACATTACTAAAACGAATAAACTTTTTTTGGTCGATTAGTGAAAAATTTTGTCCAAAACATTGGAGTGTTTTGAGAATCAGTCTTTTTAATGGCTATTTCAAAAACATTGCCATTAAAAAGTAACTTAAAAACAATCAAATAAAAACAAAATAATGTTTTTTAACTTTATTTCATTTTTGTCTATGTATGCTGATTTTCGGATTGTTCGGTTGCAACAGTTTCTTCTTGCGTTTCCTCAGCATCGGCATCAGCCTCCGGCTGCACAGTGTCACCCGAGATCTCGGCGTAGCTCGTCCTCCTGGAAAACAGAAGGCACAACAATATAAAATCACTCGTATGTCTCGTTTAAGCAGTTTCAGTACTTTTTATCAAATTTGACAGGAAAGGAGGCATTAATTAAAATATTGGGGGGGGGGGGCAAAAAAGTACAAAAATCTTACGATTATTTCTTAGCTTTTTACTTAGCCTAGATTTCAACCTATTTGAATTTCATCACGGCCTATTTTCCAAACGTAAGCTCACATAAAAAAAAAAAAAAAAAAAAAAAAAAAAAAAGTAAAACGTTGAATTTTAAATAAGTGGCGGGCCTGGGTGACAATAAAAGAACCTGCTCTGTGAGACTTCAGCTTTAGTATATCTTAGTAAGCTTTAGTATCGACATAAAAAATGTTCTCAAGAAAGAATTTTAAAAAAATCATATTTCAAATGCAGTTTTTGTAAATTTTTTAAAATATTTTTAATGGAATTGTTGAAACAGTTTGTAACGAGAGAGAAAGTGAACGTGATGGATCTGATGAAGTATCTTGAAACAGGCCAAAATGCACATAGTGAACATTCATTTAAAATAATAAGATCAAATAGAATTGTTAAAAAATAAAATTCCTTCCACGTTTCTGCCAAATTGGCGATTTTTTTTTTTTTGCAAAAAAATACAGTTATTAACAATATATACGTGTTAATAATAATTTATTTTTCTAAATTATCATTTGGGAAAATTGCGTTAATATTTAGTTGTTCACTTTCATTTTGAGGAGGTTGCATTTTTAAACTGTTATCCCTGTGGTAATTACGTTTCTCACCTTAACTGTCCAAAGGGTCAAATAGTCAACAAAATATTTATTTTTTACTTTTTATTTGGATATAAACATTTCTAACAAAACGAAATTTAAATTATTTCAATTAATAAATATTTAACAAGATTGGTAACAGCACGTAGTTCATTTTTAGGAGGTTACACTTTTAAACTGTTATCCCTGTGGTAATTACATGTCTGGAATGAGTCGTTAGAAGAGAAAAGAAAATAACAAAGAATCGTCTTTTTTATACTGTATTTAAATATTAGCGTTTCAACAGGACAAGAGGTTAAATTAAGTCATTAACTTAATAAATATTTAGGAAAAGTGGAAATTACGTAGTTCATTTTCAGGAGGTTACACTTTTAAACTGTTATCCCTATGGTAATTACATGACTGGAATGAGCCGTCACAAGAAAATCAACAGAAAATAACAAATAATCGTATTTTTTATATTTTATTTAAATATTATTGTTTCTAACAGGACAAGAGGTTAAATTAAGTCGTTTAAATTAATAAATATTTAGGAAAAGTTGCATCATCACGTAGTTCATTTTCAGGAGGTTACATTTTTAAACTGTTACCCCTATATATTTTTTATATTTACGATAAATCCTTAGGGACAGAGATATATATATTTGGATCCAATTCGTTGCTCTTGGTAGGCAGGGGACTCCCGCACGGTTGGATCCTTAGCCCTTTATTATTCGAGAAATACTCGGCCAACTCGGGTTCCGAGACGGGAGTGTCAAGGAGCTTTCGAAAATGGGCGAAAAGTAAAGATAGGCAAAAATTTAGAAGTTGTTTTATAAGCGTTTCCAACAGGACAAGATTGACGTTAAGTATTGACCCTTGGTAGACACGGGACTCACACATGAAGGTATCCTCAGCCCATTGTTATTGTAGTCCTAACTAAACCCAACGTTAACAAGTCTTTAACCCTAACCTTTCCTAAACCTAATTTAACTCTAATCCCAACCAGTCTTTATCTTTATCCTAACCTACATAACCCATTGTTAATACTATAACTTACCTTTTTGACCCTCATATCCTAAACTAATTTAACCCTAATCCACAAGTACATGACATGTCTATTCAGAGATCCAAATTGCCTTTGACCGATGACTTGTGATCCTTGTGCCCACAATTGATTTAAGTGTAATATATCACAGTTATAATTTCATAATCATCTTTAACCCTAATCCTAACCCGTCCTTAATACTAACTTTACCTAACCCGTTTTTAACCCAAATCTTATCCTCTTCTCAATACTAACTTTAAGTGCCCATCTCTAACCCAATTCCTAGCATAACATCACCTTATCCTTTCCTTACCTGCCCGTTCTTAATATTCACCTTACCCGTCCATAACCCTTCCTTACCCAAACTAAGATGGGTAGTAATTATAGATTAACTTAACTATAAACATGTCTTAATTCTAACTTTATCTTACCCCCTCCATGTCCTAACTTAACCCGTCCTTAACACTAACACACCTTTAACCCCAATCCTAACTTGCCCTTAATCCCAATCTTACCCATCCTAAGCTTTTACTACTTAACATGATTTTAACCCTAAATCCTAACTTCCCATCCTTAAATACTAACTTTACCAAACCCCTTTTTAACCTAAATTTTATCCTCTTCTCAATACTTTACTTACGTACCCGCATTTAACTCAATCCTAACATAACATCACCTTATCCTTTCCTTACTACCCACTCTTAATATTCATCTTACCCATCCATTACCTTTCCTTGACTCTACCTAAGATAAGTAGTAAGTTAAAAATTAACTTAATTATATATTTGTTCTTAATTCTAACCTCCCTGCATGTCCTAACCTAGCCCGTCCTTAATACTAACGCGCCCTTAACCCCAATCCTAACTTGCCATTAATCTCAAACTTACCCATCCTTAGCTTTTACTATTTAACACGCTTTTAACCCTAATCCTAACCCGTCCTTAATACTACCTTTACATAACCCGTTTTTACCCAAATTTTATCATCTCAATATTAACCGTACGTACTCGTTCGTAATATTTATCTTACCCGTCCATTACCCTTCCTTAACCCTACCTAAGATAGGTAGTAAGTTATAGATTAACTTAATTAGAAACCTTTTCTTAATTCTAACCTTACCTTAATGCATGTCTTAACCTAACCCATCCTTAATACTATAACAACCAGTCCTTAACCCCAATCCTAACTTGTCCTTAATCCCAATTTAACCCATCCTTAGCTTTTACAACTTAACACGCTTTTAACTCTAATCCTAACCTGCTTTTAATACTCACTTAGACTTTATATTTCGGGATCTACCCAGTCAGGGACTTGGACAGTTAAATATCAGAATCACAGTGCACCGAAAACGGTTTAAATTTCAGCAGTTATCACCCCGGTTTAAAATTTTGAAACAAGCGTTTGTACAGGAGTGGAACCTTCGACCTGATGCTCATTCTTCACTGTTCAACGCCTTCTGCACACCACTTACCTTCATTCGCAATACGAACAATCGGTGAGGATCAAAAAAGTAAACAGACGAAAAACGAAATCGTGTTACGGTGTTAGGATTGTTAGAAGAACGCCAGAAGTGGTAGCAAACCGTGCACTCCGCCCTTCAGTTTATCCTCAAGGAATTTGTGAGGTACAGCGGATAAGAAAGGTTCATTTATATTTTGTCACTTTTTTAAATTCTTTGATACTGTTTTCTTCTTTCTTAAAACTCTCTTTATTTACATTAATTTAAATAAAAAAACAAACAATATTTGAGTATGTTTTTAGGGGGGTGGGGATTTTGTTTTTGGCAGGGAGGATTGAGTAGTCGAACAGCTCAGACACCGTCGGATATCGTATATATCTTCTCGGCAGACTTTCTGTAAATGAAGAATAAGACACAAAAGAAAGAACAAAAAAAGTCTTGAGCAAGCCTTTTTTCACCTTTATAACTGCAAAGCGGGGAATGCGGTATTTATATAGTGGGGTAGGAGGATTCAAAGGGTTTGTTTAATGATCAACAGAGGTTTTTAATTCATTATATTATTTTTTTTTAAATTTGATTTTTCTCTTTTTTTTACATCTTTGGTTTTTTCCTCGTAAAATCGTCGTTCAGGGTACAAGAGGGAGGGCGCTTCCAGTCTTCTCGGTTTCGATTTCACGGGGTATATGGATGGCCAAGTTATTGGGCAATATTCTCATTCCGCGCTTCTTCGCCGTTGACACCGTCTCCGTCCTATCGACCCGTTATTCGTTCATTTTTAAATACCATACATATTTTTTTCCTCTTCATAAAAGAGTTAGTCACAAAAACGGTGAAGAAACAGCAAAAAAAACGGACGTCGTGTAGTCGTCGTCATTTTGCATGCTTTCGAAACCGGAGATTAATTTTTTGAGTGCATTAATTTGTTGAGTGCCAAGTTATACAAGGGAAAGAAGAAAAACAACGAGGTAGAGTTACAATTATGGTTAAAGGCGGGCTAAGTAAAGTTAGCGTTTAGGAAGGGCTAAGGTTAGATTAGAATTAAGGTTAGGACCAAGGTAGATAAGGTTAGTTTTAGGGTTAAGGACGAGATAGGATTAATTTAAGGGCGGACTAGGTAAAGTGGGGATTAAGTAAGGGTTAGAAATAAGTTAAACGGGGGTTAGAAACGGCTTAGGTTTAGGAAGGGCAGCTTCTTAGAATTAAGGGCGAGATAAGTTAAGGAAGAGTTAGGTAAATTTAGGATTAAGGATGCGTTAGGTGAAATAGGACGGCTTATGGAAAGACAGGTTAGGTTCGGATTAAGGATGGGTTAAGTTATTGAAGGGGGTTAAATACGGCTTGGGTTTTTTGGGAATCTAGTTAGTATTAATGCTAAGGACCTCTTAGGTTAGGATTATGGACGGCTTAGGTTGGGAGTAAAGACAGCTTAGGTTAGGACTACGGTTAAGGACAACTACGGTTGGGATTAAGGGCGGGTTAAGATAAGACTAATGTTAAGAACCTCTTAGGTGAGGATTAAGGACGGTTTAGGGCTAAGATTAAGGACTGTATCGGTTGGGATTAGGGGACTAAGGTTAACGACTGCTTAAACTAGGATTAAAGATGGTGTAGGTTAGGATTAAAGTTAAGGATTGCTTAGGTCAGGATTAAGGAAGGGTTAGATTAGGACTAAGGTTAAAGACGGGTTAGGTTAGGACTAAGGACGGGTTAGGAAACATATCCATGATTCATTGTTTTTCCGTGAGTGCGCAGCGCGAGTTTTCGTTTTTCTACCCAGATGCAAAAGTACAATTACAAACGGAGGAAAAGGAAACAAAAAGGGATTTATCTCCTTTAGGCCAGTGGGCTGGAGAGACCAACCCCTCCATGCAAAGGGGTGATTACCATATTCCATGCACATAGATGAAAAGCAACACACACAAAAAATTGAAAAAAAGTATCCAGGGGCAGCTCACCTGTAGAGCACGTAGTGCTGGAGCACAAAAAACATGTCGAAGACAACTGAAAAAAGCCCGAGGCCGAATTTCGTCACATCGCCGAATATCGAGTTCCAATCGTCTGAAAAAATTTCGGTGGTTGAATAAATAAGAAACTTCGTCAATCGTGGAAGAGGATCGTAAAATAGGAACTCTACCATAGTTATCAGCGTTGATAATCATCTGCACCATGCTGAGAACGCCCCCTGTGAAGTCGAGGAGGACGTTGCCTATGCTCCAGCCAACCGTGCTCTTCCTCCTGAAGTTCATGTACGCCTGGGGTATGTACTTGATGAGAGTTATGGTGAGCTTGATGTAGCCGCACACGTTGAGGAACTGTAGCCAAGAGATAGAGGCCGTCCACGATAGGATGATGGCGACACCCAGGACGACGGCGAACAGACATATTATACCCTTGGCTACCTTTGACACGGCTTGCTCTCCCCTCTGAAATTAAATAAATACTAAAGTGTAAAATTTTGGAATCAATATTGATCTTTATACATCCCACCTCGTATATAAAACACTGGAATATCGTGAAAACAGTCAACAACGCGGCGTGTAGGGAGAAGAAGATGTCGTTCAGCTGGACCGGTATCAAACCCTTTGGGTACGTATTGAAATACTCCGCCTGAAAGTTAAAAGATTAGTTTCCCCGTGCGCCTGAGGTTGTCGAATATTGACCTGAATGGCGGGTATCCAGTAGAGTCCGCAGTTGTACAAAGAGTAGAGGAGAAAACCTATTAAGTTGAGAGCCAGGAAGTCGAAATTGAGCCCTACGACGCTCTTCCTCTTCCAATTCTCGTACACCTGGGGGTAGAAAGATACAGACCAAGCTACGAAGTAGATCCACCCAATGGCCACACTCGCCGTGACAAGGTCGTAGGAGCGGAGTAAGGTGAGGCGTACGTACGCGTTGTCAACACTGGTTAAAAAAAAAAAAAATAAATAAAACAGTTGAAAGAAAACATCAAGTACAACTCGCTACTGACTTGATCCTTTCGTCGGTACCGGTGTAGTTCAGGGTCAGGATATCGTGTCCGGGGCTCAGGGCTTTGACGCTGAATTGCCAAGGAGGGCTCGCGTTCAGGGGCAGATCCGCTGGTACTATTTCAACGAGATCCTTGTGCACCGTGTACAGGTGGATCCTTCCCTGGCTGGGCTTGAAATCACCGCTGAAAACGGGATAAAACAAAGTTAGTCCAGCCCATCCACTTCGGTTCACATTTTGTCTCAGTTAGGACGAGTTTCATGTCTTTATTTCTCATTGTCTCTTATTTGTTCGATCCCCCGATCCTAGTGAGCTCCTACCGCTCGACCTTACAAGTATCAGAAGGCAAACGACAGGAGCTCTCTCTATACCCGACGAGTATCAGGAGTCAAACGAGTACCAGCTCCCTTGGATCTTACAATACCAAGAGTCAAATGATAATAACTATCACGAATCACGGATTTGCAAAGCAAGACCTCTGCAGTCCTCAAACATCAAGGCCTGATTGGGGCTCAGATTCTGCATTTAGGAGGAGTCCAAAGTGTAGAACCCGATCTCACAGGGCTCAGCGGAGTTTTCAAGACCGAAAAGATAACAGAAGATAAAGAAATCGGTGAACGAATGATATCAGGAGTCAAATAATACAAGCTTTCTTGGCAGAAACCAGGAGGTACAAAGTAGAATGTGCCAAAGTCTTAAATGTATTAGGCTGAAATGAAAACACCTGCCATGGCCCTGAGAAGTTAATTAGTACGAGCTGACTCGACCTTACTGTTATTAGGAATCAAATATGAGCTTATAAGGCCGTACACATATCAGGAGTTCGATAGTAGAAGCTTTCTCAACCTTACAAGTATCAGGAATGGAATAGTAGAAAGTAACAGGTCAAGTATGAGCTTTCAAGACTACAACTATCAGAAGTCAAATGATAGCTCATTCGTCCTTTCAAGTAACAGGAATCGAATAGGAGCTTTTAAGAGCGAAATGGTATCAGGAATCAAATGATAAGAGCTGTCACGACTGTACGACTATCGGGAATCAAATGATAAGAGCTGTCAGGATTGTATTACTATCAGGAGTCAAACAAATACGAGGTCTCTACTATCTGATGAATATCTGGAGTCAAATAGGAGCTTTCAAGACCGATAAGCTAACAGCAGTTAAATGATAGGAGCCCTCACGATCTTCGAAGTATCAGGAGTCAAAGAGTAGAAGCTCTATCGTTTTTGTGATGGGAGCTTTCAAAACCGTACAGGTATCAGGAGCCAAGTAGTCCGAGCTCAAGAACAGGAGTCATGCAATAAGGAACTTCAAATCCGTACACCCATCAGGAGCCAACACGTAGTAGCTCAATTATCAAGATTCAAATAGGCGCTTTCAAGAGCGAACAGGAGCATCAGGAGCCAAATGATAGGCGAGTATCGGCAGTCGACAAAGTATCGGCAGTCAAATTATAGGCGCTCTTTCGCCTTTTACAGTATCAGGAGTCCAATAATGGGGACTGTCACGAGCGTAGTAGTATCAGGAGTCAAACAAGTATCAGCTCAAGCATCAGGTGTCCAATAAGAACATCCAAGACAGAAAAAGTAGCAGGAGTCAAACAAATATCAGCTCAAGCAACAGGTGTCCAATAAGAACATCCAAGACAGAAAAGGTAGCAGGAGTAGTCACACAAGTAGCAGTTCAAGTATCAGGTGTCCAATAAGAACATCCAAGGTATAAACGGTAGCAGGAGTCCAACAAGCTCTCAAGACTCATCAAGTATCGGGAGTTAAATAGTAGGAGCTTGCTCTATCATGCAGGTAAACAGAGTCGAACAGAAGCTTTTAAACATGTCTATTAATTGACTTCTGGTACTTGAAAGGACGGGTGAACTCCTATCATTCGACTGCTGATACTTTTTCAGTTTTCTAAGCTCCTATTCGACTCCCGATTCTTGTAGGGCCTTGAAAGCTGTTAGACTCCTGTTACTTCCTCGGTCTTGAAAAATCGTATTACCTGCAAGGTCAAGAAAGCTTCTGTTATTTCACTCTTGATACCTTTTCGGTATTCTAAGTTCCTATTCGACCCCTGACCCTTGGGTCGGGAGAATTCCTACTTGCTTAACTCCTGATCTAGTTTCGTGACAGCTCTTATGATTTGACTTCTGATATTTGAAAGGACGTATGAACTCCCATCACTCGACTCCTGATATTTTTTTTCAGTCTTCTAAGCTCCAATTCTTTTAGCTATTTTCTTGGTCTTGAAAACTCCTATTACTTGCAAGGTCAAGAAAGCTTCTTTTTTTCACTCTTGATACCTGTAAGGTCCTAAAGGCTCCTATTTCATTTCTAATATTTTTTCGGTCTTCTAAGCTTCTGTTCGACCTCTGATACCTGTAGGGTCGTGATAGCTCATCTCATTTGACCTCTGATATTGGAAAGGGCATGTTAACTTTCATAATTCGGCTCCTGATAATTTTTACCTATTGAAAGCTCCTATTCGATTCCTGATACGTTTTCGATCTTCGAAGCTCCTATTCGACCCCTCGATACTTGTAAGGTCGAGAGAGCTCCTCTTCACTCATTTCTCTCTCTCGTCTTTCTTTCTACCTCTTATATTTCTTTTCCTTTCACTATTTCACTGCAGTTTGTCCTTCGCAATTTCCCATCCGTTTTTATTTTGTATTTTTCAAGACCGGGTCAATATTTCCACCTCGATAAAAAAAAGGAAAAAAGATCGAAAAGGTAACGGGTCTCAAAAGGAGGGAATTTTTTCTCCATTTTAATTAACAGGAGCATGTACCAGGAGGTCGAGGAAATTTGATTGCTTCCCTTCATTTCTCTTTTTTCTTTTTTTTTCCCCTCACCCGGAAAGGCCGAAATAGATCTCGGGCGACTGGCCGATAGTCTGACCGTCATCATATCAGAGAAAAAATAAAGAAGGGGAAACTGATTAGACAGCCTTCGATTGTAAGAATGAAAAAAAATTTTAAACTAAATATTGCAACAGAACTTGTTGAACTTGGCCGGTTAATGCTCTCCCTCTTCAGTCACATAAGTTTTATCCGCCTCTTCATTCTTTATCGCGATATATATTTTTATATATATATATATGTGTGTGTGTGTGTGTGTGTGTGTGTGTATTATATGGGTTATAAATGAATTAAAAGTGGATTGTCAAGCGGAGGAGGATGAGATTCCGCTCAAGGCAGGAAGCCGTTTAATTGTACCAAGGCTGACGACGAATCAGCCAAGATTCGCTGACGAATCCGTTAACTTTCTGAATGCACAAAAAAATTAAGATTAATATAAGATTAAGGATAATCCGAGAGATTAGATACGGCCCTTTCGACCAGGGGGGAGACCCGGTATCGTTGTCTTGGCCATAACGTAGCACATTCCTCCACTGGCCTGCGTCAAATTGATGACTATGGTAAATTTAAAAACGAAATATTATTTTTGATCCACTTTGTTCGGCGTGTTTTCGAACAAGCTGAAGAGCAATAAAACGAGTTGTCTTTCGTCCAATGTCAAAAAGAAAAAACAAACAAACACGCTTTCTCTGGATTAGAAATATTCTTTATTTAAATGTTTGACAAATAGAAGGCACATGGAGAAAAACAGTTCGAAAATGTTCCTAGCTATCAAATGGTTGTTGATTTTTTAAAATCTTTTATTTTTTTTAAATCAAGGTGTCCCTTTCTTGAAGAGCAGAAAATAAAAACATACGGATGGGAAAATGCGAAGGACAAACTGCAGTGAAATCATGAAAGGAAAAGAAAGAAAGGGGGAGAGAGACGTAGAAACAGGTAAAGAGGAGCTGTCTCGACCTTACAAGTATCGATGGGTCGAATAGGAGCTTAGAAGATCGAAAAAGTATCAAGAACGAAAAGCTATCAGGAGCCAAACGATAGAAGTTCACACGTCCTTTCCGATATCAGAGGTCAAATGATATGATCTGTAACGACCATACAAGCATCAGTGGTCGAATAGGAGCTTAGAAGACCGTACACGTATCAGGAGTGAAAGAACAGAAGCTTTCTCGACCTTGCAAGAAATAGGATTTCAAGACCGAGGAAATAACAGGATTCTAACGATGAGAAGCTTTCAAGACCCTACAAGGTAGGTCGAAGGAGTCGAAGTAGAAAACCGAAAAAGTATTAGGAGTCGAATGATAGGAGTTCACACGTCCTTTCAAATATCAGGAGTCAAATTACAAGAGCTGTCAGGACTCTACTAGTATCAGGAGTCAAACAAGTAGGATCTCCCTTGACCATACAAATATCAGGGGTAGAATAGGAGCTTACAAAACCGAAAAAGTATCAGGAGTCGAATGATAGGAGTTCACACGTCCTTTCAAATATCAGGAGTCAAATTACAACAGCTGTCACGACTCTACTAGTATAGGAGAAAAACAAGTAGGAGCTCTCTTGACCATGCAAGTATCAGGGGTCGAATAGGAGCTTAGAAGACTGAAAAAGTCTCAGGAGTGAAATAGAAGCCTTCAAGACCGTATAGTGCCAGGAGTCATATGATAAGAGCTGTCACGATTCTCTCTCTCTCTCTCTCTCTCTCTCTCTCTCTCTCTCTCTCTCTCTTTCATTCTCTCTTATTTCGGATTTTGTGCTCACCTTACGTCCAGAATAAGAGTGACGTTCTCGTCTATTTTGATGTACTCGTCGTGGACGGTCGACTTGATATCGTAACATCTGCTTAAACCTGGAACAGATTCGGATCGGTTGAGAATAGCGCGTGGGGCGCGATAGCTTGCCGTCGGTCCGCCCGTCCTCGCTGTGCCCTGCGTCCCGGAAACTCCCTTACATCGGCCAAGGTCTCGAAAAATCAAACAACGGATCGATCTTTGAGGCCGGATCGGCATTTAGATCGATTATCCTTCGAATATAAACGAGTTTTTAAAGTTGGACCTTTTTCTTTCAATTATCCTTCTCATTTCTAAGTCAAGGCCTTGTAATTACGGGCCATTAAACCGAATTTACAATTTACAACTTCCAGGGGCGTTTTGACGACAATTCCTGGCAATGAGGCAGCGGACTGGGTCTGAGCTTTGTTTAGGCAGCGAAACAGCGAGACGAAGCGGACCTTCAGCATGCCCCAAGATACGTTGAATAAATAAAAACCCGGAATCGACGTCCCAGTTGTCTAAAAATAAATCTTAATCGCTCACCTATGACAGCAAAAATAGCCACGCTGCTTAATGACGGCCACATCGTGTTTTTTCTTTTTTTCCCCTGCGGAAATGGCTAATACAAATTCTATCACAGTGACCCACTCGCCGTCCTGGAACAAAACATGAAAATAAACAAAAAAAATGGAAGAGTTAAAACAAACACTCTGTTATCTCGAAAAACAATCGATCAAATAACAATACGACATTTACAGGGGGGAAATTCCAATGATTAAATGAAACTCACCCGGGTATATAAAAAATATTCTTTAAGCGGCATTTAATCATAGTTGAAATTACCCAACAAGTTAAACGGTTCTGAGTCTACTCTCTGATTTGAATGGTCAGGAGTCTCAAATCTTCAAAGTGAATATATTCCAGGACTTAAATATCAGAGTGAACCGCTCCCGACGGTCCAATCCGAAGATGAACCAGTTCTGAATATCTAATCGCAAAATTAATCGAATTGAGTTCTCAAATCCAATTAGATTTCGAGGTGCAACTCCCAAAATAAATCCCAAGAGTCAAATCCCTAATGGAATCTTTACCAAGTCTCAAATATAAATTACGATTCAAATATGTCAAAGTGAACTAGCTTGAAGAGACAATCCCAACCAAACTGGTACCGAGGATTCAATCCGTAAATGAACTAGTTCCGAGACTCTAATTTCCAAAGCGAATCGATTCTAAGAATCGAATCTTCGAGTGAATCGGTTTAGATTCAATCCGAAAGATAACCGGTTCCAGGCTCAAATTAGAAAGAATCGATTCTAAGACTCAAATTAGAATGGGACTTTATTTCAAGGCTCAAACTGGAAAGTGGACAGATTCCAAAACTCAAATGTTCCAGTGAATCGGGATAAACGGATACAAGACTCAAATTAGAACGTGAACAGATTTCGAGACTTAAATTTCTAATTATTGTAGAATGTGAACCGATTCCCAGACTCAAATGTTCCAGTGAACCGGTTCCAAGACTCAAATTAAAAAATAAACCGGTTCCTTGGATCTTGATTCAAATTAGAAAGTGAACCGATTCTAAGACTTAAATTTCAAATTATTGTAGAATATAAATCAATTCCGAGACTAAATGTTCCAGTGAATCGGTTCAGAGTCAATCCCAAAGATAACCGGCGCCAAGACGCGAATTAAAAAGTGAACTGGTTTCAAGACTCAAATAAAAAAAATGAACCGGATCCAAGACCCAAATTAAAAAGTGAACTGGTTCTAAGACTCAAATTAGAAAGTGAACCATTCCAAGAATTAAATCTCAAATTATTGTAGAATGTGAACCGTTCCCAAGACTCAAATTAGAAAGTGAACCAGTTCCAAGACTCAAATTAAAAAGTGAACCGGATCCAAGACCCAGATTAAAAAGTGAACCGGTTCCAAGGCTCAAATTAGAAAGTGAACCGATTCCAAAACTTAAATTTCAAATTATTGTAGAATGTGAATCTATTTCAAGGGTAAAACCTTCCAGTGAATCGGTTCAGAGTCAATCCCAAAGATCACCGGTTCCAATGGACAAAAAATAAAGTGAATCGGTTTCAAGTCTTAAATCTCGAATTAGAAAGTGAATCGATTCTAAGGGTCAAATCTTCAGTGAATCGACTTTGAGGTGACCGAGATCCGAGACTCAAATTTAAATGTGAACGATTTCGAGACTCAAATCATGTAGTAAACATCTCAAATTAGAAAGTGAATCGACTCCAAGACTCAAATCTTCTAGTGAATCGGTTTGTATTCAATCCCAAAGTGAAATTGAAATGAAATCCGATTCCAATTCTTAAAAATTACGGAAAATAAATTGGGGTGGAGTTTTTTCTTTTTATCAATTTTAGAACTTAATTCATCCGAGAAAGCAAACGGTAGATATTGTTCTGCAGACTTGTTTACAATTCTCGCTTGTTTTTTACTTTATTTTTTAATCTTTATTTTTATTGGATCCCCGACTGATTTCACTACTATATAATCTGCATTTATATTTTTAAACAATGGCCTAAGAGTTTTTTTTTTGGGGGGGGGGCGTGACGAAAAATCTTCTATTTTTCCCTAATTCGATTTTCTTTGGGCTCTTCTAAGTCTTCAGGCCGGCTTTTAGACTAGCTAGGCCTAATTTGATTTCTAAACCGTTTCTATTTTTTTTTCTTTTTCCCTCCCGATCAAATGAAAGTCGAAAGACCCCGGATCGAAAACCGGGCCAGACGTGATTTAAATTTCCGAACTGCAATCGCAAAAATGTTCCTATCGGGCCAGATAACGGCCCCAGGCCTTTGTCTCGGAAACAAAAGCAGCCCCGATGAGCTACGAACAAGACTCGAATAAAAATTATCTTGGATCCGCCTCGTCTCGCTTTGAACAGGGGAGAAGATGAAGGAGGGTTTTTTCTCGACTATGAGAGCTCTTGCTACATGTTCGGCTCCTTGTACCGCTTTTATTTATTTTTTTTACGTTGCAAAGCGAAACCGGACGAGCCAAGGCTAAACCGTCCAACGCCAATCCCTCTTGCATAAATATATTTTTTACAAGATAATCCGACAATTTATTAAGTTTCTATTGAGCCCAATTGGAATAAAGTGACGAGTCAGTGTTTCACGGCGTCCGACGGATTTCCTAACGCGACGCGTTATTCGGTTCAACGTCCCCTCTATAATTTTGTCGTTAATTGGGCTGGTTCGTATTTTTATTTTGTACCTTCTCGAGAAAAAACAAAAAAAGCGAAGCAGTGCGGTCCGCGGGCCTGTTATTCCGGCGCACGTATGTGAAAGTCGGCGACGTCAAACAAAACACAAATATTTGTACAAGCTGAAGTGACAACCTCAATACAAAACATGACAGGCGGCAGCAGAAGAAAAAGTAGAGATGATTCGGCTGTTCAAGGTCGACATGATTAACTCATTCAAACTCCTAGGTCTTCTGTGAAATCCGACCTCATACGATAATTGGAATTACGAGGAAAACCGGACTCCTGGGAGCTGCACATCGTACTCTCGATCCGGCTCATGTTACCGCACTCATTTTCTTTCCGATCCCAGCTCCTACGAACTTGGCGTAAATAAAGTCCTAACGTGATCCACACTTTTCAACCAAAACTCCGTTCTCGTGGACCGATTGCGGGTTTCTAATTCTAACTCAAATTTTCATGTCAAAGTTCTGAGTCAATCCCAAAGTGAACCAAATCAGAAAGTGAATCGACCCAAACTAAATGGGGTTTAGAATCAATCCTAAAATGAATCGATTCCGCGACTCAAATTAGAAAGCGAATCGATTCCAAGACTCAAATTACAAAATGAACCAATGCCAAGACTTAAATTTCAAATTATTGCAGAATGTTAACCGATTTTAAGACTCAAATTAGAAAGTGGATCGATTCCGCGACTCAAATTAAAAAGTTCATCAGTTTTAAGAGTCAAATTGAAAACGAATCGATTCCAAGACTCAAATTAGAAAGTGAATCAAAATCCACGACTCAAATTAGAAAGTTAACCGTTTCCAAGGCTCAAATTAGAAAGGGGATCGATTCCACGACTCAAATTAAAAAGTTCATCGATTTTAAGAGTCAAATTGAAAACGAATCGATTCCAAGACTCAAATTAGAAAGTGAATCGATTCCATGACTCAAATTAAAAGGTTCATCGATTCCAAGACTCAAATTAGAAAGTGAATCAAAATCCACGACTCAAATTAGAAAGTTAACCGTTTCCAAGGCTTAAATTAGAAAGGGGATCGATTTCACGACTCAAATTTATAAAGCCCATCGATTCTAAGACTCAAATTGCAAAGTGAATCGATTCCAACACTCAAATCTTCCAGTGAATCAGTTCTGAGTAAGTACCATAGCTAGTTCTAAATCTCAAATAAGAAAGTGAGACGGTTCCGAGACCAAAAATGTCTAAATGAACCAACTCCTAGTGTTAAATGTCTAAGTGAACCCGGTTCTACAAATAAGAAAGTGAATTGATTCCAACACTCAAGGGAAGCAATTCTGGGTCAATCCCAATGTGAATCGGTTCTGAGACTAAAATCAGAATGTGAATCGGTTCGGAGACTCAAATTTCAAATTAGAAAATGAATCGGTTTTAAGGCAAACGTAAAGTGACCGTTTCCCAGATTCAAATTGAAAAGTGAATTGATTTCAAGACTCAAGCGAAGCAGTTCTGAATCACAAATCCCAATGTTAGCAGGTTCCAAGTACAATCAGAATGTGAACCGGTTCCGAGCCTCAAAGCGCAAAAGGAACCACTCAAATGAATCGATTCCGATGAACTGCTTGCTGAACCCCGATCTTTTCCTTCATTTGTATTATCCTGATCTACTTGAAATCCGCCGCTCCTGGGCGAATCCTAATCGGTTTTCAATACACCTTATATGTCCTCTTATTCTTCTTAGCTTTCTGCTCTCGTTGATTTAAACAGAGCTTACTCAATAATTTATATTCATGAGAAACGTACATCTTCAAACATTCCCATTTCTAAAAGCGTTAATTCTTATCGAAATAATAATACAAATCTCCCGCGTGCTTTATCGCTCTGTGTGACTATTCCAGCACCACGATAACGCCCATTACCATTAACCCGTGAAATTAGAGGTCGTATAATTTCATTTTATCGTTACAAACAATTAAAAACAACTTGTGATTCGCTCCTACTGAAAACTATGTGCTGGAAACAGCAATGTGATTTTCAGAAGCTCACTTTACAAAAATGTATTTTAGGATAATCAGGAGCACACTTTGCGTAAAGCCAATGACAGTATGATATAAGACGATAATCAGGTGCACACTTTGCGTATATGTGAGTCAGAATTATAGGAAGCGCGCTTTGTATGAAGTTAGGATGACAGAATTTGATTATCAGGGGGTTAGTTTATGAAAATGTATGTCAGGATAATCATAAACGCAGTTTGGATGAAACCAGTTTCAAGAAGATAAAGGATGATTATCAGGAAAACACTTTCTGTAGAGTAAGTGCCAAGATGCGAGTGGGCGGTTATCAAGAACACGTTATGTAAATGGTCAGCACCAGGATAGCAGGAGGTAATTATCAAGAGCTCACTTTACAAAAATGTATCAGGATAATCAAGGTCACACTTTGCATGAAGCAAATGTCAGTAATAAGGTTAGTATCAGGATCACTTTAGCTCGTATCAGCCGTAAGCTTGTATCAGGATAATCAGGAGAACACTTTATGTAAGCATGTATCAGGATAATTAGGAGAACACTTTGTATTCAGCCAGAAAAGGAAACAGGGAGGTGATTGTACTGAGTAATCGGTACAGAAGAGGATTGTCAAGAGCACATTGTTCAAAACGTGTATCATGATAATAAGATAATAATGATAATAGATGATAAGATAATAATGATGATGATAATCATGATAATAGGAGCACACTACAGAACCAGTAACAATAAATTATAATCAGCAGCACAATTTTATAAATGGACAGGATCAAGATAGCAAGACGTGAATATCAGGAGGATAAAAAAATGGGAGATTATCAGGAGCACACACAGCTCCTGTCCTCTTATGTCAACATAAGAGTGGGCGTTATCAAGAGCACACTTTGTATACATCCGGTATTAGTATAGAAGGAAGTAGTTAGCAGGAGAACATTTTGTACATAGCCAGCATTAGAATAGCTGGGGGTTATTGTCAGAAGCACATCAGGGTTTCACAATAATTCATAAGGGGTTCATAGTCTTTGACACGGCGCTCATCACTGTAAGGTAAAGGTCCCGGGTTCGAATCCAGCGGCCCTGCATTCGAACCCGACATACTTACAAATGGGCTTTTTTTTCAAAAACACCGGCACCCTGAAGTCACCAACTATGAGCTCGGTTTTCATAGAAAATAGATGTAGGTGCTATTTTTGGGGAGATCCTGGATTCCTCATAGGAGCTCAAATTTGAAAGTACATGATGCATCTAGGAGGTCGGTTTTCATTCAAAAGTAGAATTTGTAGGAGCTCTGTTCAGAGATAACAGGATGCCTCTGGGAGTTATATTCTTCAATTAAAAACTTAAAGTTTCGTAGTCGGCCGGATTCGATAAAACAAAGAAGCTAGTAGGAGCTCTGGGAGCTATATTTTCAAAGAAAAGTAGAGTTTGAAGGAGCTCTGTTTTGAAATAACAAGATGCATCTAGGAGTTATATTTTCAATTAAAAAGCTGAGGCCTCATAGGAGGTCGGATATGAAAAAACAACGAAGCTAGTGGGAGCTCGCATTTTCAGGTAACAGGATGCCTCTAGGAGATCAGTTTTCATAGAAAAGTAAAAATAGTAGGAGCTCAGTTATGAGAAATCCTGGATTCCTATTAGAAGCTCGGTTTTTGGGATAAATGGTTGCATCTAGAAGCTACGTTTTCATAAAAAAGTAGTATTTGCAGGAGCACTTTTTTGAGATAACGTAATTCCTGGCAGGAGGTCTGTTTTAGAAGAAGGCAAACCAGGAGCGTTATTTTCTACGAAATGTTAATCATGGAGCTCGGTTTTGGTTTAAAAAAAATTGGATCTACCAGGAGCTCATTTTTCGTCGAGTAGGGAGCTCTGGTTGACATGACACAATTTGAAGAAAAATTTCACATATCACGTAACTTGATATAAGAGGACTGACATCTACGAACCTTACGGTTTAAACAAAAACTGAACTCTGGTAGGTCGGTTTTAATCGAAAGTCAAATCTACCAGGAGTTTTGCATAGTAGATAGAAAAAGTAAGCATCCGATAAAACCAGTCATTCATTTAATCTTAATGCGTTTTTAATCGAATCCCGGCGCCACAAGTTTTGCCAATTAACGAATGATAGTAATTACCTCATAAAAATTGTTTAATTTTTTTTATGTTATGTAAAATTGACTCACCTAAGGCCGAGCGTCGTAATTAGATGCTAATAAATATTAAAAACAAGACTTATTTCCTTGTCGCTGGGTTTAAATAATAGATAAGATAATCTGCACGGAATTCATGACGAAAACTGTTCGCCGGCCGTCGTGGGCCGTTGTCGGAGTAGAACGTGAAGAAGTGAGCACCCGAAACGCTACTGGGCCGGCACGGACGTCGCCCCTTTGTTTATAAGACCGAGGGCAAGGCGGGCGCCTCGGCGTGGTAGGGGAATGGACTAGGAGCGAGACGTAGCGGACCCCCCTCCCACCACCACCAAATTGACACGTAAAAACGAAATGAACGGTGTCAAGGGATTAGGAAAAGACATGATCTATCATCCTTAATCGTTATGCGGGTGTTTTTTTTTTGTTTTTTTTGTTTTTTTTTGTTTTTTTTTTTTTGTACCCAGCCCCGACCCATATCATACTCAAAAATTGGCTTACAATGGTTTTTGGTCGAGATAATAAATCAGTGGATTTGAAAGATCATCCAAGAATCCAAGAACCACTCCACCATCAAAGACCTACGCTAACAATTAAGAACATGACTGTCGATTTACACTCATCTCCAGATAATTGTTTAAACATATGAAGAGGATTAGAGAATAAAGATTATATATGGATTAGCGAGAGGATAAGATTTTTTATTTAAAGAGTTGATCAGAGGATAGAGCGAGGTGGATTAGGGAGATGATTAGATTTTTAAAGAGTTGATGAGAGAATGTAGCTCAGTGGATTAGTGATATAGGATACATGTATAAGGATCAAAGAGAGGATTAGTGGCTTACCGATGGAGGATTTTTATATTTATTTTAGAAGGGATTAGAGATTGAGTCTTTATGGATTTGATATTTTTTGACAGTTGATTAGAGAATAAATGACAGCGGCTTAGAGTGGGATTAGAGAATGAGTCATAGTGGATTAAAGGGAGGAATAGATTTTAGTTTTTTTTTAGAGAACGAACAGAGTGGATTAGAGAAAGAGAGTGAGGGAGGATTAAAGACGTACTTCCGAGGAGATTGGAGAAAGAGAGAACGAAGAATGATTATATACGTACTTCAGGTTGGATTAGAGAATGAATCGTTATAGATTAGAGATAGGATTAGATTTTGATTTTTTTTTTACAGAGTTGATTAAAAATGAATCACAGTGGGCTAGAGAAAGAAAGCGAGGGAGGATTAAATATGTACCTCTCAGGAGAGTAGAGAAAGAGAAAGAGAAAGAAAAAGAGTGAGAGTGAGAGAGAGAGGGGGGAGGGGGAGAGGGATGATTATATATGTACTTCAGGATGGATTGGAGAGTGAGGGAGAGAGAGAGAAAGAGAGAGAGGGGAGAGGGAGAGAGAGAGAGTGTGTGATGGTGAGGGGAGGGGAGGGAAGGGAGGAGAGAGAGAGAGAAAGGGAGAGGGAGAGAGAGGGAGAGGGAGAGAGAGGGAGAGGAAGAAAGGGAGAGGAAAAAAGGGAGAGGGGGAGGGGAGAGAGAGGGAGAGGAAGAAAGGGAGATGGGGAAGGGAGAGGGGAGTGGAGAGAGGGGGGAGGGGGAGAAAATGAGAGGCTAAAAGAACTATTTAGAAAATGAATCTTAGTAGATTATGGAGAGAGAGGACTGAACTATGCACTTTTTAGATCGGATTAGAGTGTACTGTAATTGCAGGGATTTAAAAAAATAATTACGGATTCAATTTATTAAAGGAGTTGATTAGAGACATGTATCGCAGCGGATTAGAGAGATGGGATTGTTTTCTTTTTGACATGTTGATGAAGTAAATGTCAGTGGAAAGTTATTAAAATAAATGAATAGGTTTTTTTTTTATTATTGTTATTTTTCATGGGATTAGAGAAAGTGGATTATATATGGATAAGAGATAGTAAACTATGTAGTTTACACTAAGCTTAGAAGATGAATCATTGATGATCTTATTTTTGGCTTAGGGAGAAAAGATTATACTTGTATTTTGGTAGGGATTAGAGGAGCCATGACGGATTAGGGAGAGGATTAATTAATGCATTCCCAGTTAAAGAATGAATGCAATTCTGTCATAAGTACCAGATTATTGTGGGATTCGAATTTTTTTTTTGGACGGGAAAATTTTTTTAGTGTATTTTAATTAAAAATTCCATAACTCGGCCATTGAAAAAGAAGTGGGTAATTCCTTTCAAATTATTTAAAACCGTGATCGTAAATCGACGATGATGATGATGTTTCATTTCGAGGTGATGCAATACGCTAATTTCTGTTAATATTTAATGTGTTTTTTTAATATATATGTTGATTTATCGAATTTTTTAGATTTTTTTGTGAGCGAAAACATTTTTTTTTGTTATTCAAGGAATCTTTATTTTTGTTTCGTTATCTAATCAAGATTCATTAATTGAACAGCAATCGTCCCCTTCTAATCCACTGCCATCCATTTTCGAATCAATTCTAAAATAAATAACCTAATCCATACAAATCCTTTCTATCTCTAATCTTCTCTGAAATACGCACAATATAATCCTCTGTCTGTCTCTCTCTTTCCCTCACTAATCCTCTGTGATTCATTCTCTAACTAATTCTATAAAAAACAAAAACCTGATCCATCTCTACAATCCATGACTCTCTAATCCCTTCTGAAATACATTTGCTCAACTCCATCTGTAATCTACTGTGATCCATTCACAAATCAAACCTGAAAAAAGAAGATAATAATCCTTTCTCTAATCCAAAATGGTTCTATAATCCCATCTAAAATAAATATATTACCCTCCTGTCTCTCTAATCCTCTGTGATCCATTCTCTAATCAACTCGATAAACAAATCTAAGCCTTTCTCTAATCCATAATGAATCACTTTCCAATCCCGTCTAAAATAAATATATAATCCAACCTCTATTGTGATTCATTCGATATTTAACTTCTTAATAAAAAAAATCCATTCTAAAATAAATATATAATCCTCTCTGTCCAATCCTCTGCAATTCATTCTCTAATCATGCTATAAAAAGGAAAAATCTAATCCCTAATGACACACTATAATCCCTTCTCGAATAAATAATCCTCCCTCTCTCTCTAATCCGCAGTAATTCATTTTCTAATCAATTTTATTTAAATTTTTTTATCCATCTCTCTAATCCACAATGACTCGTACCCTAAACTCTTCTCTTACATATACAAACCTCCAACTCTAATTTACGATGATTCATTCTCTAATTAACTCTTTTTAAAAATCCAATCTTCTCGCTAATCCATATGCAATATTCCATCTCCGATCCAGTGATTCATTCTCTGGCCGAGTCTATTGGCAGAAACAAAAATCTAAATCTATCTCGAATAGATAATCCTCCTTTTCTCTCTCTCTCTCTCTCTCTCTAATCCGCTAGAATTAATTTTCTAATCAATTCTATTTAAAAATATCTAACCATCTCTCTAATCTACAATGACTCGTACTCAAATCTCTTCTAAAATACGTATACACACCCCATCTCTAATCTACGATGATTCATTCTCTAATTAACTCTTATTTTAAACCCAATCCTCTCACTAATCCATGTACAATATTCCATCTCTAATCCGTTGCAATTCATTCTCAGATCAAGTCTATCGACAGAAACAAACACCTAATCCTTGTTTAAAAAAAAAAGATAGTTCCTACTCATAGTAAGTAGTAATTTTTTTTAACGATTAACACCGCACTCACTCCATCATTCATCATCTCTACAAAAATCTAATTCTATCTCGCATAAATAATTTTCTCTCTCTCTCTCTCTCTCTCTCTCTCTCTCCTTCTCCCTCTCCCTATCTCTCTCTCCTCTCCCTCTAGGAAAATGTTTTTAGAAAATAATGGCAACGGTGAGGTTTTACTTAAATAAATAAAGAAAACAAATAGACCATCATAGACGATTGTATGAAGAATTTATTTACATTTGCAACGTTACGGGGTAAAAAAGAGAATAACGGTTACAAATAAGGATGAGACAAGGATTCACCTTATTTTTGAACAATATAGTCTAAATTTAAAACAATTTTTTAAAAATTATTGTGTATGTAAGAACGGTGAACAGTACATGTGCAGTCTTTCTTTTTAAGTCGTAAAAATTGTAGGTCGTTTAGGCCTGTCATTCGTGATCATTGTGAGACATTGGGTGAGATTTTTCATCCTTTTTTTTAATGTAGGAATTTTAATTTTTTTAGTTTTTTTTAATTTTCACAGTACGTTGTCCATGTCAGGTACCGTCTGCTCTTCCGTCTCCGAGCAGACGCCTCCGCCCGGCGACTCAAGCGTGATCGTGACCGGCCCGTCGTTCTGCAGCTCGATCACGAGGTGCTCGCCGAACGCGCCTTCTGCAAAAGGGCAAATCCTTTCTTTAAAGAAAAAAAAGAGAAAGAAAATCACAAATATACCGCCACAACGCCGGCTCCACTCACCTTTGACCAAGTCGGGGTCGTGGCGCGACCTCAGCGCCTCGACCAGCTCGGCATAGAAGGCCCGCGACGGGCCCGGCGCCATGGCGTGGTGGAAATCGACCTTGTTTCCCTTGAACGAGTGGCAGAGGGTGACCTGGCTCAGGCAGAGTACCTCGAGTCTACGGTCCTTCACGGACTTCTTCCACCTCCGCGTCGAGTCCCCCGTCTCGCCCTCGTCCTCAAATAGCTTGAGGTTTAAAATTTTATTCACTCTACACAGAACAGTTAACTCGATTAAATTTACTTTTAAAAAATTATTTTCTACCAAAAAATAAAAAATCAAAGCGACTTAATCCACCGAAATCTATTCCTACTTCCCGTATTAAAGAGTCCAATTAAATTAATCCTACTGCATACCCTCAAGACTAGGCTAACTTCTATTGACTTAAATGCCCCCGGGATAATATCATTTGGATTAACTGCATGACATCTGTTCTATACATGTTTCACTATGACATACCCTATGAAAAAGACCGACTGCAAAGGTAATCCTTTTTAAACTAAAAAAACATCTTGGATAATCTCTGGTAAATTAGCTTTGAAATGCCACCCAAGTTCATTCATAATATCCATACAGTAAAAGAAATTCTCTACTCAAGGATTAATCTAATCCATTTTCAACTCAAACACCAAGGATAATCAATGGATTATCTTTGAAATGACCACCTAGTGGATTTACATTATTTATACAGTAAACAACTGTTTAGGGATTAAGCTTATCCATTTTAATCTTTCAATGGATTATCTTTGAAATGTCACATCCTAGTCAACTTGTAATATGCGTACCGTACATAAAAATGAACCGACTTTACTTAACGTTAATGACCAATTAATCCTTTTTTTAACTTAAACATCAGGGATAATCCCAGGTGGATTAGTTATGAAATGACATATAATCATATCCTGTCATATTATCATATCCACACACACAAAAACAACTAGGTAGTTCAAGGATTAAGGTAGGTCCTTTTAAAATAAAGAACACATCATGGATAATCCCCAAGAGATTATCTGAAATTCCATCCTAGTCCATTTATATTATCCGTACAGTACAATAAAAAATACTAATTCTACTTCAGGGATTAATATGATCCATTTCAACTTTAAAAAATATTGGATAATCCCCTATGGATTATTTTTCAAACGTCATCCTAGTCCACTTATATTTTTGATATAATTACAGGATTAAGACAATCCATTTTCGACTTAACTATCATGGATAATCCCCAATGATTATCTTTAAAATATCATCCTAGTCCATTTATATTATTTTTTTTAAAAATCTACTTCAGGAATTAAGATGATATATTTCAACTTAAAATATCATGGATAATCCTCAATGGATTATCTGTGAAATGTCATACTAGTCCATTTATACTATCGATACAGTACAAAAAAACCTGTATTTACAGGATTAAGACAATCCATTTTCACTTTAAAACATCCCTGATGGATTATCTTTCAATGTCATCCTAGTCCATTATCCATACAGAAATTTTTTTGTAAAATCTACTCTAGAGATTAAGATGATTCATTTCACCTTTTAAAAAATTCTGGATAATCCATAATGGATTATCTTCGAAATGTCATCTTAGTGTATTTTTATTATCCATACAGTACAATAAAAAATACCAACTCTACTTAGGGATTATGATTATCCATTTCAACATTTAAAAAATCTTGAGATAATCCACAACGGATATCTTTCAACTGTCATTCTAGTCCATTTATATTCTTGATATATTTACAGGATTAAGATAATCCATTTTCGACTTAACATTCGTGGGTAATCCCAATGATTATCATTAACATATCACCCTAGTCCATTTATATTATGAAAAAAATCAACTCTACTACAGGGATTAAGATGATATATTTCAACTTAAAAATCATGGATAATCCTTAGTGGATATCTTTGAAATGTCATCCTAGTCCATTTACACTATCGATACAGTATAAAAAAAAATCCGTATTTACAGGAGTAATATAATTCATTTTCAACTTAACAATCAGGGATAATCCTCGATCTTTGAAATGTCATCCTGGTCCTTTTACATTATCCACACAGAACAATTAAAAAAACACTACTTTAGGGATAAAGATGATCCATTCTGATCCATTTCAACTTTAAAAATCATGGATAATCCATAATGGATTATCTTCGAAATGTCATCCTAGTCCATTTTTATCCACACAGTCAATAAAAAACACCAACTGCCCTTTACGGAATAAGATTATCCATTTCAATTTTAAAAATCCTGTATAATCCATAATGGATAATCTTCGAATTCAATATAATAAAAAACCAACTGCTTCAGTGATTAAGATGATCCATCCTGATACATTTTAACTTAAACATGGATGATTATCTTTGAAATGTCATCCTAGACCATCTGTAGTATAGGCAACGTACAAAAAGTCCCGACTACTTCTATGGTTAAAATAATCCATTTCTTCTCAACATGAAAGATCATCATTTCAAAGGATCAACTTTAGACCTCCAACCTTGTCCGTTTTATATATATATACATACCTTACGGAAAAAATAAACCGTATTGACTCTGCGGATTAAGCTAATCCATTTCTACTCAAACATCCATGGGGATTAGCTTAAAACGCCGATTTTTGGCGATTTTTTTCACAACAGTCGTCGTCGCTTTTTGTCCCCGAACAGAAAAATAAGCTCCCAGACTGCTCTTTATGGATTAAGCTAACCTGTTTATTTTTTAATGTCACCCTTGCCTCATCGTATGTTGTGCGTACCGTGGATTAAGTATAGGCGACCTCATAAGCATGATTTGAATGGCATAAATCGCAAGATGGAGTTCAAGTACATTGGATTAAGATTAAGAGAGAGAATGAGAGAGAGAAAAAAAAGACCGGCTTAACTGTAAGCTAAACTTGGATTATACGTAAATGTGAGCGAGTGTGTTTTTATTCTTACATGTAATCGAGGTCTTTCTTCGTGTCTTCCCTGGATATGCCGACGAGGACGCAGAGGCCCTTTCCAATCGAGGATATTATCTCACCGGTCCCTGGAAAAATACGAATAGGAAAAAATTGAGTCGGAATCCATTTGTACGCCTTTTGGACGGGTCGGGTGTGCTGTTAGTCCTTACCAGCGTGCTTGGCGCTGGCCGAGGCGACCTTTTGGACGACGGCCCTCATCTGGGTGACGGCATGGCCTGGGATCGGCGGACTCGAACGTGGGAGGATCGTCCGCAAAAGTAAGAACTCGGGTCGGCCGTCGGGCGGTGGGGAGGTTACGACACTGTTTCCCTCCTGGAATAGGTGCCTCGCCGTGCCCTTGGGGAGACAAAATTTCCCCCCGCTTTCGTCCTACAAAAAATATTGGCGTCTGACCAATACATTGGTCATTTTGTCGACGAAACGGCCTCAGACCGAGGCGGTCGTCGACATTTGGCCTACTCCCAAAAACAAGATTTGAACTGAGATCGAAACTGCCATTTCGGTCTTTTGCTCGTTGAAACATTCAATCACTTTGCTCATTCATTACCACATTCACAGAATCGACCACTTTGCTCATTGATATGTTCGAACTATTTTCTCATTTATTCCATCCTTCACAAATTTGACCACTTGCTCATCCATTCCTTCATCATTCACAAAATCGACCACTTTGCTCATTCACAAATTCAAAACCTTTTTCTCATTGCTTCCACCATTCACCAATTTAACCACTTCCTCATTCGCAAATTCATCCCCCTTTTCACATTCATTACTTCATTTACCCATTGGACCACTTGCTCATTAACAAATTCAACCACTTTTCTCTTTCATTACCTCACTCTCGGAATCGACCATTTTTCTCATTCACGGATTCAAAGTCTTTTTATCATTAATTCCATCATTCACAAGATTTACCACGTTACTCATTCACGGATTCGAAATTTTTTTTATCAGTCATTCCATCATTCACAAAATCGACCAACTTGCTCATTCACGGATTCAAACTCTTTTCCTCATTCATTTTATCATTCACTAATTTGACCACTTGCTCATTAATTCTTTAATTCACTAATTTAACTTTTTTTCTCATTCATTCCATCATTCACCAATTTGACCATTTGCTCATTTATTCCCTAATTCACAAAATCGACCATCTTGCTCATCCACGGATTCAAACTCTTTTCCACATTGATTCCACCATTCGCCAATTTACCACTTGCTTATTCTTTCCTACATTCACCAATTGGACCATTTGCTCATTCATCTATCATTCACAAAATCGACCACCTTGCTCATTCACGGATTCAAACTCTTTTTCTCATTCATTCCATCATTCATCAATTTGACCCTTGCTCATGTATTCCCTAATTCACAAAATCGACCTCCTTGCTCATTCATAAATTAAAACTCTTTTTCTTATTCATTCCACCATTCACCAATACAACCACTAGCTCATTCATTCCCTCTTTCACAATATCGACCCATTTGTTTATTCATTCCCACATTCAACAATTTGACCATGTGCTCATTCATTCCCTCATTCACAAAATAGACAACCTTGGTCATTCACAAATTCAAACTCTTTTGCTCATTCATTTCATTATTCACCAATTTGACCATTTGCTCATTCATTCCTTATGCAACTCTTTTTCTTATTCATGCCACCATTCATCAATATAATCACTTGTTCATTCCCTCTTTCACAAAATCGACCCATTTGTTTATTCATTCCCACATTCAACAATTTGACCATTTGCTCATTCATTCCCTCATTCACAAAATAGACAACCTTGGTCATTCACAAATTCGAACTATTTTTTTCTCATTTATTCCACCATTCGCCAATCTAACCACTTGCTCATTCTTTCCCACATTCACCAATTTGACCATTTCTTCATTCATAAATTCCATCTCTTTTTCTTGTTCACCTCATTTACAGATTAGACCACTTTGCTAATTCACCAATTTGACAAATTGTCCTTTCGCAAATTCTACTAGTTCCATCGTTCCTTCCCACATTCACCAATTCGACCACTTACCCATTCACAATTTTATCCGCCTTACTCATTCGTTCCCCAATTCAACTTTCTCGCTCATTCTTGCTCACATTCACCATGTAAGCAGTCAATTGCTCAAGAATTTCCAAGTTCACCAATTCGCCCGTTTAGCTCGTTCTGCCTGTAGCCTACACGTCCAAGGATGAAAAAACCGTTCATCGTCTTGCGCAACGCGGTAAACCCAGTTTTTTGAACTTTAGCTGCCGATAATGTTCCAGGGAAAAAACGGCCTCGATATTTTCCGACGACTTCGAGAAATTATTGTCTAGATAAGACCCCGGCTCGAGTCTATATATGCCCCGCCTCCGCTTATCTGGAAAAGTCGTCGAGAGAATGCTAACACAGTCGAACTTCTTCCTACTCCTCATAGCCGCGGTCACTTATTACAACTACCCGAGCTTGGACAGCAGAGAACGGGTCGCTGACACCCGTACCGAGGACATCAAGCACGAATACGATTTCATAGTCGTAGGAGGCGGATCAGCCGGTAAAATCAAGCTGGTCTTTTCAAATAGATGTATTCCATGTAATATTTCCAGGTTGCGTCTTGGCGAACAGGCTGACGGAGGTGCCGGATTGGACCGTCCTCCTACTCGAGGCCGGTGGAGACGAAACGGTCCTCAGCGAGACACCACTTATCGCCCAACTACTCTGGGGTACACCTTTGGACTGGAATTACACGACCACACCCCAAAAGAACGCGTGCTTAGGTGATTTGGCGGAATTCCGTGGTCGATAGATGGCTTGACGGTCGTTGTATTTCAGCTACCGGAGGCGTGTGCGGATGGCCCAGGGGTCGTGTCCTCGGAGGCTCTTCCGCCCTGAACTACATGGTATATATCAGGGGGAACCGGCGCGACTACGACGGTTGGGCGGGACTCGGCAACCCCGGCTGGTCTTACGAGGACGTCCTGCCTTATTTCAGGCTCTCCGAGGACAATAGGAACTCCTCAGACTCCAGGTACCATGGAACAGGAGGATACTTAACGGTCGAAGAGAACCCGTTTCAAACCCCACTCGCCGAGTCTTACGTCCAGGGGGGCGTCGAGTTGGGCTTCAGAACCGGCGACCTCAACGCAGAAACCCAGACCGGGTTCATGAAGCTCCAGGCTACCGTGAGGGACGGTTCCAGGTGTTCCACCTCCAGGGCGTTCCTCCGTCCCGTCAGAAATAGGATCAACTTATCAGTCGCAGAGAATTCATTCGTCACGAGGATACTCTTCAACGGCACCAGAGCCACCGGGGTCACTTTCATAAGAAACAATAGACAATACAAAGTCTACGCGACAAAAGAAATCATCTTATCTGCAGGTAATCCTTTTTTGTTTAATAAAAAACAACACTCAAGCTGTCTATTCTTTAGGTGCAATAAACAGCCCACAGTTGTTGATGCTATCCGGTGTCGGACCAGAAGAGCATCTAAAGGGTTTCAACATCCCCCTGGTAAAGAATCTCTCAGTAGGTTACAACTTACACGACCATCTCGGCACTCCAGTTTATTTCTCGACGAACCCTCCGGTCGCTGTTAGGAACGAAGACATCGAGAATATAGACGAAATCTTGGAATATGCGAGACCTCCTGGAGGAGGGGTGTTAACTATACCAAACGGGATCGAGGCGGTCGCTATGCTCAACTCGTCCTACGTCCCGGCAGGTTTGGACTATCCCGACATCGAGGTGCACTTCAGCTCGTTTCATCACTCGGAGAGTAACAACGAGTCGGTGTGGATAGGCTTGGGTCTGTTAACGCGTCCGTCTTCTCGAGGCAGGATCAAGCTCAAGTCGACCGACCCGTTCGATTATCCTCTTCTCGACCCGGCTTATTACACATCCGGGAACGATCTGGAAATCGTTATGGAAGCCATTGAGTACGTACTGTCGATAGGGAACACGACAGCTCTACGTCGGTTCAATAGTACATTCAGGCCGGATTTCTACCCTTTGTGCTCTAACTTGTCAGTGAGGTGTATGGCCGAGACGTACACGACGACCATCTACCACCCCGTCGGGACTTGCAAAATGGGCCCTGGGACGGACCCGGACGCGGTGGTCGACGAGAGGCTCAGGGTACGCGGCCTGGAAGGTCTGAGGGTCATAGACGCCTCGATCATGCCGTTCATTTCCGACGGAAACACGAACGCCCCTGTCGTCATGATCGCCGAAAGAGGATCCGACTTCATCAAAACCGACCACAACCAAACACCCCGTATTAATTAGATGCTGTCGAATAAAATTATTACAACAATAACCATTTTCTTAGTCATATGAAGTCACCCCCCCCAAAAAAAAACACAACCACCCATTCTAATAAGGTTGAGCAACTACAAACAACTACTCTCTCTTGAAGCAACACCCAAACAACAACGATACTCTTATTTAAGCAACACCCAAACAACAACGATACTCTTATTTAAGCAACTCCCAAACAACAACTAACCCCAATTTATGTCACCATTTGAACAACACCAAACAACAACGTCCCTCTTATTGAAGCAACTCCCAAACAACAACTACCCCCCCCCACAATTTAGGGTACCCAAACAACAATTAACCCCAATTTAGGCAAAGATTTGAGCAGCACCAACCACAACGAGCCTCCTATTGAAGCAACACCCAAACAACAACGACCCTCTTGCTTAAGCAACTCCCAAACAACTACTACCTCCCTCAATTTAGGGCACCCCAAACATTAGGCAAACATTTGAGCAACACCAAATAACAACGATAAAAAAAATGACGTCCCCTTATTCAAGCAACCCCCAAACTGCAACAACCCCCCTCCATTTAGACCTCCATAAACAACAACTAACATCCCCCAAATGAGACTGCCCCAAAAAACAACTACCCCTCCCAATAGTCCACCACCAAGCAACAACTAATCCCAATTCAGGCGACACCAAACCACAACTACTCCTTTAACCAACTCCAAACAACAAAACTACACCCTTATTTAATCAACCCTCAATACAGCAACTACCCCACCGTTTAAGCAACCCCAAACAGTAACGACCTCCTTATTTTAGCATCCTCCAAACAACATCTACTCCCCCCCATTTAAACCACCCAAACAACAATTACCCCTCCCCCTTTAAGTAACACCAAACAACTCCCCTCCTCTCTTTCTCAATTTAAGCCACCCCAAACAATAACTATCCCTGCCTCTTTTAAGCAACCCCAAACCACAATTACCGCCTCCTCATTTAACCAACTTCCAAACAGCAACTACCCCTCATTCAAACAATGCCAACTAACAACTAATGCCCACCCCTATTGACCACCTCAAACAACAACTACCCTCAATTTAGGGCACCCCAAAATAACAACAACCCTCCAATTTAGGTCACCTCAAACAACAACTACCCCCACTCTTTAAGCTACCCCAAACAACAACTACCTGTGCTCCATTTAAGCAACCTCAAACTACAACTATTTCTTTATTTAAGCAACCCCAAACAACCACTATCCCATTTAAGCAATTCTAACAATAACTACTCCCTTTTGTAAGCAATCCTAAACAACAACGCACCCCATTATTTAAGCAATCACCAAACAACTCCCCTCCTCTAATTTAAGCAGCAACTTCAAACACTTCATATTAGCTAAGTCAAATAAATGCATACATATTACTCTAAATCTTTTGGCAATAATCTACGCTTCGATAAAACAGTTTTATTTAGTAATGACAATAATGGAAAAAATAAATCAAAGTAGGTGAAAATTATGTGAGCAAGCCCAGCACGTACGAAGGGATTCCATGGCGGTGTAGAGGAACTTGTTCGGCTGAGCGACGACCTCCGAAGCTGAATCTATCAAGGTGCACAGGGTCCGAACAGCCTCGTCGAGTTTCAAGCTTTCAACCAAACCTTGGGCTTTTTCAAACTCCTCCTTGAACCTCCCACACCTAGCCAGCTGCGGTTGGACATCGTTTTTCTGCTTACAAACCGGGCAGTTCCATCTCTCAACCACCTCCTTGTATTCAAAGACACCGACGCATGGGGTCCTCGAACACCTTTAAAATTTATTATAAATTATATTTAAAATAATAATAATAAAAAAAAGATTTACTTGATTATTAATCTAGCTTCATCCAAATCGGCCAGTTTGGGCCAGTTTTCCCTGCAGGCGATGCACAAGCAGTCGAACCTGTATCGAGCCTTCAGGGTCTTCTTCCTCTCCTCGAAAGCTTTTAAAGTACAAGAGACGCCGTAGTTTTCCGTCACCTCTTCTCCTCGCGCCAAAGGCCTCTCAGCCCTCAGTACAAGGTTCTTTCCTATAAAATACCTCGCCATGGTCGGATTGCAGCCGTGGTTGAACATAGAAGAAGACGGGTACAACCCGACACCAATGTAATGCGCCTTGGAATCCTTCAAAGTCCACGGTTTACCCTCGGGTTTGACGTAAGTCTCATAAATCTCGTGTACGTTGTACTGAGTCAGCTGTAACTGCCTTAAAAGCAGGCAGCCAACCATGACCTCCATATCGGACAGCTCGTCTATAACAAAACCAACCAATAAAAAATAAAATTGCCTTAAGAAAAAACTTACCTGGGTTTTGTGAGCCATGTTGTTTGAAATAACCAGAGTTCCTGAGTATCTCGAGAAGGAAGAGCGCCATGAGTGTTCTATAGAGGAAATCCTTAGGCTGTCTTTCTTTACAGTGTGTCTCCATGTTGTAAACTTGAAGGTAAGGGTGGTCCAAGTTGTCCTGTATCGCGGTCACGAGGTCTTTAAAGAAGAGCACGTTCGACTGGGTGATCATCCTCAGTGAGAGCTGGCTCAGGACGGACATGCCAGAGCCGATCATGAGCTCCGTGAACGGGCACTCCCATTTGTGATACTGGTCACCCGATAGCCGGCATTCTTCCGTGCAGTAGGCTACCCCGCTGCAGTCTCGGCACGGTATCACGGTCTCGACCCTTTTGAAACAGTTGAGGCAGTGGGTGCCGTTCTTCTCGAACCTGAGGACCGAAGAGTAGGGCTCTTCGACGGCGAGGGTGGAACCGGTTTTGATCGATGTGTTGGCCACCATGTACCTGCCCTTCTCCATAGAACGCTTCATGCTGAGGGATGAGGACAAGTAGGGCATCGCCCTACTCTCTCCTTCCAGCAGTTCCGGAAGTTCTAGATATGAAATTTTATTAAGCAACAACAAACAACAACGCTACCCCAATTTAAGCAACCCTCTATTCTAGATTATGCTGTCACTACAAAGAACACCCCTATTCTAGTAATGTTAAGCAATCATAAACAATATCTATTTCCTATTACCTTAGGTACCATAGCAGTCGTTGAGGATTGTCCAGGAATGCTTAAGGATCATACATTGGTTGTTAAATATGATCTTGTTGTCCTTAAGTACCATAGCAGTTGCTAAGGTTATCCAGGGATGCTTGAGGATCGTTGGAAGGTTGTTAAAGGTCATTCCAAGGCTACCATAGCAGTTGTTGAGAAGTATTTAAAGATCAAACAGACGATTAAGCATTATTTATAGTTCCAAAACTATCGGGGGGGCTTAAAGGGTGATAGTGGTTGGTAAAGTTTTATAGCTGGTGTTGACGGTTATCCAGAGGTGCTTAAGAATTATAGGAGATAGTTAAAAATTATCTCAAGGTCCTTATATACCATAGAAGTTGTTCATGATTATCTAGGGGACGCTCAAGGATCATGAGGAGGTTGTTTAATCTTATCTCGAGGTCCTTAAGTACTACAGCAGCTGTTGACGATTATTCAGAGGTGCTTAAGAATCATTAGAGGCCTTAAGTACCACAGCAGTTGTTCATGATTATTGGGGGGTGGGGGCTCAAGGATCATGAGGAGGCTCTTTAATCTTATCTCGAGGTCCTTAAGTACTATAGCAGGTGTTGGCGATTATTCAGAGGTACTTAAGAATCATAGGATGTATTTAAGGCTTATCTAGAGGCCCTTAAGTGCCATAGAACTTGGTTATGATTATCTGGGGGGGAATGAGAAGACGTCCATATGTAACACAACCACCTCAAACAACAACCACTCCTATCTTAATGACGTTAAGCCATCCCATACAACTATCATATATCCTAGTAATGTTAGGACGACGATATTACCTAGACCTAATAATCATGTCTGTCTCGTGAGTCATGATCCATGTCAATCCACTCGATGTTAGTCTTATAACCATGACCATAACACGCCTTACCCTCTCCGCCCATCCATTCCTCCACAGGGTTGACGTTGGCGTCGATGTCCGCGAGTATCGCCTGGTGCCTCTCCTCCGACCCTTTGTCACCTCTGATCATGGCGAGGTTGACAACTATCCTAAGCGCGATTTCGGCCTGCTTCTTTAGTCCCAGTCTGAGGAAGCAGTCGGAGATGAGCTCGTAGGCGTTCAACCTGTCTCAACGGAAAAAAACGGGCTGTTTTAAAATAGATAAACGTCTGACATTTCCGAAAATGCCGTCACTCGCTTTAAATCCTCAGGGAGTCGGTTTTTGACGGCGAGCTGGGCGTCGTTGAGTGCCAGCCTGTATTTGCCGGAGGCGTGGAATGGACGTGCGCGTACCCAGAGTGCCAGTGGCAGCGAGAGTCCATCGTCCACCGTCATGTCCAGACCTTTTGTTTTATTCAAAAATAAAAAAAAAAATTGAAATTTTCGCGGGAAATAAAATAAAATGTGGGCTATTTAACAAATGTTTTCTTTCAAAAACAAAATTTAGAACAGACTTCTTTTTTCGGGCTATATAAAAAAAATTTTCTAAAAAAAAATAAAACACCAAAATTTTTAGTTTGAAAGTTTCAGTAAGGCCCCAAAAAATGAAAAACTGAAGGAAAAAAAAACAAGACAGAAATCCAGAATCAGACAGACAAAGGAAAAGTCGTAAAAAAACACCGGCCTATTTTTCAAAGATTTTCCGGGATGAGGGAGAGGATCGAGACGGGTGCGTTTTTCGAGGCGGCCAAGGCTCTGAGGCCTTTCTGCAAGGATAAGAAGGAGGACGAGAAGGGGCCCGTGTTCAAGTACATTGACATGATATTCGTCGTCGTCCTCGAGATGGTGAGGCAGCTGGCGATGAAGACGAAAAAACTGCACAGGCGCCTCCTCACCTACAACGACGTGAGTATCCGCCCACTGACCTGGGTAAGGAGCCCTCGCCACGCTCTGGTTCGCCAGAGTGACTGCCCTCTCGTTGTTTCCCCTTTTGTAAAACTGGTCCGCCTCCTCTCGTTTCGTCTTCGAGAATGGGGCACACTTCCCTCTGAATATACGCTGCACGTTGGCCAGGGTCGACCGGACCAACGGTTTCACCTGAAACACGCAGAAACACATCTGATCACACCGTACCAATATTTCTCGGATTGTTAGTGTAGCTAAGCTGGTTGAGAATGATCAGAAGGGAGGTGGAATATTCTTCTGATCAATGGAAGTTGGCCAGGCTTATCAGATGAACGTAAGGACCGCTGGTATCCAAAGGGTTATCAGGAGGTCCTTAAAGATCATCAGTTTGTTAAGGGTTATCAGTTGGTGCTTAAGGATCACCGGTTTGTTAAAGGTTATCGATTGGTGCTTAAGAATAATCAGTTTGTTAAAGGTTATCAGAACCGTAGAAAAAATTCAACCACTGAAACCAGGCCTAATAATAAAGTTCCTTGATGAACTGGGACTCAGAGGAGTGCTATTAGCACAGAACGGGAGATACAATAGCTCTTAAAGGGCGCAGTATTAGTCCCTGACTAATCTACATCTACATCTGAGGGGTTATCAGTTGTTACTTAAGGGTCATCGGCTTGGTATGGTTATTAATCGCTACTTAAGGATCATCAATTGGTTAAGGGTTATAAATAGGTACTTAATTATCATCGGTATCATTTGGTGCTTAAGGATCATCGGTTTGGTAAGTGTATCAATAGGCACTTAAGGATCATCAGTTGGTTAAAGGTCATAAATAGGTACTTAAAGATCATCTGTATCATTTGATGCATAAAGTTGGTAAAGGTTAAAAGTTGGTGGTTAAGACTCATCGAATTTGCTAATGGTTATCATTTGGATCTTAAGGATCATCTTCTCATTTGATACTTAAGGTTCATTTGCCAAAGGTTCCTAGTTGGTGGTTAAGGCTCATCGAATTGCTAACAGTTAATTTTAGGTGGTTAAGGATCATCGGCTACGGGTTATCGTTTGATACGTTTTTACGATGGTTATCAACTGCTTTGTAATACTATCTGTAAGACGGGTTCGAATACAGGGCCGCTGGATTCGAACCCGAGACCTTTAACTTACAGTGATCAACCCTACACCGTTGTAACCACCGACGCCTCCCTCGTTTGGTACTTAAGGATCATCTTTTCAATTGTAACTTAAGGATCACTGGTTTGCCAAGGGTTATCATTTTGTGCTTAAGTATCACCGGTTTGCTAAGTCTGCTAAGATCAGCAGTTGTGGGATCGTCCAGGGATCCTAAATGATAATAGTGAGGTTGTTGGGAGTATCGAGGGGCGCGTAAGGACATCTCCACGAATTCTCAAGTATCATTGGTTCCTTAGTCTGTCCAGTAACTTTTTTCGTCCTCCCAGGGTACGCTCAACGTGAAAACGTCCGACGGAAGGGAGATCCCGGCTATCAAGTATCTCGAGGAGCAGATACAGATCGAAAATCTCAAGAAGGACTTGGACAAAGCTTTCACGAAGCTCAAGGTGATTTTTTTAATGTATTTGTGTTTTTGTGTACTTCATTATAATGAATCACCATATGGTTTGACCATTTGTCTAGATTGTTTTGTTTTGTTTTTATAGCAAAACAGCTTGTTTTTTTATTGATATAATTTTTTCCTTCGCTAGAAAAAAGGGGTTTAAAAGTTCGATTTTGATTTGATTTTCACAATTTGTACTCGATTATTAACACACAAAAAAACACCGAAAATAGATGGACGTGCAGAGCAAACTAGACGAGGTGGACGACTGCGCGACGTACATCGAGGAGAGCGTGAGGGACGAGGATGAAGACGAGGAAGAGGACGAGGAGGAGAACGAGGAGAACGTCTGCTCCGAGTTCAGCGAGAACGACACCAAATCGTAAGTTTAAAAAAATCCAAACCCTCCCAAAAATTAAAAATAAATAAATAAATAAAAAATACAAATGGTCTTTTTGCACTCGAGGATGGCGTCCACGTCGCCTGGGTCGTTCCACGTCGACCAGAAGAAGACGTTCGGCCGCCGGAAGACAAGGGACATCGCCGTTGAGAACATGCGACTCGCTGAGAGGCTCGCGAAGATGAGGGGGCAGTCGAAACCGAAGCCAATCTTCCCTAGGACGGTCGTCGCCAGTTCGGCCATCAACAGGAAAAAGATGCAGTGGGAAATCGAGAGGAAGAACGCTGTGAGTATCTGACACTGCTATGGCCTAATCTTAGACTTGAGCTGTACGAGTTGCCCAAACCACAAACTGATCCTTATGTTGGAAGCGAAAAATATTTCATAAATAGCAGATTTATACAAGGATACAAGAAATATCTCTTCCAACCCCTGATACTAAGATGCTAGAAATATCTTTCCCAACTCTTGATTCTAAGATACAAGAAATATCTCTTCCAACACCTGAAGCAAGCGTGTTAAAAATATCTCCCAACCCCTGTTGCTAAGACGCTAGAAATATCACATCCAACTCTTATACTAAGATGCTAAAAATATATTTTACAACTCCTGAAACTTGAAATATCTTTTTTTAACCCCTGATACTAAGATGCTAGAAATATCTTTTCCAACCCTTGATATTAAGATGCTAGAAATATCTCCCAACCCCTGATAGTAAGACGGTAGAAATATCCTTTCCAACTCTTGCTACTGAGATCTTAAAAGTAATTTTTCCTACTCATGATATAAGAAACATATCAACTCCTGATACAAGGATACAAAGAATATCACATCAAACTCTTACACTAAGATGCTAGAAATATCTTTTCCAACTCTTGATTCTAAGAGCTTAAAAATAACGTTTCCAATCCCTGATACTGGTTGCAAAGAATATCACATCCAACTCTTATACTAAGTTCCTAAAAATATATTTTACAACTCCTGATAGTGGAAATATCTTTTTTAACCCCTGATACTAAGATGCTAGAAATATCTTTTCAAACTCTTGATTCTAAGAGCTTAAAAATGACTTTTACAACTCCTGATACTGTATGCAAATAATATCACATGCAACTCTTATACTAAGATGCTAGAGATATATTTTACAACTCCTGAAACTGGAAATATCTTTTTTAACCCCTGATACTAAGATGCTAGAAATATCTTTTCCAACTCTAGATACTAAGATGCAAGAAATATCTCTTCCAACTCCTGATATAATCATGTTAAAAATATCTCCCAACTCCTGATACTAAGATGCTAAAAATAACTTTTCCAACTCCTGATACAAGAAACATATGATACTGGAAATATATTTTACAACTCTTGAAATTAGAAATATCTTTTTTAACCCTGATACTAAGATGCTAGAAATATCTTTTTCAATTCTCAATAAAATAAATATCTCTTCCAACCCCCGATAATAGGATATAAGGAATATCACACCCAACTCCTTTTACTAAAATACTAGAAATATATTTTCTAACTCCTGATAATGGGATACAAGGAATATCACATACCACTCATATCCAACTCCTGATGCAAGAAATATCTCCTCCCACTCCCTGACCCTAGGAATATCTCAAAAATATCTTTACCAATTCTTGATACTAATATACAAGCAATTAGTCTTGTTGTATCCTTACATTAAAATCCTAGAAGTATCATTTCCAACTCTTGATACTAAGATGCTAGAAATATCTTTTACAACTCCTGATACAAGAAATATTTCCTCCCACTCCTATTTCTAGGATACAAGAAATATCTCTTCCAACTCATGATTCTAGGATTTAGGAATTTTTCCAGTTTTTGATATTAAGATAGAAGAAATACCTCTTCCAACTCCTAAAATATATCCCAATCCTGATACTACTAACTTCACCTCCAGCCCTCGAAAATATGATCGTCATCATAAATCATCTCTTCCAATTCGTGAAACTAGAAACTTATTTTTCAACTCCCGATGGTATGGTACTGTAATTATCTCTTATAACTTTTTATACTATTATAATAGAAATTTATCCTTCAATTCCTGATACTAGAAAGAGATTAAAAGAATCTTCCACTCCTGAAACTGGAAATCTCTTCTCATCATATCACCTGATATAATTCTAGAAATGTCCCCTCCAACTCCTTATTCTGGAAATCTCCTACTGTTCTTTACAATAAAAAACTTTTATGCCAGAACGCTCTGGGTCAATAAAGCCATTACTAATGGAACTACCTACCACTCCTGAACGAATGACCGAAATACGTCAATAACTCTTAAAACTCCAAAACTAGAGTGGAAAATCTCTTAGTACTCGTGATGGGACACTCTTTCCGACCGCCCATTTATTTATTTATATACATTTACGGATCAAAGATCCTTTAACAAACAATATAAATCAAGAGGTAATAAAGAACAGAACACCAACAAACATTAATAATAATAAAGTATCAGCTGTATTTATATATTTTATGTAATACTATATTTATTTCAAAACAAAGAAGTCTGTGACACAGCATATTTGTTTACTGTGGTATTATTGAGAAAATAATTATACAGTATGGTGTTGGAAGAACGATTAAAGGAAATTACTGAGCGTTTAGCTACGTTTAGTATTTAAATAGTCAATTTTCGTTAGAAAACAATTGTTAAATTTAAAAGATTTTTTTTTTAATTTTTCAGATTCTAGCAAGGAGAATCGCAGATGCAAAGTCATGCCTGACGTACAAGGATTCTTAATTGTCCCGGGGATATAAGAGGTTTACTTACAGTTGAAAGTCGAAAAATAAAATTTTCGTTGATTTAACAAACAAAAATTTTTTTCTCGAAAAATCTCTCACCTTAGGGTCGCGATAGCAGTGTAGAATCCGTTCTTTGTCGATGGCGAGGAGGCCGAAATCCCTGAGCCATCCTTCGTCGACCGATGAGGAGACGTTTTCCGCGAACTCCTGGAAAAAGCCCCTTTTGTCCGATTGGAGGGTGACGGAGGAGCAAAGCCATTCTAGCTGATCATCGGCCATCGTCTCGAGCTAGAATGGGCGAGGATGACTAAAATAGACCAACTCTGGCACTGTACCAGCGCATCTTCCAGGGTCTGAAACGGGGGGCAGAGAATGACAATTCCTTTTTGCCGACGACGACGCCAAATATTAGACATAACAACAACAAAAAGTTATATATACATAAAATAGTTATTCAGATATCGTGAGATGCGGTCGGGTGTGAAAATACCAATCTCACGATATCTGAATAACTATCGATTAACGGTCACTAATCTCTACACATTTATACATAAAATCATAAAAATACCAACAACAAGGGGTTAAAGGGACCTAAGACCAGTCTCGACAATATTCCAAGCTGTCCATGGATACCAATAAAGAACTTGTCTCTCCCAACTACTGATACTAGGATACAAGAAATATTTTTTCCAATTCCTGATACTGTCATACTAGAAATACTACTTACTCCATCTGATGCTATAATGTTTCAAATATCTCCTGAAATGGAAAACTCCTGATACTAGAAATATCTTTTCCAACGCCTGATACTAGGATACAAGACATATCTGATACTAGATATATCTTTTCTGACTCCTGATACAACAAAAATCTCCCTTCGTAGATAAGTTCCGGTACAAGACTTTCCTCATTTTCTGGAAGGAATTTCTAGCTTGTTCAATTCTACAACGGATTTTGCATGTAGGGTCCCAGTTATCCTTGACTTAGCACCCCAAGTATTTATAAGATGATACTCTCTCAATTATCTCACTGCCAATCTTGAGAAGGTTCTGTGAACCATTATGTTTTTTACTGATAAATCCTGATATTAGGATACAAGAAATATTTTTCCAACTCCTGATACTGTCATACTAGAAATACAACTCACTACCCCTGATACTAAGATGTTTGAAATATCTCCTGAAATGGAAAACAACCTGATACTAGAAATATCTTTTCCAACTCCTGATACTAGAAATATCTTTTCAAACTACTAATACTAGGACTCAAGACATATCTGATACTAGATATATCTTTTCTGACTCCTGATACAACAGAAATCTCCCACTCCTAATACTAGGATACAAGAAATATTTTTTTCCAATTCCTGATACTGTCATACTAGAAATACAACTCACTACCCCTGATGCTAGGATGTTTGAAATATCTCCTGCAATGGACAACTCCTGATACTAGAAATATCTTTTCCAACTCCTGATACTAGGATACAAGACATGTCTGATACTAGATATATCTTTTCTGACTCCTGATACAACAAAAATCTCCCTTCGTAGATAAGTTCCGGTACAAGACTTTCCTCATTTTCTGGAAGGAATTTCTAGCTTGTTCAATTCTACAACGGATTTTGCATGTAGGGTCCCAGTTATCCTTGACTTAGCACCCCAAGTATTTATAAGATGATACTCTCTCAATTATCTCACTGCCAATCTTGAGAAGGTTCTGTGAACCATTTTGTTTTTTACTGATAACCATCCATTTTGTCTTCTTCACGTTGTCGTAATCCCATGGAACTGCTTTCTGTGGCAACAGAACACAACAATCCTTGCAAATTTGCCAGATTTGTTGCAAGCAGGACAGTGTTATCAACGTATCTTATGTTATTAACAAGAACTCCATTCACCTTCACACCTTGGTTCTTTCCTTCCAGAGCATCCCGAAAAATTCTTTCTGAATAGATATAAAAAAGTAGAGGTGAGAGAATTCAACCTTGACGAACACTTTTCGTAATTGACACCTCTTCTGATATCTGACCATCTACCCGGACCACCACAATGATTCCAATACAAATTCCCAAAAGTTTATCATGTTTAAATGAGTCAAATGATTTTTCATAATCAATGAAGCAAACAAAAATATCGACAGTGACATTGAGACATCGCTGAACTAAATAAGATAAAATAATAAGACTAAATAATGCCTGAGTTCCAAATCCATTCCTGAATCCAAATTGGCCTGGATTTTAGCCAGTCCTGTGGGATGGTTCCACTTCTACAGATGCTGTTGTATAAATCGACCAGAAAGGAAAGGGATTGTCCTTCCTTAAGCAATTTTAAAACTCCATCAGGGCCTGGGGCTTTGCCACACTTCAACAGTTTAATGGCATGTTCTACCTCCTCCCTCATGAAATCTACACCATTATCTAACTTGACACCATGGTCAATACTTCTGCTATACTTAAAGAAATGTTCTATATATTCCTTCAACTCCTGTACTTTTTCCTCAGTGCTTGTCAAGTATTGCCGTTTTTCTTGCCAATAAGGGATTCACTTCCACCTGGATAAGATTTACCAAGATAGGTTGTTAAGTTGGAGAAAAATGACTCTGTCTGACATTGGCACAAACTTTCGGACAGTCTTACAGTTTGGTTGGACTATGAATCCCACTCCGTTAAAGTGATGAGGTTCTGCTGCCGGGGACTGGGGGCCATGGCTTTAGGTTTTCCAGTCATGCTAAAGATTTGCCTGGGGAAGTTAGCTTAAGTGAAGTGGTTTCCCGTTGCCTTCTTCACTGCCATTATTGGCCATTATGTTGGCTGCCCATTATGGATCAGATGCTGTTTGAAGCCATCCACTCTGGATCAGACGCTTCAGGGGTGGACACCGTTAGTCTGGCTTCTCCTCTGGGACCTGTCTGGCTTGGGAGACCCTTCTGGCAGCGGTGCTACCGCCAGCATAGCTCTCAAGTTCACTGAAGCACGCAAGCCCCTCCACCTCGTCAAGGCCTGTGTCCATGGGGGGGATATAACTGGTACCAGAAGCCATTGAGCACAGGTATTGCAATTTTTTATTAAATAAAAGTAAATGCAGCAGTCCTCATCATCAGGGTAATAAAATTTCCACAGAGACAAGGAGAAATATCAGTTGTGCTAAAAAAGTAAAGACTATACTTCCTCCCTTAATAAGAAGTTGATTTCCCAGAGAAAAAAAAAACATGAAAAAACAAACGTTAACAACCAAAATTTGCTGAAGAGATTCACTCCGATAACTTTAATTGGTAAAGAATCTAAGAAAATTAAGGCACTTTTGGAAAATAATTTCAATGATCTAAAAATTGTTTTTAAGTTTAATAATATTATATTTAGAGTGAATTTTTTGTTATTTTAAGTTGTTAGTAGTTTGCTTCCCTTAGTTGTTTTATCTATAAGATTGTATTTATCATTTCTCCAGTATTTTCCCAGGTACTGATGGAACTTATGGGACAGTGCTTTGATGGGTCTTCTTTCCATTGTGCTCCTGTCCAAACACACATTATATATGTGCAAAAACTTTCTCTAGTATCTTGGAAGGAAGTAGCACAACAATATTTGTGAGAAAGTGCCCGTTGCCCTATTTTATAACAACGTATAAATCCATGTTTTTCTTTATTGGGTTTCGACTTTTTTTGCTTCTTTTTTCGCAGAGTGCTCCTGCTCCCTCGGGTTCTAACATCGTACTGACCTCCCATTGGGAAGAGAGGTTGATTTCACAAGTTGCCTGGTGTGAAACTAGCAAATAAAGAATCTTCAAACGACAGTAAACTACTTGAGAATCAACCGGGCAACTTAGTCGAATTGACCAAACCGCCTCATCTGAAATAGGCCTTAAGGAGTACTACGGTCACTACGGTCAATATAAAGGTCAAAAACTTGGTAAAAAATTACTATATTATTTTTTCTTTTTTTTTACTGCATTCCTGATCTCAAAAAACAACTCGCTTGTATAATGACTAGAGAAAAGCATCTAAGTCTGGCAAAGTGATGTATTTGTATCAATTGAAGATTTAAATGACAGAAGAAAAAAAAATTTGATTTCGTCTTGTTGGCATTACAGGACAGATTAGATTAAATTTATTTTTAATAAACAAAGAAAATCTTTAGATTGTTTAAATTATGGTAAATAGGAGTTAAGCGAGGTTTTTGAGAAGCAGGAAAAAGTAAAAAAAAAGAAAAAACACTTTAGCCAAGAGAATTCACAAAACAGATTTTGAGGGCTTAAGTAAGTTAATAAATAAATTATGTACATTTATGGACCAGAAATTATAGGGATATCACAAATGTCATAAAAATCACAGCTCAGCCTCAAAGCAGAATGTTCTTTATTCGCTGATGCTTCCAGCACTTATTAAATTTGTAGGTTCTTATTTTTCTGCATAGGGCATTCCTGCTGGCAGAACATCTGCTGAAGAAGCACGCGTTCTTGACTTCACCTTCATGAAATGTTCTTCATTTTGGTCATCTCGTGAATCAATACTGGTCCATCTTCGGCAGGAGGTGACAAACTTAAACTATTTTGGTTCACTTATTGAGGTTTACCCACCAAGCGATGCTCCAAGGGGCATGCATACAGAACTAGGGGCTTAACAATGCTTCTGTACAGCTTTTTGTTAAAAGCAAAACTTGTCATGGAATGATAGCAAAGGAAACGCATCCTGTTAGCAGTTTTTCCATGGTCGATTCTATCTGCCACATACCCGGTGAATGTCGCACTGCTATCCATTGTTAAACCTGGATATTTAAGCTTCTGTTTTGGCGGAGTCAATTTTAAATTTCCATCTTTGGCAGAAATATGCAATTTTTCAAATTAGATAACAGGACAAAAAGAATAAAAAAATATATATAAGAGGTTGAAAATAACCGGTATCTGCATCGTATGCTAATGATGAATCACTATGTTTCACATGAAATCAGCCCCTGTCAATTATGATAAAATAGAATTCTTACAAATATGTTGAATCAGGTCAAAAGTTTAGATGACAGCGTTTTTTGTTTTTTTTTGTTATGTAAAAAAAAACACCCAAACAGAATCTCTATTGAAAAAATTTATGCAAGAGTGCTAGCTTATATTTTAATTTTTTTAAAGAATTTAATTTTAAAAAGAAGCATTTTAACAAGACAAAAAAAAATTAATTTAAGGGTAAAAACCGTAAGAAAAACCCTAAACCATAGGTAAGGTTTAAACTAAAGCTTCCCTTCCCAAACAGTTGACTGCTTTCACAGAACAAATTCTAGGGCAGACACGTCGCATTTAAGTATTTAAAATTAGCTACTTATAATAAATTAAAGTTGTATAAATTAGCCAGTCCATTAGGTTTATGGAGAGAGATATGAAAACAAATTTAACTTTATTAAAATCCAAATCGGACAGAACAGAATAGATTGGTATTACAATTCGATAGTAATAATTTCAACATTTAACTAATTAATGGTAAGAGAGAGGTTTTTTTTAGCCTGCCCAATTTGGCAATGTTAATTTTCCGTTTAAATTTTTGATAATTGGAGACGCATGACTGGTTCAGCTTTGGGATTTAATTTTGGCGACTGTTCAGATAGAAAATACAGATTCGCATAATATGGAAGAACGTGTTTCGATTTTTCAATTTTTTTTTTTTTTTTCTAGTCTAAGTAATGTCTGTCGAAGAATGGTTGGCTTGTCGAGTCTGAAAATGGTGGTTCGACCGCCTATGATCTTGCATCATTTTATCTCGAGATTTTAGGAAGTAGAGTAGACATCTCCCAACTTTGAATCAATCATTTAACACAGGAAAACACTAATCACTGAGCCATCCTTCGTCGACCGATGAGGAGACGTTTTCCGCGAACTCCTGGAAAAAGCCCCTTTTGAGCGATTGGAGGGTGATGGTGGAGCAAAGCCTCTTGAGAGGGGCACTCTCAACACGACATGCAAGAATGGCACAATTACGTAGAAAACAAACACTTTGAGCCCTGAAGTTGATCTCAATAAAGATCGAAACGTTGGCACGATAAAGAAAATGTTTTTCTGAAACCTACGTCACACCAGACCGCATCTCACAATTTCTGAATAATCATAGACTAACGGTCACTAATCACCACACATTACTAGAAATATATCTCACTACACCTGAAATGGAAAACTCCTGATAAAAGAAATGTACTACACTTCCTGATACTGAGATACTAGATATATCTTTTCCAAATCCTGATACAAGAAAAATCTCCAACTGTAGATACCGGGACACAAGAAATATTTTTTCCAATCCTGATACAGTCATACTAGAAATTAATCTCTCTGAACCTGATACTAGGATGTTTTAAATATCTCCTGAAATGGACAACTCCTGATACTAGGTTACAAGAAATATTTTTTCCAATTCCTGATACTGTCATACTAGAAATACAACTCACTACCCCTGATGCTAGGATGTTTGAAATATCTCCTGAAATGGAAAACAACCTGATAATAGAAATATCTTTTCTGACTTCTGATACAAGAAAAATCTCCAACTCTAGATACTAAGACACAAGAAATATTTTTTCCAATTCCTGATACTGTCATACTAGAAATTTATCTCGCTGCACTTGATAGTAGGATGTTTTAAATATCTCCTGAAATGGTCAACAACTGATACTAGAAATATCTTTTTGAACTCCTTATATTAGGATGCTAGAAATATATTTTCCAACTAGTGATACTATCATACTTGAAATATAACTCCGTACACATGATGCTAGGACACTGTTAATATATCGTCCAACTCATTAAGATGCTATATAAATACATTTTCCAAGCCCTAGATACTATACACAAGAAATATCCCCTGTGCTTCCTTATACTAAGGAATATCTTCTACTAGAAATATCTTCCAATTTTTGATTTGCAATAGCATGCTAGAAATATCTTCCACTTTTGAAACTATAAATATCCCTACCTCTCCCCTGATATCTCTCCAATAACTTATATCAGAAAGTGCTATACTCCAAGACGATTCTCATATTTGTGGCATTCTTACATATTCTCTATATGAAGCGAAGCAATTGCACCCTTGAATTATATCGGGCCTTTCTGTACATGCAGGACACATGCGTGGTCTTTGGCCCAACAGTAAGTGTCCGTGTGTCAACCTCACACGGCCTATCCTTAATGGGGTGAGGATGATCTTTCGAGTCAGATCCTCCATGTGATACAAGAGCACTTCTTTGCTGGCCCGCCAAGGCTGCCACTTTTCTTTAATCATGTTTTTTTATGGCATTTTCTGAGTCAGATCATGGTGGAAGTTGGAGGTTGGGACTTTAGCCGCGTCTGTAGTTTTGCCGAGAATCTCCAGTTCGTGGTACCTTTCCAACAAGAGCACGACCGGGTCGATGGAGAACCTTACTTAAAATTTAATTTGTATTTGTGTATTTTCAGTATTGTTTAGTGTTTATTTATTATGACTTATCGCCCCATGTAATATTGTGCAAATCATTATAGATCATGGTCAAACATTTGTCTTTAAAAAAAAAAAAAACTTTTTTTAATTGTAAAATAAACTTTTGTACATTTTTTGTTCGTTTTTTAGTTTGTTTGATCGGGGTCGAATCGTTTACAAATTTGCTTTTCCGCCTCCACCCAGCAGAGATGTGACACCGTCGCCCAACTTCTCACCCGTCTTGCGTACAACATTACCGATGTTCTTCGCTGATAGGGTTTCAGGGTTGATGTCGACATTGACATATGTCTCATCTTCAACTTTCGGACATTTTGTGTGGTCGATTATCGACAGGTCAAACGGCGAAATGCCGAAGAGCGACATCGTGTTGCGAACCTGAAAATTTAATTTATTCATATTTTTTTGTTTTATATTTATATTTGTATTTACCTTGTCGACGTATTGTTTGTCGAGAGTTTTCCTACGAGAGAGTATCGTCACCGATCGCCTGTTTGATGCTGGAAGCTTTTGACACGTGTAGATGCCTGCGTAGGTGTTATAGTCTGTTGAAAAGACTATGAACGAAGACGTCCCAGCTATGTCTTCAATAAAACAAGAGTAGCATTAAAAAAAAAAGTAGTTAAAAATAAAATAATGCGTACTCAGCGGAAACTTGACAGTCATCCTAGCTGGAGCATCTAGAGACGCCTTCAATGAACCTGTATAATGGTATTTATTGTCGACGCTTGCGATGCCGAGAACAGGGTGTTCACTCACCTAGGACATAAAAGGTCAAACAATTTAAAAAAAAAAAAAAAAAATTGAGACAATCATACCTGCTCAATAAAATATTCGCCAGGCTCTTCACCCACGGTGAAGTTATACGTGAGGCACCGGCTCCCAGTCGAAGTCTTCTGTATGGCGTACCACAATCCAAGGAACTGGGACATGTGGAAGTCGGACTTGGGCTCGACGACAGGGCATTCGCCGAGGTGGTACGTATGGCAGAGGCCAGCCCCAATCAGGCCGGTCAAAATCAACCCAACAGTCAATCCCTTCATATCTATATCAATGGAACAAAAACAAAAAAAGATATTCTTTAATTAAATAATCTATAAATAATTATGACAGCATATTGTTGCATATGCTGACTAGATATGACACCCCAAATATAGTGAATCCTTTCCTGCCATTGGGCTAAAACATTGTACAATGTAAGGATGTTGTAGGAATGTGTAAAGGAAACAGCGCATCCTGTTAGTAGTTTTTCCACAGTCTATTCTATCTGCCACTTACCTGGTGAACCTAGTGGTCGCGCTGCTATCCATTGTTAAGCCTGAATATTTGGCAGAGTTGTTTTTAAATTTCCTTCTTTGGCAGAAATGTGCAATTTTTCCATTTATATAACAGGACAAAAAGAAAAAAAAATTATATATATAAAGATGTTGAAATAACGGGTATCTACATCATAAGCAAATGACGAATCACTGTATTTCGCATGAAATCAGCCCCTGTCAATAATGATAAAACAGAATTCTTGCAAATATGACGAATCAGGTCAAAGGTTTAGATGATTAAGTGTTTTTTTTTTTTTATGTTGTCTAATCATACGGAAAAAAACACCCGAACAGAGTCTTTATTGAAAATATTTACATAAGAGCGCTAGTTTATACTACAACTCCTGCTATAGAATTTAATTTTTAAAAAGGGGCATTTCAACAAGAGAAAACAAAAATTACTTTAAGGGGAAAAACCATAAGAAAAACCCTAAACCATAGGCAATGTTTAAACTAGTTTCCCAAACTTTAAAGCCAGTTGACCGCTTTCACAGAACAAATTCTAGGGTGGACAAGTCACATTTAATTATTCAGAAATTGTGAGATGCGGTCTTCTGGTGTGATGTAAGTTTCAGAAAAACATTTTCTTTATCATGCCAACGTTTCGATCTTTATTGAGATCATCTTCAGGGCCTGGGATTTACAAACAATGTTTACATTTAACAAATACACAGAAGACAAACACTTTGAGTGAGTAGAAATACTTTGATTGAATATAAAAAATATATTTTGCATTGTATAAATTCACTTTTCCACATCCTAAATGTATTTGTTAAATGTAAACAATGTTTGTAAATCCCAGGCCCTGAAGATGATCTCAATAAAGATCGAAACGTTGGCATGATAAAGAAAATGTTTTTCTGAAACTTACATCACATTTAAGTATTTAAAATTAGCTACTTACAGTAGCTAAGGTTTTATAAATTAGCCAGTCCATTAATAATTAAGTTTATGGAGAGAGATATTATTAAAACAAACTTAACTTTATTTATAAAATCTGAATCAGAAGAGAATAGATTGGTATGTAAAATTTGATAGTAACAGTTTGAACATTTAACAAATCAATGGTAAGAGAGAGGTTGTTTTAGCTTGCCCAATTTGGCTATATTAATTTTTCGGTTTAATTTTGGATAATTGGAGACGGATGACTGGTTCAGCTTCGGGATTTAATTTTGGTGGCTGTTCAGATAGAAAATACGGATTCGCATAATATGGAAGAAGGATGAGTTTCAATTTTTCAACAAGCTGTTTTTATTTTTTTATTTATTTATTTATTTTTTTTTTTTTTTTGTAGATTCAACCAAAAACTATATCGGACTTGAAATTAAATTTTAAGGTTGAATCTGAAGTAATGTCAGTCGAAGACTGGTTGGCTTGCCGATTCTGAAAACGGTTGGACTGCCTTGCAGCATTTTATCTCGAGCTTTTAGGAAGTAGAGTAGACATCTCCCAACATCGAATCGATCATTTAACACAGGAAAAGACTCCACCTCTTCCTTCTTGACAGATTCAACCCAACACTGGATTTTTCTTTTGAAGGCGAGAACTTTGTCATTGGCATCGAAAATTTTGATACTTTTCCCATGCGAAGAAAGACTCAGCTCATTCATTTTGATGAAAATATCTTATAAATACGACAGCCATTTCCCATCATTGAAAATTTTGGTGTCAATTAGGAATTCTTTAATTTTTTGTCTATTTTTAAAAGGTTATTTTTAATTTAATAATTTGCTGGAAACGAGTGGATTTTATAGTCTATGTATAATACTATTAAGCTTGTTTCAAATAGTGTATAAGCACGGTGCGAAGGTGTGATCAGCTTAGTTGCGTACATCATTTTTAATTTATCGATGGGTAGACAATGTGCATCCGGGCCTGCAGAAGCGTTTCTTTCCTTCTGCCCATTTTTTCCTTTCTTCTTCTTCTTCTTCTCTGTCCTCAAGACAGCGCTGCACTGCGCTTCAGTGCAAGCTCACTTCATGAGTTATTTCTTCGTTTATTATCTGCGGAACTGAGAGTCTGGAATCTGTCAACTTCATGGAGCATCTCGTCACTCCAGCATCCAGCCCCATATTTTCCATTTCCATTCAGCCAGCATTCATTTTGGACACTAATGCCCCATAACTCTCAGTCAGATTGTTCTTTTTTGTCTATATATTAGTTTGTCATTATTAATTTTATTAGCTTAAAAGACATTTTTTATTGCATGCAATACTAGATGTTTTCAAGTGAATTTTTCGTATTTGTTCTTTATATATATTTTTACCACTGTATATATATTAACTACAAATTGTATTAACATTATCAAACAAGAACATCAATATTCAGAATTGAAAAACAATAAATTCAGTGCTGCCACAAGGTAGCATATTAAGTCCACTGCTTTACTCGTTATACACTGGAGATTTTGCGAAAATAGACGTTATACAAATTGGTATGTAACTTACATAGGGATCTTAAGATCGAGGAGGGAGGTTACAGTGAAAATACAAAGATTTTCTGCCAAATATCAGTCTTGCCTCAGCCAACCAGCAAGAGAACAATAATTTTTTTTTTAATTGTTATTAGTTTTTTAATTTTATTTATACATTCTACATTTATTTTTGTAATTATTAATTTTTCTCGGAGTTTTCTGCTGAACCCCAGGGGGTTTGGGAAGCCCTGAAATAAAGGGTTCTTCACACTCTTATGCCTGTACACAAAGTCCGTAGTCCTCAATTTTTCAAACTGACTGCTGCTTAGCTCACACCATTATAAGAAATTCTTTATGAGGTGTTTTATATGGTGTACAACATAATCCATGTCTAGAAGCGGTTTGATGGGGTCACCAGTTGTAAAAACTTATTTTGGGTAATTTGTAGTTCGGTCTCGATATCAAACCCATGAGAGGCAGGCAGACAAGAGCGTTGGGCTAATCATTACTTTATAATCACGGATTGCACCTTTGCCTTTATTCCTGACATTTTGGGACTTGAGGACAAAAAAAGTTCGTACGTATCACCTTGACAGGGGTCAATTGAGCGGAACAACTCTCCTTACAATTAATTAATTACACAACACACCTAGCAACTACATACGTACTCCACAAAAGAAACACTTTTCCTATCCCTATGTGAACTTAGGGTAACGGTTAACTACTTTTAAGTTGAATTTTTTCCCATCTCAACTATTGATAATCTCTTTTAAATGTAGTTCTTAGTCACAGTTTGTGTTTAAGAACTATCAGCTCGATAAAGCGTGAATAAAAATTATCTTTAAAAGAGATTAAACAACATACTCCCCTCACCTTTATCTACCATTAGTGATATGTACTTCAAAAACGAACTAGATCGAATGATTCCCTAGTTGAACTAGTGTTTAACTAGTTCAACAAAAGGAACTCCGAAAATAGCTATTCTCCAAAAGGAATGGTTTTGCCCATATCTAGATGATGTGTGCTTCATAAAAGAACTAATCAAATGAAATATTTTCACCAGTTTGATAAAACGAACCGTCCTGAAATGAACTATTCAACTAAGTTTGATTTTTTACATCTTTAATGGATGGGATCTAGAGTGATGTATAGTTCATGAACTAACATAAATTCCTAACTTTTACTCTTCCTAAAAAAAGCTAGAAAGAATGATCAAGTAATTTCACTGAACTAGTTCAACAACGAATTGTCCAGAAAGGAACTTGTCATCAAAAGAAACTTTTGCCAACATACATTAGTGATTGTGCAATTTATAAAAGAACTAGTACAAATGAACTATTCTAAGAATTAGTTGAATAAAACGAAACGTCCTGAAATCAACTATTCATCAAGTTGACTTTTCCCATCAAAATGTTGTGTAGTTCATGAACGAACTAGTAGTTCAAAAGAACTATTCTAAGAACTAGTTCAATAAAACGAACAGTCCTGAAATGAACTATTCATCAAAAGTTTTGACTCTAACCATGTCCATTAGTGTTGTGTACTTCGTAAAAGAACTAGTATAAATGAAATATTTTCAGAACTAGTTCAATAAACCGAATCGTCCTGAAATGAACTATTCATCAATAGTTTGACTTTTCCCATCTCTATTAGTGATGTATAGTTCATAAAAGAACTAGTTCAATAAAATGAACAGTCCTGAAATGAACTGTTCATCAAAAGTTTGACTTTTTCCTATCTCTATTAGTGATTTAAATTATTTGAAGTAGTTCGTTCATGAACTGCACATTTCTAGCAGATGTGTAGTAGAGATGGGCAAAGTCGTCCTTTCGAGGAATATATTTTATTTATAATTAATTATACTTTTTTTAACTTTTTACTTACTTTTAGTGTCATTTCATCTCAACCAGGACGTTAGATAAAAAAAAAGTTTAATTAATTAAAATAAACAATAAGGTGAATTATGAAATGAATATTTCCACAAAAGGAACGGCTTTTTCTATATATCTCTCTCTCTATTTATTTGTAATTCATGAACGAACTACTTCAAGAAATGGTTGATTAAAATTAAATTTAAACTAAGTAAAATTATCCTACATTAATAATAAAATAAAACGGACAAAGAAATAAATGACGTACAGAATCAAGGTGAAGTAGCCCCAAGACGGCTTTTAAATTACAAAAAAAAGTCCAACCGTGGGGCATCACTGTTTACATAACTGCATTTTTGTCTACAATTTAGTTTTTATGTTATGGTCCTTATAGCATATGTGTATTTAATAATAATAAAAACCTATCTATGTTATAGTATGACGAATAAAACGGATAATCCTGTGCGTACAGTAAATTTTATAAAACTAGGACGTAAAAAATTTAAGAAGAAATTAATATATAAAAAAATGTTTTTGTTGTTTTGTTATTTATATATATTTTTTATACCTGAATGTAGTTCCGATTGAGTCGTGGGAGGGTCGGAAGGAATTAGGTTCGGACGTGAAAGCGGAGAATAATTCTAAGCCTAGATCCACTCCGACTACTGCTTTTATCCAATCCGCGTCCCCCCACTCAAAGGTCGAGATTTCTTGAAGCCTAATTGGCCAAATTGGCTCCTTCCTCGGAGGACGTTCGTGAGTCACTGGATGGGATTCCGAGAAACCGTTCTTTCGTCCGGGCGGGAGGGTTGATGGACGTAAAAAAAGACAATTTTTTTTTTATAATTACTGAGAATCGCTTGAGATAATGAAATGGACTCCAATCGCAATAGTTGTCAAATTATAACGTTTTATGAGTTAAAGACAAAGAAAAAAACTAATCCTTTGTAATCACAAAGGGCATGGTCCGATTAGTCGTATGTGATTTGTGGAAAGTGTAGTTCATAAAAGAACTAGTTCAAATGAACTATTTTCCGAACTGTTCTATAAAACGAATAGTCGTTAAATGAACTATTCATCAAAAGTTTGACTTTTCCCATCTCTATTAGTGATGTACAGTTCATAAAAGAACTAGTTCAATAAAACGAACCGCTCTGAAATGTACTATTCATCAAAAGTTTGAAATTTGAATTGTCCCATCTGTATTAGTAATTTGATTTATTTGAAGTAGTTCGTTCATGAACTATACATCTGTAGCAGATGGGCAAAGTAGTTCCTTTTGAGGAATAATTCCTTTCGGGACAGTTCGTTTTACGAACGATTTCTAGGAATAGTTCATTTCAAATAGTTATTCAGATATCGTGAGATGCGGTCGGGTGTGATGTAGGTTTCAGAAAAACATTTTCTTTATCGTGCCAACGTTTCGATCTTTTATTGNGAACTATACATCTGTAGTAGATGTGTACAGATGGGCAAAGTCGTTCCTTTAGAGGAATAGTTACTTTCGGGACAGTTCGTTTTACGAACGATTTCTGGGAATAGTTCGTTCATGGACCATACATCTCTAGTAGATGTGTAGATATGGGCAAATTCGTTCCTTTTGAGGAATAGTTCTTTTCTGGTTCTTTTGTCGAAGTAGTTCGTTCGTTTTAGCTTTTGCAGAAGAAAAAACAGTTAAAGTTTTAAATGTTTATCTTATTTCATGGATTTATCGAAAAACTTATATTAATACAAGATAGAAAAGGGAAAAAATATACGTAGTTTACAAAAAAGAAAGATAGGCAAATATGGTTGTTCTTTTTCGAGAATAGTTGGAATGAGCTAGATATAGTTAATGCTTTAATATAAAAGGCAATATTTAATCCATATTTGTTTTTCTATATTTGTGGTTTTTTTAAATATATTTTTTCCTTGAAAGTGAAGCATTTTTTAAATTTTTTTTGAAATTGCAACCTCATATAACCTTTAAGATTTCGGAAAGTTCTAGAATCTATTCGACTGTCCGAGAACCGCATCTATAAACGGTCTGATATATTTTTCGAACTTTTTCTATCCGATTTTCCTGCCTCTATTGAACGGTTTCATCTCAACAAGGTTTGTCAAGTAAATATTTTTTTTTTTCGATTGTAACGATAAGACATGCATGGTCTCTAAATTTAAAAAAAGTTTTAATTATTTTCATTTGTGTGCAGATGGTGACTGCAGAGGAAGACGGGTCTGTGGACGTCACGCCGGCCAAAGACGGAGGAGTGCTGAAGAGAGTCGTGAAGGAAGGGTCGGGCGACACTACACCGGCGAAAGGGTGCAATGTCTACGTCCACTACACGGGCAAGCTCACCGATGGCAGTGTGTTCGACTCAAGCCGGGACCGTGGGACGCCGTTCGACTTCCAACTCGGGAAAGGTATGTCGCCTCGAATCTTGATGCAACGCTATATTGGGTTGACAACAGGGTTATGATACCCGTCTTTTTGCCATAAGAAATATACGATAATTGACTTGTAAGAAATGTAAGATAAATATAATATCACTCGAGTGTGAACCCGGCCTTACCGTGGGATTTTAACGCTTTTGTATCGCTCACCAGAGAATGGTATCTCTGGCAGTGTTGATTTTGATTTTATGCCACTTTCGGTTATCATTTGCGGTTGTTTTTACTTTCGGTTGTTGATATGCATTTCACTGATCACAGTTGAATTGTCAAATTTTGAATTCTGATCTCTTGTTCATGCATTATCCTATACATCATTAATCTTCTGATTTTCCACTTAATAGTATTCGTGTAGATATAAAAATCTAACCACCGGTAATTGGGCTCCAAGGTATTTCCAGGGAGGACTGTTGAATTCCAAGGTATTTCGGTGGTCATCAGACTCTATGGTATTTAAATGGCCATGGAATTTCAATGATTATTGGATTCCATGGCATTACAATGACCATCGGGTTCCATGGCATATCAAAGGTCATAATATGTCTGTGGTCATTGTACTCCATAGCATTTCAATGACTATGAGATTCCAAGGCATTCAAACTCAACGATATTTCAGTGGTCGTTGGATTCCATGGCATTTCAATGACCATTGTATATGCCATGGCATATCAAAATCTATGATATTTCGGTGGCCATTACACTCTATGACCATCGAATTGTGTAGCATGTCAAATCATAACGTGGCATTTCAGCAATAAGTGGATTCTATAGTAGTTCACAGGTCATAGTATTTAATGGTCATTAGGCTAGGCATTTCAGTGGTCATTGGATTTCATGGTGTTGATTGGCTCCTCTGGTATTTCAGAGTTAATCGGATTCTCTGTTAATTCCATGGCCATGGTACTTTCATGCACTTTCCACGGTTTTATTGCAATTCTGAACCCACTTAAAAATTTAGCTACACAAATTAAAACTGTTCAAAATGTGCTAGCATCATATTTAAAGTATATTTTTCAATTTGTTCAATCAGGCAAAGTGATCCGAGGATGGGACATTGGAGTCGCAACAATGAAGATCGGGGAAGTGTCCGTACTCACAATCCGTGAGGACTACGGCTACGGTAAGTCAGGAAGCCAGCCAAAAATCCCCGGTGGGGCCACACTCATTTTCGAGATCGAACTGCTCGACTGGGAGCCTGAAGACTTGTCCGGGAAGAAGGACAAAGGAATACTGCGCTACCCGATCACAAACGGGACTAACTTCGAGTCACCAAAGCCAATGGCTGAAGTCGAGATACACCTGAAGGGTGAATATGAAGGGAAAGCGTTCGACGACCGGGATGTCTCATTTATGCTCGGCACGGGCTCATCTTTGGACGTCCCACCTGGCGTTGAAAAGGCCCTCGAACACTTCACACTAAATGAGACATCGAGGTTGGTACTCACACCAAAATACGCATTCGGCTCGGTCGGATGCAAGAATCTCAACCTACCTCCAGATGCTTCACCTACCTACACCGTAACTCTGAAAAGTTTTCAAAAGGTGAGGTTTTTAACTTCATTTCTTGTTCGGGTAAATTTATTTTTTATGTTTGACTTAGATTAAAGACCGTTGGCTCATGGATCCCGAAGAGTTGTTATCCGAGGGGAGAAGGTTAAAAGAAAAAGGGACAGAATATTTGAAAAAATCCGATGTTAAGTTAGCATTAAAAATGTATAAACATATGGTCAAAAACTTAGATAGTCCGTTGAGTAAGTATGACGATAATTGGTTATGTGTACGGGTTTTTATTTTTTATTTTTATCATCAGCTGATGGAGACGGGGAGGATGAGAAGGAAAGGAAGGCACTGCTCGCCGCCGGCCATTCGAACATCTCCTTGTGCAACCTAAAACTGAACCGACCAAGGGATGCCATACACAGCTGCAACTCCGTCCTCGAGATCGATGAGAAAAATGAGAAGGCCTTCTTCCGCAGGGGGCAGGTAAACTTGTCCCTTGCCAATTTTTTTTCTCACCGTTAACAAGTAATTTTTCCAGGCATATTTGGCAGTTGGTGAACCGGAGAATGCGAAAAAGGACTTTGAGATGGTCGTAAAGCTTGAGCCAAATAACAAAGCGGCCAGCGCGGCCATCCTACAGTGCACCAAGATGCAGAAGGAGTTGAAAGAGCGCGAGAAGAAGATGTACGCCCACATGTTCGAGAAATTTGCCCAGAAGGATCGTGAGGTTAGCTCAACTACTTAAAAAGCAAAAACAAAACCTGCAGCTTTTGAATTTAACTAGAGGAAAAATACATTCCTTTTCCTAAGTAAATATGCATTTATCATTTAAAAAAAAAATACAATTTGGCAAGAAAAAAATTTGCGTTTTTTCTTTTTTAAATTTAACAACTTGCACACCATGGTTCTTTGTCGCGGTTCATTTTAAATAAGATTTCCGAATGTCCCAGTGGAGGTTTGGATGGCTTGAAGGCGAGAAGCCAATGGTTGAAATGGCACCGGATAACCCGGAGCTGGCGGCAGAGAAGAGGAAACAGATTGAGGCGAAGAAAAAGTTCCTCGACGAAGCCGCCAGACGCCTAAGGGAAAAGAGGGAGGCGGAGGCATCCGCGGGTGGTCACGAGGGAGGGGAAGAGGCAGCCGAACCGCCTGAGGGCGAAAACAATACGAATGCGACATGTAATTATTCAAACAAAACTTAATCCAACGCTAATACCTATTTATTTTTAAAAAGACTAAACCAAAGAAATAGTGCAAGGTTGTTGTTGTTATTTTAACAGTTTTTGCTTTTAGTCAATAACAAGTAAAATTATGCATTCAGATCCAATGCAGTAGGAAATGTGTGGTCAGATGGTCGGATCTGACCGTGAGATAGTCGTGTTTGATAGCGGGAAACCTGAGCCCAGATCATCATCCGACAGTCGGATTTGATAGTTAAATTTTTGGTCAGTCCATCAGTTGGATCGGGTAGGAAATATGCGGCAGAACATCCGACAGCCAGATCTGAGTTGTAAATTCAACCATGCCATCTGACAGTCAGATCTAATTATAAAAATGTCACGCATTGCATCCAACCCATATTGATAGTTATAAATTCAGGAGGGCTAACCGACACTCTGATTCTATAGTAATGTCAGTCATGTCATATGACAGTCATATGTAATAGTAATAAATTAAGGCACGCTATCCAACAGTCATATTGGATTCAGGCGTGTCATCCGGTAGACATATTTAATAGTTATAAAACAGGCATGCCATCCAACAGGCATCTTCGATAATCATAAATTCAAGCATGTCATCCGACAGTCATATTTATTAATTTTAAATTCAGGTAGGCCATTCGACAGTTAAACTTAATAGTTATAAATTTAGACATGCCTTTCAGCAGTTGGACATGGTAATGAGAACAACCATTCCATCTGACCCTCATATTGATAGTTATAAATTCAGGAGGCTAACCAACACTGATTCTAAAGTACAAATGTCAGGCATGTCTTTCGACAGTCGTATTAATAGTTATGAATGTCAGATATGCCATCTAACCCTCATATTGTTATTATTATTGTCAGGCATTAATCAGAAGTCGATTCTGATTGAAGGAAACTTGTGGCATGCCATCCGACAGTCATTTTAGATAGTAAAAATGTCAAGCAACAAAAATATTTATTTAAATGAAATTATGTGATAATTTGTTAGAGCTAACATCAGCAGATTTGCGACAGTTGTGATTATTAACAATCGGACTTGACCTACAGTCTGAAGCATGGTACATTTGTAACCGCATGAACCAAGTCCATTCCATTACGGCCGGCATACTCTTTCATTGGTTTTTCTTTTCCCGCTGCCGATCAGAAAGAAGAAGAAGAGAGGAAAAAGCAGCCGGACGTCATGAAGGGCTGCTTTGGCGAGTGGGGCGCAGACGAGAGGGAACGCGAACCGACCGACTTCGAGAAGGAGAACCCCGACATTCTGATGCTGGAAGGAAGTGGCGATTTCAAGAATATGTGACCACCCGGATTGTGTCACTATTTCCATATCTCCTTATCGTATTTTACTGTCCCGTTTTACTCATTTGTAAATAACAATTAAAAAATTAAAAAAAGAAAAAGTCTGTGTCTATTTAATTAATAAAATTAATACATTCAAGGTTTATGCGTAAAGTATGTGATAGTTTAGCAAGATGGTGTTTTGAATGTGTAGCAGTAGACAACACTGAAAATACATGCCTGAGTCTGCAAAAAGAGAATGTCTGTAAAGCCAACCAGACGCCGAATAGAATTTAGCAACTTGCTGAAAAAAAAAAAGGTAAGTACCCTTCATTGTATCCAATTTGTAGAACCTCGATTGGATCCGAGTCGCAGTGGACAGGAAACGTTTTAAATTATCAAGAGCCACAGAATAAATATAAATAAAGAAAAATTGCTTTTAATGCTTAATTTTTATTTTTAACATGTTTCTTCCTTGAAACATGTTATCCAATTTCAGAGGAGGTTGTAACAACAATGACGAATCGAGACGAGGCGCGAAGGTTAACAATAACAGTACAGGAGGTTACACCTTCAATTGACATTCCGTCCTGTTTTTTTGGCTTGGACGGTTTGTAAAAAAACAAAATTTAAAATTATTTAGCTTTAAAAAAAAGAGGAAAATCTAAAAGTGGAATTTGTTAAAAGTAAATAAATCGGTCCCTTAAAAAATGTACATCGTCGGTCTGACAGGGGGAATCGCGTCCGGCAAGAGCACCGTGTCGAAAATCCTCAAGGAGGCCGGCATACCAGTCGTAGATGCTGATTTTCACGCGAGGAGAGGTGAGAAAAATGTACCAGTAGATTTTTTTATTTAGAGGAGTTTAAGCACTCACTTCCAAGTGTGTGCTGTAAGTACCAGATTCATTGTTATGAGTGGGTGAGTCTCAAATTGGAGTCATATTATACTTGTATGACTACCGAGTCATTATGAGTGGGTTTTGCTTAAGCACAACTCATTCCCAAGTTGGTGCCATAAGAGTCTTATGCTTGAATGACTCCCAAGTTGGCGATCATGGGGGTTTTGCTTGAGCACAACTCACTGCCAAGTCAGTGCCATAAGAGTCTTATGCTTGGATGACTCCTAAGTCGGGTGTCAAGTGGGTTTTGCTTAGGCATAACTCACTCCCAAGTCGTTACCATAAGTGTCTTATGCTCGGATGACTCCCAAGTCTGCTGTGAAGTGGGTTTTGCTTGAGCACAAATTCACTACCAAGTCGGTGCCATAAGAGTCTTATGCTTGGATGACTCCCAAGTCTGATGTGAAGTGGGTTTTGCTTGAGCACAACTCACTACCAAGTTGGTGCCATAAGAGTCTTATCAAAAACATGCATGTATTATATATATAATACATGCATGTTTTTGAAAATTAATTTCTTTTTTCCCCCCAGTTGATCATCTGTTTTGCAGGCTGTAGTATGAGTTTTATCTCATGCTCCAGAGTTCACAAACATTCTGAACTTTACATCTATGCACAAAATGGACAAACAAATGTAATCAATTCACTAACTTTGCAATAAAAACATGATGTGTGAAAAATATCTTTTTTCTTCCTTTCTTTTCATTCCATATAGCCACCAAAACAGGGCTATGAATTGAATGATGTGTTTTCTCGTTGAATCTATGCTAGTAGTATCTAGAATACTTTTATTTATTTATCCTTTCATTTCATAACAGACCAAGTCACAGCGAAGCAAGGCTCGGTACTAGCTAGTATTTAAGTAATTAAGCTTAAGTTGATGTCACAAATGGACTTGATTTAAGTATAAGTGAATGGTATGAGTGGATGTGACACAAGAATAAGTTGAATGATGAGTGGGTTTGACTTAAGCATAAATCAATATGATGTACATTTTGACCTAAGTATATGGGCTTGTTTGAGTTAAGCATTAGTTGATGTCATGAGTGGATTTGCCTTAAGCATAAGTCAGTGTGATGAGTGGGTTTTAACCGAAGTATACGGTGTTATGGGTGTGCTTGAGTTAAGCATTAGTAGATGCAATGAGTGAATCTGACTTATGTATAAATCATGATTGGGTTTTGCTTGTGTATAACTACCAAATCTATATCATAACTCACAAGTCCAATATGTAGTGGGAGATAACAAAACTTCACCTTTCAATTCACACTCTTGTGTTTTTTTCTGTCCGCCACCCAGTTGTCGAACCGGGGCGGAAAGCATGGAAGAAGATCAAGGCTGAGTTCGGAGATAAAATACTCAAGAGCAATGGCCAGCTTGACAGGGAGCAGCTTGGCATGCTTATATTTCAAGACAGGGCAAAAAGGAGGAGGCTCAATGAGATAACACACCCAGAAATCTACAAGGAGATGTTCTGGGAGTCAATCAAATGTTTTTATGAAGGTAACGCTTTGTTGTAGTTTATTTATTTATGTATTATTTTATTTTTACTACAGGACATGCTTTTATTGTGCTCGACTTGCCATTGCTTTTTGAGTCTGGGACGATGGTCGATTACTGCCACAAAATAATCGTCGTGACCTGGTAATCTTTACCGTTTAAAAAAAAAATCTTAATGCAATGAAGTACAAAACCGACCTTTTACCAGCGAGCCCGAACAGCAGCTGGAGCGGTTATTGTTGCGTGACAACCTGACCGAGAGGTCGGCCCGTATGAGGATTGAGAGTCAGATGTCATTGGATGAGAAAGCGAGGCAGGCGAGTTTTGTCATCGACAACTCTGGAACAATTGAAGACACGCAGACTCAGGTTTAAACAATTTTTCATGAGGCATAAAACCAATTTAATTTTTTTCTCTCTCTTTTTTTCTTAATAGGTCGAACAGCTCATAAGGCTCTTGAAGGCTGACAAGTTCCACTGGAAGGTCCGTCTCATATGTGGCATTGCAGTTTTCTTCTCTGTCTCGTTAGTATGCTGGCTCATAACGACTAAATGACACTTTGGATAACGGTGTAACATCTGCGATATCGTATTACCCACATAACACACCTGCTTTTGAATAAAAGGCCAATTTTATTGGGTTCTTTTTTTTTATTGTAATAATTTTTATTGTTATGAATTATCGAGGGTGCGAGTCATGCGACGACTGACAAAAACCGTAATGACTGGCCACAAACTTTGTTACATTTATTTGTCCATTAAATGTTTATTTTATTCAAACTGTATTATGTATTATTAAAGTGCCATACAGAATCATACAAGAAAATCCTTTGTTTTTTAAAATGAATGATTCAATCCTCATCATGTGGATATCAATTGTGGCATCGTAGTAATGCCATAGTATGGCAGAAGTGTGACTGATCAAGCTGAATCTTGCTGACAGACCAGCTGGATTAGACCAAACTCTCGCTGACAGGGCAGCTCAATTATATTAAATTTTGGATGACAGGTTAGCTGGAGATTAGAATAAATTTTTGTTGAGAGCACAGCTGGATTAGAATAAATTTTTGCTGGCAGGAGGGCAGCTTGAGATTAGAATAAATTTTTGTTGACAGCTCAGCTGGATTAGAATACATTTGTGCTGACAGGGCAGCTAGATTACATTAAATTTTTGCTAACAGGTCAGCTGGATTAGACCGAGTTCAGGCAGACAAAGAGGCTGGATTAGAATAAATTTTTGTTGACAGGCCAGCTGGATTATTAGAATATTATTATATCAATAATATTTCAAAGGCCAACTGGGCAGCTGGAGATTAGAATAAATTTTTGCTGACATCTCAGCTGGATTAGACCGAGTTCTTCCAGATTGGGAAGCTGGATTACAATAAATTTGTGCTGACAGGGCAGCTAGATTACATTAAATTTTTGCTAACAGGTTAGCTGGATTAGACCGAGTTCAGGCAGACAAAGAGGCTGGATTAGAATAAATTTTTGTTGACAGGCCAGCTGGATTATTAGAATATTATTATATCAATAATATTTCACAGGCCAACTGGGCAGCTGGAGATTAGAATAAATTTTTGCTGACAGGGCAGCCAGAAATTAGAATAAATTTTTGCTGACATGGCAGCTTGAGATTAGAACAAAGGGAGGAGCTATCTATGAACACCCACAAAACCATAATGATTCCTTTCACTATGAAGAGTTCATGTCTAAACGGGACCCTGATTTCATTTTCCAAGCAGTCCAAGTATCAGGGATCACAATAGAGCAACAGCTCACAAGGAATCAACATTTAACTAAAACCACCCAGAGAGCGAATTACCTGGGGCTCTGTGCCAAAAACGGGATTAAATCCCAAAACGACCCTATGGCTATAGGGATAGGGATAAGGATAAGAGAGGCGGCCACAAGGCCTACTGCACCTCGACCTAAATAGATCTATTGTGCTCCTCTGTTAATTATAACTTACTGGCCAGCTGCAGGCTATTAACCAGCCTCCACAGCTTTGCCAGCGGTTCCTTGATGTAGGATCTTGCTTGAGGTTTTTCTTGTCCTACTTACAAGAACCTGCACATACACAAACCTTCACAGAAACATAAAATGTGCTCTGCGGTCTCCTCCTCTTCCTGGCAGTATCTGCACAGTATTTCTTCTGTCTGTACATCTGTCTGGTGCATGTGCTTTCTTATGTGGCAGTGCCCCGTCAGGAGTCCAACCAGAATCCTGGTTCGGTTTGCGGCTGCTTTCCATTATTTCTTTTGTAAGTTTTGTGGATGGTCCTATGAATCTCTTTGCGTGCCTGATATCTGCGGTATTGTTCCACCAGGTTTTGGCTATACACCTGCGTCTTAAGACCAATGCTGACATATGGGTCGGTGGTGTGTCAGGCCAAAGCAATATAGCTGTTAAGTGACACCCAAAGACAAGCTTGTGTCAGTGCAACTGGAGCCAGAACACAATGCCAACTGCGGCCCTAGAGGTGTTCTTAAATTTCCCACCAGTTCATATTTTAATCCAAGGAGAAGCCAGAGTAGCAGCCCACAGGCTCATAAATGGACAACCATCTGCAGGGATAGGCCAGATAAATAAGCAATGGAAATTGAGAGCGGAGATACAGCCAGATACTAGATTATGCATGCCAATAAATACCACTACTCTAAAATATAATTTAACTAAAAAGTACAAGGTACAGATACCAGAACGTTAAGAATGGGCCAAAGGAAAAACCTCTAAAGGTAAACCCCTACTGTACACTGAAGGCTCAAAACTGACAAGGGCACGGTGGCTGGAGTCTTTAGGATGAACCCAAAGACCAAACTGACGGTCAACCTAGGTAAATATGCTACAGCTTTCCAGTCTGAAATCATAGCGATTGAACACTGCGCCAGGGAAATAAAAACTAGGAATACATTTGTGGAAGATATCTATTTTCTCTGACAATCAGGCAGCACTAAAGGCCCTGGCCTAGATTTATGGGTCATGAAGCCATGTTGCCCATCAACGATGAGGTGATTGATGGTTGATATTATCATACACTATTGATTCAAACAGTTTGCCTACATGTGAAAGTTTTGAAATGGGGCAGGTATTGTTTACTAAAGATTTGTCTCCAGGCTTAAACATGGGACGTAATACAATTTCCAGACATCAGAAAATATGCACGTTTGAATCGATCAGTCGAGTAGGATAGTTAGAGGTCAACTATTCAGAGTTTTTTCGAACGTCTTGACTCTCCCAATGAAGCGTTGAACTAAACCACAGGTGAAAATAACTATTTGATTAGTTTATTAATAGCAAATGTACAGTTATTTTTGTTTTTGAACGATTATTGAATGTTGTAGTGACGAGATTTGGTTTTGTTTCTGGGCGGTGTGAGACATTGTACGCCAACGCCTCCATGATTAATTCAGTAGGCTTCATTATTCAATAATTTTTTTAAAATAATATAAAGAATAATTTTTTATGGGAATTATTTTATTTTGTTTAGTTAGTTTGTAAGTTTATTATTATTTTTTTTTTGTAGATGTGTTGTATGTCAAATTGCAGTGGTGAAAGTCAAAAGGGAGTGTATTGTAATCCGTTCCGCGGAGTCGCCAGCTGATCGCCGACGAGAAAGCAGCTGTTTAGTGTTGTCGTTTCCCTATCCTGTAAAACGGCCAGTGTTTATTTTATCCATTTTTTTCGGATTATTGGATAGTTGGACGAATTAGTCGTGGACATATTAAAAAAGGGCTGATGAGTACGTGATATTCGGAAAAACAGGGGCCGTGCCACGGACGGGATGGAACTGGGCCTCAGAGTCGTCCGGGGTCCTGACTGGCTCTGGTCGGAGCAGGACGGCGGCGAGGGCGCGGTCGGGACGGTCGTCCACGTCGGCAGTGAGACGTGCACCGAGTCACCGGACGGGACTGTCGTCGTCTACTGGGATACAGGCTTCCGTTCCAACTACAGGGTCGGGTACAACAACGCCTATGACCTCAGGATCTATGACAACGCCACGATAGGTGACTTGAATTTCCTCCATTCGTCAATTTTGTGTCTATTATGTTGTCTAATAATCGGATACGTTCCAGGTGTCCAGCACGTTGACATCATCTGTAACGAATGCAAGAAACAGGGCATTGCTGGTCTACGGTTCAAGTGCACCGTATGCAACAACTATGACCTATGCCAACTCTGCTACATGGCCGACCGACACGACCTGGAACACCGCTTTCAACGCTTTGACGATCAATACTCACCCGGGTGAGATTTTGTTCTTTATTTCAATATGTCTCAAACCATTGGATCTGAGATGTTGCATTTACATCCGATCTCTCAGATACAATGGATTGAAATATTTATTGGATTACCATTATGTCTAAATCTAAGTTGCAAAAAAAAAAAAAAGTTGCATTAAATGGCTGTTGGATTTACCAGCTATACTTGCCCCGCCGTCAGATCTGATTGATTGAATTGCAGGCAGTCAAATGGCACACTATTCACATCATGTTTAGTCATGAAGTCTGATGGCCTGAAAGGGCTGTTGGATTGCCAACTGTAAATGTCCCACTCAGCCGTCAGGTGTGATGGCCTGAAATAGCTGTCAGATTGCCAGCTGTCACAGACTACTAAGCCATCAGGTGTGATGGCATGAAAAGGCTGTTGGATTGCCAACTGTAAACGTCCTACAAAAGCCGTCAAGTCTGATGGCTTGAAATAACGGTACTCTTCCTACCATCAGTTCTGGCGGCCTGCTATTTAGCCTGTGTTGGATAAACAGATTTGATAGGGTGTGACTGTCAGGTTCAACTACCATTTAAGACAAATTATCAGAAACGATCGTATAAAAGTTACTGAAATAGAAACAAACAATCGCTCATAATCTCTAAATTATTTTATCAGTTGTATTTCTTTTCTTATCTGATGTTTGTACAGGAGATTACTGGCTAATCTATAATTGAAAATATCTGGTGGGCATTTGTAAATATAAGTATAATACTTTGAACTTTTGAAGGCAATGCCAGTCATTAATACTTTCCCTATTGTGTATGACTGTCAGAGAGAATTTCCTTCAGTAACTTTACAGGTTTCAGTAACGTGACAGGTTAACTTTTTATCTCTAATATTATAGATACAAGATAGCGACACCTATGTCATAGTGCAATATCAACTATTTATATATATTGTGACCTTCTGTCTTTCAAAGCTTTTACAAAAATAATAACAATAACTATATATAGTTAGTTTTTTTTTTTCCTTCAAAAACATCACCCTGAGGGTTCATATAACCTTGTAGTTTAAATACCCGTGGAAAAAAACAAAAACAACTAAGAATAGGACATATGTCATTGACAAGTGGACACTTAACTTTTGAGCCATGTCCTGTGTTATGTTTCAGACTTGTATAGAAATATTCATTGACATGTCCTACTTACTTATAGGGTGTCATTCTTTGGCACTGGTTAGTGGGAATGCCTACTTACCAGTGCCATTGACTGTTAAACTCATAAGAGATCATGGAGCTGAAGTCAGTAATACAAATAACTGTTGACCTGAGTATAACAGGACTAATATTTGTTCAGAAAATAGTAAGGAAAACCAGTAACATTACTATTGAGCCAAATAAGCTCAACTTAAAAGAAAGTTGAACAAGAGCTGAAGTCATTACTACCAATTGATTGTTGAGCCCAGAAGAGAGTAATACCAATGACTATTCAAGTCAAGTAGGGCCAATGACTTTCGAACTCAAAATAAACTTGAACCACGGCAGTAGGATCAATGACAATTGAACTGAAGTCCTTAGTACCAATGGCAAAGGAGAGTAGGATCCTGGGTATTGAATAAAAACTGCAGTACGAATGAATGACAGTTGAGTCAAGGGCAGTAGGGTCAATGACTATTGAGCTGAAATCAGTACCACCAATGACTGTTGAGCTTAGATGAGAGTAGTACCAATGACAGTTGAGGTTAGATGAGAGTAGTACCGATGACTGTTGAGCTTAGATGAGAGTAACACTAAATACTACTGAGCCAGAGATGGTGGCTACAATGGCAGTAATACCAATGACTGTTGATCTCAGATGCATGAATGTGTAGAGTGAGAGGTTTCTTGGACCCCCTTACAATATTTTCTTTTTTATAACTTTTTATTTGGGCATTATATAATTTAATCTGTTGCTCTATTTGAACTGTTGCAGGGTGGATTTGCCGCCGAGGAAAGGCTGTGTTAAAATGGTGTTGAAAGGGACTTTCGTCGGTGCAAAGGTGATGAGGGGAAAAGACTGGGAGTGGGGAGAACAGGACGGGATCCCGGGTAAGTTTGGCCGAGTGCTCGAGGTGAGTGGTTGGAACAACGAGACGTGGCGTTCCGTCGTAAAAGTCATATGGTGGACGGGTTTTACCAACATCTATAGACTCGGGTACAAAGGCAAGGTCGATCTCGTATGTGTAGAGCCAGCATCCCCCGGAACGTACTACCCAGCACACTTGCCTGTCCTTGGTGGCCCCCCGTCCGCTTACGGTTCACTCCCGACCCTGACCGACTTTGCCTATTATGAAAGGGTCAAGATAGTCGTTGATAGCAACACACTCAAACTTATGCAGAAGGGCCACAATGGCTGGAATGTCCAAATGGCCGACGTAAGTCTTTCAGTTTGTATATTAGTCTGAGTTTTCAATTTTACTTTATTTCTTCAGACAATCGGCCTGGTCGGGAGGGTGCACAGGGTGACTGAAAAGGGTGACGTTCGTGTCTGGTATCCGCAGCTGCAAGTGAAATGGACACTCAATCCAAGAGCCCTTATCAAAGTCAACGAACACTTCGACAAAGGCGACAATGTCATCATTCTTAAAGACAAGGCTGTCGTGTCAAAACTCCAGCGTAATGGGCATGGCGACTGGATCGAAAAAATGGACTCAGTATGTATAAGAAAATAAATGTCCAAATAGTAGTAATTTTGTAAACCCGCACTTTTCAGATACTAGGCAAAACAGGAAAAGTGGTGAAGGTGTACGAGGACGGCGATCTTAGGGTCACGGTGGATGGGCAGACTTGGACACTCAACCCGCTCTGTGTTGAATCGACAGGCGAGCGTGTCGCCAGCACCTCAGAAGGATCTGGTACACCGAAATCAAAAACTTTTACTAAATCCTAAACTCTTGACAATCTCATCTTTTTTCAGACTTGGCAGAAGAATTGGAAAACCTGGACCTTGCGACTTCAATGAGAATGCACCGCATAATATACGACGCCGGGCAAGGCCTTCTTGGCAATGTCGAAGAATATTTCACTCAGAATCCAGATAAGATCAATTTCAAATCGGACAACAGGACGTGTTTGCAAGTTGCGGCTCATCAGGGTCAGATGGCCGTGGTCAAAAAGCTCCTCGAAATGGGTGCAGATCTGAACATAAAGGACGACGTTGGCGACACTGCACTACATTATGCTGCATTTGGGTATATAAAAAAAAATACTAAAAATTAAACATAAATGAACTTATTTTACAATATACTGGGAAAAATAAAGGAGTCATAGCGGGATCATGGACGTACTGCTTGGAGCGGGCGCGGACATAAACGCCGTCAACCATAGCATGTGCACCGCTCTGCACATATGCATCTCGAAAAAGCTCATTTCGTGCATCAAAGTCCTCCTGAAGTACAAGCCCGATGTCAACATACAGGTGAGTCTCTTAGGTTATCACCGGTCACATTGTGAAATTCAATATTTTGTTTTTCCACCCCCTCTCAATCAGGATAAATTGGGTGACACGCCTTTGCACGATGCGATCGCCAATGAGTGCTCTGAGGCGATCGAACTGCTCACTGAGTACCCGGGTGTCAACTTTGATCTCAGAAATCACAGGGGGTTCAACATTTTGCACCAGGCTGCGATTAAAGGCAACAGTTTGTAAGTAAAAATCCCTTGATTTACAACCCTTAAGTTAAACCAATGGCGTTGAGCCAAGGTCAGTAATACCAATGACTGTTGAGCAGAGAATAGCAGGACTAAAATGACTGTAGGGCCAGTGACAGTTAAGCCTGAAATGACTGTGTCAATGGCTGCAGTACCCAAAAGAGACTATTGTGGTGAAAAGTGAATAGTACAATGCCTATTGAGCTGAAAAGACTAATATCACTCCAGCCAGAGATGAAACAACAATGGCAGCAGTGTCAATGACTTTTAAACACAAAAGAAAGTTGAAGCAAGGACAGTAGGTCAATGACTGTAGAGTTGAAAACGGCAGTGCAAATGACTACTGGCCCAAGGACAGTGGTATCAGTGACTATTAAATTGAGTATATCAGGACTAATGACTTTGGAGCTAGTGTGAGAAGCAAAAATGACTGCAGTACTTATGATCAATCAGGACCATTTGAACAAAACAAAAAAAATTGAACTGGAGGGTAATAGTGCCAATAACTGTTGGCTCTTAATTGTAAGTACCGTACTACCAACGATTCTTAAAGTTGAGATGGTAAGAACTGTTGGACCAAAGATGTAGCTTTTGGGTAAAAGACAGTAGTACGGATGACTGCTAGATGATGGTAGTACCAGTGAGTGTTTACTTGAGTACAGCAAGGGACTAATAACAGTTGAGTCAAGGAACTTATTAAAATAACTATTGGGCTGAAGACAGTTGTACCAATGGTGGTTGACACAGTGATAAAAGCAAAAATGACTGCAGAACCAATGTTTGTTGAGGCAGAGACAAGTACCAATCAATAAACAAATGACTTGAAACCAAGGGCAGTAGGTCAATGGCTGTTGAGCAAAGGATAGTAGTACCAATGACTCTTAAGTCAAAGACAGCAGGATCATTAACCATTGGGTTAAAGTCATTAGTACCAATGACTATCAAGCCAAAGATAGAAGCAATGATGACTGTTTAATTAAGACAAGATTAAGTCAAAGGATTGTACGACCAATAACTTTTTCTCAGAATAGTTGTACCAATGCCAACTACTTTTAGCTGAATGGCAAGGCAGAAGATTATCAACCTCGGAAGATAATATTATCAACCATTTTTTAGCGCCGTGGAATGCATCCTGCTAGTCGCTCGTGATCTGGTCGACTTGAAGAAGGACGACAGTTTCACAGCACTCCACCTCGCAGCGCTCAACGGTTACAAGAATGTTACTGAAGTGCTTGTAATGAGTGGTAAAGCGGAGGTCGACCTCGTGAACAACAAACATCAGACACCTCTCATGCTGTCTGTCTCTCAGGTGAGAAAGCAGTGTTTTTGTTATTATTTTTTTATTACTTTTTTGTTTTGTAAAGGGGCATTGTGGGACCACAGAGCTTCTTATACACTGCGGCGCATCGCTATCGGCTGTCGACGAAGATGGCGACTCAGCGCTTCACATGGTGCTGATCAAGTCAGCTTATATAACAACACAGGTGAAAAAGGACAAAGTGCCGCGAATCGACCAGTCCACCTGTCCAGATATATTTAGGGTTTGTTTGTTTATTAAAAAAATTTCTTTTATATGTTGCATTTATTTATTTATTTTATTTATAGATTTATAGTGGTTTAGAGTATGGAGAAGAGAATAAGGATCGGTTGATTGCGCTTTCAATTGCATGCTACCTCGTCGAGGAAGGGTCTAGTCTGTCCGTAACGAACAACAAAGGGAAAACACCGATTGACCTCGTCAGCAGGCCCGGTGACGCGGATATACTTAAAACGTTCCTTATCACCGATGCCGAGTGAGACAGATTGTTTTGCAGCTTTTTATATTTTTATTTATTTTTTATTTATTTATTTTTTCTGCTAGGAGGTCGAGAAGAAGGGAGGCGAAAGGACCAGTCGAGTGCCTTGTCTGCTCCGAGCTCTGTACCTCTAGGGTTCTTCTCGAGCCGTGCGGTCACAAGGTGGCATGCGAAGACTGCACGACCCGTCTCAAGAAGTGTTTCAAGTGTCACATTTTCATAACGAAACGCATTGCGCAGGGTACAGTAAATTTATTACGCTGTACATTTTTTTAAAAATAATAATAAAATTTGTGCTGAATAGATGGAAGGGTTGTTGAGTACAAGGCGAAACAGCCATCTGTCGAGTGCCTGCGCTACCTCGAGACAAAGATCGCCGAGATTGAGGAGGTCCACTGCTGCACAATATGCATGGAACGGAGGAAGAATGTTGTCTTTCTCTGCGGCCACTCGGCTTGTGACAAGTGCAGTGCTGAGCTCATCACATGCCACATGTGCCGTAGAGCCATCGTAAAGAAAATCAACGTATACTGAAACTTTTTCTACGTTTCTCTCACAAAATCGTCTTCCGAACGCATCCAAATGTTATTTACCAAATCGTACGATGTGACAGCATCAGAACCAAAGGATGCTTTGATTTTTTTTATTAGCAAGGTAAGGTTTACAGTTTTTTTAATCCGTCTAGTGCAAAACGACTGTTCTAGTCATCATAAGTGCTGTGTAATCAGCCTATTTTATACATAAAAATATTATTTAAAAAATCAGCATTATCAATTAACTAAGTATATGAATATTTATTAGGACTGGTTTAGATTGTATCACTTGTATTTTTATTTGGGCTTTGAAATTATCTAATTTTTTTAAATTGTGTTTATAAAATTTAAAAATTTTCAATAAAGCACTGGGAAGAAAGGGAAAAAATTATGAAATAGTCAGAATTGTCAGATTTGTGAACTTAAACCAATAAAAGATGTTATTTTTCCATTTTATTATAAAAAAGACCTCCTTCATCCCATTTCAATCATAAAATAATCATCATTGTAATACTTCTTTATACAGCCTCGACGATGGCCTCGACTCTACTTCGTTCAATTCGACGGTCATCATAATATTTTAGATTTTTAAAAAAAATGAATTTATACAATGCTAGAAAATTTTAGATTGAAAAAAATGAATTTATAAAATATTAGAAAATTTTAATTACAAAAAATGAATTTATATAATGCTAGAAATTTTTTTAATTAAAAAATGAATTTATACAGTGCTAGAAAATTATAGATTCAATCAAAGTATTTGTACTCACTCAAAGTGTTTGTTTTCCGTGTAGGTGGGTCATTCTTGTTTCAATTTTCTAGCATTGTATAAATTCATTTTTTTCCACATCCTACATGTATTTGTAAAATTTAAATATTTATAAATCCCAGACCCTGAAGATGATCTCAATAAAGATCGAAACGTTCGCATGACAAAGAACATGTTTTTCTAAAACCTACGTCACACCAGACCGCACCCATGATCTCCGAATAATTTTTTTTTTTTTAAGTTTGTTTAAGACAAACGCGTTTGTTTATATATAAAATCTGAATTTTCTTCTCTCTAATGTAAATTTCCTTAACTTTTGACCCCGTTCTTAAATCAGATAAACAAAGAGATAAACTTCCACTCAAGTCAAATACCTAGGACTGATACCTGGACAGCAGACTGACGTGCAATCCCCACACAAGACTTAAAAGACAAAAACTTAACAGAGGACTTGGTTGATTCTAGGACTGAAATCCTTGTTGACAGACATGACTCAGCTAAAATTATACAAGACTTTACTGCGACCACTTTAGAGTTTGGACATACAGAGTAGAACAGTGGGGTTCGACCAAACCGTCCTGTGAATCAATCCTTCAAAAGTACTCAGACAAATCATTAAAGCTCTTTACTGTCACTAACCTTACCATCCAAACCAACCTCACAATCTAACTTAACCCTAGTGCCCAAGCCTTCTCTACACATTCCCAACCATAAAACCCGCCACTTTTCCTAAATTGACAATGGCCTCGAGACCTCCTTGTCCCTCACACTGATTGAGTATTGAGTGTAGCACTGGCACAAGTGCTGTGACCATGTGAAATTTGTAATACGTACAAGTATGTATCAGCTATGAATAAAATTATTTTTAAAAAACTTCTCATTTAATAAGGGCAATTTTGGACAATTCATTTGGTTTTAGAGCAAAACTGAGTGTTAATTTGTAAACACTGCTTTTTTATATTGAAGTCAACGAGCGTGTCAAAAAGGCCCATAAAAATATTGAAAAAATGTTTTTATCATATAAACAAATTGGCGACCAAATAAAGTTTACATAACTCTTCAATTTAATAAGGACAAATCTGGCCAATTCATTTCGTTATAGGGCAAAACAATTGGTAAATTAAAAGAAAAAAACTCTCGTTTAGCCTAAATGAGGATGACAGAAATGACCATAAAAATCAGGACTTTTTACATTAAGTATTCATTTATTTTCCTGTAAACTGTTTATGCTCAGCAAGTCCAAGTTAATAGGACATGAAAAATGAATAAAATATCGATAAATGTGGAAAATAGCTAAAAGGGGCAAAACACCCAGTTTTGGCTTTTTCATATTTTCTAATTTCATAACTTTTTACATTTGTTAATAGTTTATTTTCTTATAAACTGTTTATTAAGCCTGTCCATAAGGAGAATGAATAATATAACTTATTGTTATAACCCTTGGCTTTTTCACATTTCCTAATTTCAAATTCATGGTAGTAGGTGGTATCATAGTCTCATTCAGAATTCTCATTCAAGGTGGCCATTCCGAATCGCTCCAAGCAGTCCAAACGGAGGGACGCCGTTCCAAAAACCACGCCAATGGCAAAACTGAACTGGCGTGCCCGGATGTGCCGAATATTCGACCGGTCCAAACTCCATCGCGCCACTCCAAATATCTACGGCGCGACGACGGCATGGCACGTTGGTGAATGGGAAAACCTGGCGTGGAAGGTGGGGATTTTGGCGCGGTGGCCTGTTCGTGAATGGGAAAACCCTCGTTTTTTTGGCGCAGTCTCCGTCATTCTGTCACTGAGGAAACATCTCCGTCGTACATTCTCAAAAAGTCAAAAACGTTTATTCTTTATTGTAATGACATTCAATCGAAATTTTATTGTTGAGGTGATTGAATTGTATGGAAGTTTACCATGTTTTGAAAGTGGTGTTCAATGATTATATTACCACGATGGAAATAAAAGAAATTTGAACCTCAATCAGTTGGTCGACGTTTTCAAAACAAAGGATACAAATGCAATNCACGCATCCGGCGGACTTTTCGAATCATACTAATTTTATTAGGTTTCGTGGTCCGCTTGATGAAATAAATTCATTTAAATTAATTAAGCTTTTGGTTGAGATAAAAAAGTCAGTGTCACAAGCGGGATTCGAACCCACGACCTTCGGCTAAATACGCCGCTGCTCTACCACTTGAGCTATCGTGACTTCGATCCACTCGGAAACTAACTTCCCATCTCTACCCCACCTTTTGAATTTTCCCTCCTTTTTGTCATTTTTCAAATATCGTGTAATCTATTTGATTCTCGGAGACAAATGAAATACTAAATAGCCACGGAGAGCTTTAGTGAAGTATACTTCATCTTGCTTATTACATGTTATTATTTTGGTCCGCTTGACCAAATAAATTCTGTTCAATTAATTAAGATTTGGTTGAGATAAACTAAATACTGATTTCAATTATACTTTTTGTCTAAGGTTTTTGGTAGAAATGGAAAAGGTGTCACGGGCAGGATTCAAGACCACGACCTTGCTGCTCTAACCTGCCGTCTTGTATGATATAGATTTAGAAAAGCATTTTCTTTATTGTGCCTACGTTTCGATATTAATTTAGATCATCATCTGAGCATGGGATTTGCAAAATTGTTTGGATTATACAAATACCATTTAACATATAAAAATGAATTTATAAAATGATGAAGGCAATATAGGAATTTCAGGATTAATCAAAGTACTCACTCAAAGTGTGTGCATTCTGTGAAGATGTGTGGCAAGTATTAGCAAGATATAATTTTTTATGGATTTTTGATTTTGAAGGAGTGGGGAAGGAAGTAGGGTAAGATATTCGTTTTTCTATTAAGACTGAAAGCACTGTGTAAATAGCAGAAATGTACGAGGCATACATTAAATTAAATATAATTTACCTACAAAAGTAAGCTAGCAAAAGAAAAACTTCAGTTAAAATCAGTGAATACAAGACAAGATACATAGAAAAAAAAAAAAGATGTTATATAAATAAAATTTACCCTCTGAAGAGAACAATCCTCTTCATAAAACAGTTTGATGACCGAGCTACCTACATAGTGTTGAAGACTAGCAAAACAACTTAACGGACTGTTTAAATATCAATTGTACTCGCTTTGGCAGTACATACACTAAAATACCAATTTGTGAAAATCGAAATATCACCCAACACGCTTAGAAAAAGAAATTTCAAATTTACAAAGCATAAAATAAATTAAATGTAGTTTACCCAATAATAATAATAAAAAAATCGACCTACACACTGTTCAACACTCACAGAACCACTTAATGCACTGTTTAAATAGCACTTTGTAAAAATGTTTAAAAAAAAATTAATAACAATAATAATAAAAATATAAAAAAATGTAAAAATAGCACAACACCCTTCCAAAGAGAAATCAGAAATGTACAAAGCATAAAATAAATTAAATGTAGTTTACTCACATAACTTATTTATAAGATCATACATATATTATCTGAAGGGGCAGTAATAAAATATTAATATTAACATGCTCACTTACCTGACTACCAGCAGAGAGAGTTGATATACCATTTATAAATCCCCCCTGGGAAAATAAAAATTTCAATTAAAATCAGAGAATAGATGACAAGGTACTTATCAAAAAAAGATGTTATATAAATTAAACTTACCCTCTGAAGGCAACAATCCTCGCCTTAAAACAGCTTCGATGAACCAGCAACCGACACACTGTTCAACACTCGCGGAACTACTTAACGCACTGTTTAAATAGCACTTTGTGAAAATATGTATAAAAAAATGATAATAAATAAATGTAAAAATGTTCCAACTCCCTTACAAAAAGAAATTAGAAATGTAGAAGTCATAAAATAAATTAAATGTAGATTAGCCACAAAAGTACTTTATAAGATCATACGTATATATGTTGAAAGGGTAATAATTAAATATTATTATTTATCATACATATATTAGCTTAAGGGGCAATAATAAAATATTATTACTAACATGCTCACTAACCTGACTCCCAGCAGAGAGAGTTGATTTACCATTAGTAAATCCCTCCTAGAAAATTGAGAAAATACAGTTAAAATCAGAGAATAGAAAAATTATATATATACACATTCTACAATAAATGAAATATAGTTTGAACAGACAAATTTTCTATTAGTTAAAAAAAATTGTGGTTGTATTTAATGTAGCAGAGAGTTACAAAAAGGGACAAATATGTTTTACCGTACGTACAAATACTAAATAGAATCTCTGAATAAGTCATTTTAAAAAATGTTATGTAATTTTTGTTTTACCCTTCTTCAACAATGCATTTTTTTAACCAATACAATATAATTGTTAATAACATTGATATAATAGCATAGACTACAAATATAGTCTATTTGTGTGCGAACAACCAAGAAAAAAAGGAAAATTTTTCATTCTTGTCTTCGATGTAATAGATCTGCTGGGATGGTCGGAAGAATAATTTAGCTCTTAAACTCTTATTTTGGAAATAAACGAACAAAATTACAGAGTTTTTACATCTAAAACGACATGCAGTATTGATTAGAAGGAAAATTAAGCTAGGAAAGCTGTTCATTTTGAAATTAAATGCGAACAACCTAGAAAAAAATTTCAGTTTGTTTTTTGATGTAAACTATCTGCTGGGGTGATTGGAAGAAGAATTAAGT